TTTGCTATAATTTTCAGAAATGGATGGAATTGGGGGGTTGGAAATATAAAGCAAATATAGTTACACTGACTTTTTGGAGGTTTTGGGTTCGAAAATGCTATAAAAACCAAGAAAAACGATCATTTTCCTGTAGTCTGGTTCCCTGACTCCATATAAGAAGAAACAGAGCAGTTTACATAAATTGGGGAATTATAAGGTGAGGGAACCAGTCTAGCTGGCTCGTACCCGTTCATAGGTTTGTAATCGATTGCAAACAAGTGCAATGGTCAATTGGGGCCAGTATTTGAAACAAAGCCAGTTGTTTCCAACGCTGATCGGCCGATCAGCGTTGGAAATTGATACAAAAATACCACTTTTCTTGAAAATGACAGTATACCAGGTGCCATAATTTTACAGGATGCTTTAGACTGTCATTTACCAACATCCTATTAAGGTATTTCGCAAAACCTTGGTAGTTTTATTTTTCGATGTTTGCAAATGTTGTATATTCCCTTTAACTGTAGGGCGTACATTTTTTTTCAGAATAAGGGGAAATATGTTTGATTCACATGAATGTACATGTAGAGTCCCTATTCATTATAGTGCATGAGCAGTGTGTTCCATTGCAACCTTGGAAAGCATAATAAGTTGGCAGATATTTTTAGGTTAGTAATTTTCAGCTGAAATGCTTCTTTTGTGGTTATTGAAATACAAACCTGGTTGCTATTAGCTTTTGCAAGCCCCAACCTACATCCTTTGTTAGATTAAATTTTTAAAATGTTTCGACTAGAGTGGCCTTGAGCAAAAAGTGTCTATGTTGATGTTTACTTAGGCATGGTGAGATTCAAATTGAATTCATTGCAGACCCAAACAAAAAAAGATTTGTACATTTGGATATATTTATAAATGAGTGGCCTACAACTATTTGATTTGTTATCCCCATGTTTTGTGGTTGTCCACTATAGTTGAATTGAAAATCTTGTTATTTAGATGCTTGTTGAGCTTCACCGACTGAAAGCTATTGCATCGCTCACATACCATAATCTACCGTTTCCGTTAAGCACCATTGATTTTGGTTTTAAATTATTCCGGAAAAAAAGTACAATGAACTGCAAGCTTGTGGTCAGATAATAACAAATGATTTATGCAATGGCTGTGATCTTTTGTGTTACCATAGAGAAAGAACCATCAGTAGATAATACGAAGGCTGTCTTTTGGTGCTCATCAGAGCATTTACTTTTTACAATTATTTTGGACTTTCTAATTTGATCTGACATTACGTTGCTTTTATAAACTTTCTAGTGCTGGTAAAAATTATGAATAATATTTCCTGTACTGATTTAACTCCTTACAATGTGGAATTTTTGTAGGTAGATCTCTCTGCCTTCTGTACCAGCATTTTTTTACGGCAATTTTTTTTTAAAGTCATGTCATCCTGTAGTCTATGTAATAGACCATGGTGAAAGCCATGGTCTAAAAGGTTTTGAACAGATTCGCTGATTAATTGTGCAAGACAACCGCATCTTGTCCTCTAGATTTTGACCAATCAGTGGGCGCTTTCTTATGTCAGGTCTTCATTCATTCACCGGCTGTCGCGTCTAGACATGGATAAGAAAAAAGGGCTAGACACAGCAACAAAGGCTGTGGTCACGCGCTCTATATTATGTTTTTGTATTACAAAACACTACATTCGAATTGACCAATCACAGCTTTAGTCCTGATTTGGGAATGAAATGACGTCATGATTTAATAAGGCGACTTGGCTGAGGCGCGAATCCCATAAATCTGCATGCTTTGACATATCAGACGTTATACAGGAGAGTTAGCTCCGTGGATAACGGGTGATACTCAGACTAGTCATCCCTCACAGCCCTAGGATTTACATTGAAAATTTTATCCAAGTGAGCAGTCGTCTGAATATTGGTTAATAGATTTTTTGTCTCCCTATCTTGTCATTAACACGTATCACGTGTCACCTTACATGTTCTATATTGATTTTCTGACATATTCCAAGCTCGCCTAGATCAGGGTAAACATGAAGCATATGCCAGATGTGGATTAGACATGTTGTCATTAAACAAATCATTAATTTGACTTAAAGGTACAACTTTTGCTGTAATTTTCTGAAATGAATGGATTTGGGGGTTACTTTTTTATACCAGATATTGTTATACTGTTTAATTGATGCATTTAGTTTTGTGTTTATAGATGCTGGAAAAATCAAGGAAAAAAATGCTGTTTTTTGTAATTTGGTTCCCTTACCCTACTTCAGACGGAACGGAGCAATTTATAGAAATATGGGATTTGTTAGGTCAGGGAACCAGACTACCTGGCTTGCACCCGTTCACGGATGTGTAACCAATTGCAAAGAAAAAGTGTATTGTCGACTAACGAACGTTGGTATTAAAATTTGGTGCAGTATTTGGGGGAAAAAGGGCAGGGTTTTTTCAACGATGGTCGGCCGACCATTGTTAGAAATTGATACAAAAATTCCACTTTTCTTGAAAATGAGTTAAATGACAGCATTTTCTTATATTTCTTTACCCCATAAAAAAACTTGTTTTAGTGAAACTTTTCTTGCCACACTACAGGGCTTTTCCGTAAAATCCAATTCTCTGGGTACGTTCGAACACATGATGAACAAGGTCGTTAAGGTGGTGGTACCGGTACCTTAGTTTGGTCTGTAATTATTTTCCACTCATTAGATGTCACATATTAGGGATGTATCACATTCACTTTTTCAACAGCAGCTCATTAAAGTGTCTGACATGTACGTCCACATTTACGGAATTGCCCTACACACAAATATATTTTCAGGAGAGTAAGATGAAATGTATCTTTTTTTAAAATTTCTGGTTTTTAAAAAAAGGACATTTTTATGAGTTTTGCCTGTGCCTATCAATACACAGTTAAAATCAAAGGTATTTCAAATAACAAATATTTTACAGTCACATCCAAAGTCCTAATCCAAACATTCCTGCAACATGAATTCACTTTTTTTGTACATGAAAATAGAGCCCCATAACATTAACATAGGTCATGATGTGCCAGGATAGTCTGATTCATATGCAGGAGTAGAGCATTTTCCAACATTTGGGTCTGTTGAACACTGTGTATACAGATCTAGAGGGATCTACATTGGGCTAAATCTCTGATATTAAAGTGTAGCCAATCATGGGGGTGATTTTTATATTTGCTACACAGATTTGTAGTCCAGGGAGTATTCTTTACTCAAAAGATTTATTCCTCTTTATGGGGTTGTTATATATACAAGGCATGCCATAGAGATTAGTTTGACTTAATGATATTTGTTGAAAATCTGTTCAATTCTTCAAGGAAGCAGTATTTGGATATTCTTGTACTAAAACATAGCTTGTTTTGATATTTTACATGAAAGTGCTTATAAATTTGAATGAAAGAGTGGCATTCAACAGGAATTTGTTGAAATGTTTGCAGATTTGACATGTTAATTGTTCAATGCATTTCTCCAAGCGCAGCAAATAAAATGCCACATGTACACACTTGTTTTAATAGATAGGAATAATGAACAACAAAATACATTTTAATATTGCCAAATCTATAAAAGTTGCTCTCGGGGGCTTTACATATAAATAAGGATATAGGAGATAAAGTTAATAAATGGTAAATTATTTTTCAGAAAAAAATAAAGTGCAGAGTAAAGCAATTAATTGTTTCCTTTGTTCAAAATATGGTGGGGTTTTTTTCGTTAATAATGCATGAGAAGGAAGAAATCAAGTTAATGGCCCTTATCAAACGAGCATGTATTTTACGTGTATGCCTTAAAATGTCGGGGATATTGGAATCATTTGTAATACGATAGTGTAGACATGCAAAACATTCATAGTATGGCACATGTTCTGTATGTTGTATAAAGTAATAATTTTTTTCTGATAGATTGTTCAGGACTCCAACTTTAGATATTGACCTGTCGACTGCTAGAGCTGCAGCACAGTTTGCCTGACAAGCTATGATAAATCATGCCAATAGATTACCCATTAATACATAAACATGAACCTATTTTATGGGATTGCTTCATTTTTCAGGACAAGTTCAGGTTGTGAAGGTCAATTTGACATACATGTACACACATTTTGAATAGGATTCTCTTCCCTGTCAAGTCTATTTGTTTTCTTGTCATTTGTCTCATACGTTTGTGATAGATTTTGTTATAGATGTTACCACACATTGAGATTGAGATTAACAAAGGCTCTACATGTACATGCTATAACTTGAAGTGTAAAATAAACATGTACAAGACATTTGTCAGCGTCATCAGATGAACTATGCATACACTTTTTAACGTTCTTTTTGGAGCTGGTTTTGATATTAGTGATGCAATTATCACAAAATCTCGGGAACGTATGTTAAGGTTAAACAAATTGGAACGTTCAGGTTAAAAAGTCAGGGTTGGCTTCAGCATGTCAAAGGAAAATCCTAAGAATTTGTCTGCCAACCACTTTTGGATTAACACTCAAGTTGGACAATGTTCAAAACTTTATAAGCCCATAATTCATTTGCAAGACATATTTGTCATTTACTCAAAAGACTATCAAGTGTGAGGGACACAGGCTGTGGAATTCACTAACTCAACAATTCTGGGAAATTGAAAACCTCTCTTCACCTCAAAACTTCAAACTGTTTTTAGGTTTTTTTTTAATGAATATTGTGACTCCAGGTAATTCCAAATTAATTTAAATATTTTCCTTGCTACTTTGTCAACAATTGTGCACATTTTGCTTACTTCTGGTCAGTGTGTCTTGTCCCTGTCTTGTGTTAGCTTCATCATCATCTTTGTAAAGGAAACTATTTTATCAGTAAGAGGCCCATAGTTACTTGCTCTTGAATGATCACTCCACAGTACCACTATTTGTCCAAGGATGCAAGCAGAAAGGTGCAGAAAGTAAGTTACCAATGAACAATACAAATCTAGCGACAGACGTCATGAATAATAGCTCTGTCCCAAATCCGTCCATTATTTCTTTTTATTCATCCAACCACAGAGACTGGAGGAGGAGCTATCCGCCCACCAAGCCCTGCTGAAATCCGTGGCCCGCCGCGGCACGCGACGCCGCAGCCAGCCGAACAGCGCCCCCGCAGACCACGACGGGGAAGTGAACGGCAAGGAGGATTTGGACCCGGAGCTGTCTGAGATGAGAGCCAAGTGGCAGGAGATCTCAGCCCAAGAAGCAGAGAGGAAACAGCAGCTGCTTGCGTCTCTGGAGTACGCCAGACCTAAGGTGGGTGAAGTCAAGTCAGTCAAATAAGCCAGTGAGTATTTCAACTGCGCATGTGCACAGTGATGTGGGTCACAAGTCATTCAGGATGATCAAACTATCGAAGGCACATGAACACGCGGGCGCATGCGTGTCAGTTATGAGCAGAATAGACGTGCACGTTACACCGCGTAACATCACTTCAGCGATGTTATCCTGAATGACCTCCTGTCATTGAAATACCGAACTGGTTTATACTCGGCTTGATGAAACACTCTGTGAAGCTCTTTACCACAGTGTTTGTCCACATGATTTTATTCAGGAATATAAAATCCTATTATATGAGACTTAAGTTCAGAGTTTTGCATTTTGATTTTGATGTTTATTCTGGAGCCAGAGATTAGGCCACAGCAGAATTTGCTGAATAAACTTTTAATGACAGGCTTTCAAGTATTTGTTCTTCTAAGTTTTTCCTAGTTTCTTTACCTTGCTCCTATTTTTCCTACTTTTTCCTTGAAATTCTTACTTTTTCCTTGTGTGTCCCACAACTCGGAAAAATCAAAATCTAATCAAAAAATTGTCATAGTACATGTGATAGTGTTACACACTGTCATAACAATAACACAGTGTTATATAAATCACACAGGTTTTGTGGGAACGGCCTCATTAATAATATCTTCATCTTTAGTTTAACCTATTTTTCTTGTAAGTGCCTTTTCCTTTGCTCATCTTGAGAATTAATTTACGACTTTCGATTTTATGAACAGAAATGTTTCTCTCTCATGAGTAAATGTAGTCAATTAAGGTCGACAAAATACATCCTTTCAGTGCAGCATGCTCCTCAGTATTCCCTAAGGTGGCTTAAACACTGAACGCAGAGACCAGTTAATGCAATATACCCAGACAAATAATCCACACTGCACACGGCTGTAGGGCACCAAATCACACACCGAAGGGCACCGTTGATAATGTAGCCGGTGCCCACCATACCCTCATCTGTGATGGTGACCCAAGGGTCTCGAGCCCACGAGCTTCGAGAAACAGATGAAATATTCATCGCGTGATGTGGCCGATATCACACTCTGGATTACTCAGAGGGGGGAACGTGCTGCTGGAACACTTCAATAAGAAACGTCCCTAGGGCTTTCCTGAAACAGTAACAAATATTGGAATTAGAGATGGTTTCCATTCCCTCGTCGAAGCCCTGGTCAAAGTAAATAGTGTAGTTTGCGATAGTCATTTGAATAATTTGTTGTTTGTTATTTAATTTACAGCAATCTAGGAGTGTCTACTTTTGGGAATAAAACATGCTATATCCGCAGATGTCTCAGAGTTCAAAGTTTTGATGTTATCAACTGACTTCAAAACTCAAATCACTTGAATAACAAGGCTTCATTAAGGATTCTCTTAAAGATGCAATCCCGTGCTATTTTCAAGTTTTTCCTCCAAAAATACATTTGGTTTTTTTATTTTTATTTTACTATTAATATAAATGTTATATCCACTTATGAATGACACATTAAACAAAAAATCCACTGACATTTACAGTACTCATTGAAAATTATTTCAATAACATGAAATTGAAATTGATTTGTAATTGAAATTTCAACAAATTGAATTTGTGAAGTGACACACATAATGAGTTTTAAAAAATGAACAATGTCCTCGAAAGAATTGAATCATTACTGTTTAAGAAGAGGAATTAGATCATTCGTATTGACCCCATGCTAGCAAAAGACACAGTGCATATTCAAGATGACCCCCTATGACACAACCTAACGTCGGCAGTCAATTATTCGATGCGCATGAGTGGTTAATCTCACAGTGCACTGTTCTTCTGTGACCATGCGCTTCCTAATAATTTCACCATCGAACGAGAGCTCCTGCTCTGAAATACAGGAGAATTTTATGCCTCTCATGTCAACCTTGGCTGTTGTATCCTGGTCCTTACACTTGGATGATTGAGGGCTGGGCAATGATGGACCGAGGGCAGAGTGAAAGAAGGAAGGCTGAGTGCTTTCCAAAATGATTACATCATTGATCCGCAGCTGAAGCATTTACCTATGGGCTTTTAACCTTTGAGCTTGTGACCCAAGTAAAGACATTTCATTTGTTTGCAAACATCCAGCACCTTTGGTATTGGAAACCCTCAATTTGCATAAATTGTGTCCATGTTTAGCAATGAGTATTACCAACAGGATGCACTTGTTATACATGTATAGTGAGAGGTAGTTATGAAGGTTTTGTTATTCGTCTGTTATTTGTCCCATTTTGAATAGTGGCATGGTATTTCATGAAAACGTTTGTGAATTTATTTTTCATTTTTTGGTAGTGTGTATTTTGTCACAAACAGACTCCTCTTTTCTAATATTTTGTTGATTTAGATCTTCCCCTTTCAATGATAGATTTATTTCTGAAAACAGACTAAAATCATCAGACTTGTCATCCCTAAAGAAATCATATTTAGAGGCAAAATGGAAACTTACAGTATTTTAAGCCATTATTATTTGGCTATGATGACTGCCAACACTTAACTAAAGCTAATTGGGCCCAAAGAAAACTATGGTGATGACAGCAAAAGAAATGGTTATATATACATAAAAAAATCAGGGCTCTGGACACAAACTGAGACCAACCAGTTACTTTTATTAATTAAAAATGTGCTTGTTTCCTTGCAGGAGACTAACGGTATGCACTACCCTGCCCCAACCTGGCGAACTTTGACCTTTGACCTCCCAGACAGGTCAGAGGAGGCAGAGGAGGACATGCAAGCATCCTTGAAGGCTCTCAGTCAGTGCTGGGAGAATATGCAATCTCAGGTAATGGCTAGTCACTTTCTTTAACTTGAGGCTGCAGCTGAATTACGCAGCTATGGCTGTCTGTGGGAAGTGGCTGCAGCGGCTTCCATAGGAGCTAGTGTTATTGCAAGCCATAGCCAGGTTAATCAGATAGGGCTTTCTGATTGTTAGGGAGTCATGTTGACATCTCTTAACCCCAACCCCTTGAGCACTTTTAGTATCCCGAATCCACCAAAATCCTTCAAGTTAGTCATGCCAAAAAATGTTGGTGTCCTGGGTCCATCATATTAATTTGTTTCTGTACGTCTGCCTTTAATTAAATATACATTGATTATTGACTTGTCTGATTACATTAACCCACATGTAAGCGTACATGTCGTGTACCCTACATCCAGAGCTTGATGACTCCAGTTCCTATCAATTTGGAATTAGATGCCAGCATGTGGAATGCAATCGATAGAAACGACAAGTTGACATTAAATATTTGCTTGAGTGTTTTTATTTACTTTGGTTTGGGGCGCAGTCTTGATCCAGCAGTTTGCAGCAGTACTTGCCTCATTTTTTGTGTGTGCTGAAGAAACTAATTGAAATCCACTATACAAATACGAAACAGAGCAGGATTGGTATGGAATTTCAATATCAGGTCTTACAAACACTTAAAACATGGTGCTTACCTTCATCTGTAAATTGGTACCGGAATTCCAGCCATTTCTAGCTTTAAAAAAAAAAAAAAAAGCTTTTTCAGTAATGTGGCTTTCAGCAGGCCCGGATTACGAAACATGTTTGGGGCCTGCTGGGGTGTGCCATAAAGCACACACATTCTTGTTCCGTAGTTGTGGGGACATGCACTCGTCTGTACGAGGTATTTGTGGGGACCGAAAACACTGTGGGGACCAAAAATGCTGTGGGGACAGCAAAATGTCCCCACAACTCGGTCCTGGTCATTTTAACAATGAAAAACCTCCCCACAATGCCATGTAGGCCAGGGCCCGCACACACACAGGGGCAGGGCCTACGGAGCGCTGGTGCCTAGGGTCTATGGAACGCTTAATCTGGCCCTGGCTTTGAGAACTTAAAAGTGGTTAGTTGAATAAGTTAAAGTGGTTTAGTAGCTGTATCTCTTTTTCGTATCAAAATGGATTTGTTCAGTAACAGGCTGTGAGTAGTATTCTCAATAATTAAGTGTCAAAAATAGATTTTAAAAATCCCCAATTTTTTTGAATTTCAGTGAATCACCTGTATACATGTATAAGACGTGTTAGGTATGTGTGTGCTGGACTTCATTATTTTATGAACAGTTTGTGTGAAGTTCATGCTTATTGAAAATTCTTAATTTAGATAGATTAAAAGTATATAGAATGGATCCATTTTGCAAACCTCAAGATAATTGTACAGTTAAACCTACATCAGATACAGTTTAACAAACTTCCAGTCAGGCATTTTTGAAAATCCAGCCAATAAACCAGTGTTTGCTGAACTTTTTTGTTATTGAGCATTGTAAGTCAAGGTTTACATCCAAGCGGATCCATTGTATCTATTCTTAGTCCTGAAAACCACACGTTGAAACCAAATGGGTAGGACCAAATTGTGAGTTGAGGTTTGTGGTCGAGAGCAGTGATGTGAGACGTTGTTTTTTTTCTGGAGTGAATTTTTGCAAGGTTGTGGAATACATGTAAAGTGCAGTGGCCCAGAAGTATGTGGCCATATACAGTGGGATGGGGTAAGAATAATGTTGGATATTGTGTTGGAAAAAAACATCCTTGATAGTTACTGTATATCAGTTTAAATTTAAATACAAATAATTAAAAAAAAAAAACCTTACTTGTATAAGGCATCAACAAATTTGTTTTCTGACATGTAGTTTCTGACATTTTTAAAGAACAGAATCTTATTTATATATCCAGAATGTTATTTTAACATTATAAAATTGCTTGAACACTTAAAGTTGTTTTTTCAGTCTACAATAGTGAGCTTTTTCACCAAAAATATTTAAGCATTTTTTGTTAACATTTTTCTACAGAGAATATTGAACTCAAAATGGCCACAATAAACAGGTTGATGAACTTGACATTTGGCACACAATTGATCATTGACAGAAACCAATACAGTTTGTTCAGTAGAATGTTGATTGTAGGAAAATTAGACATTGAAGGTCTATTTGTAAATGTGATCAAGTAGTATCAACAAGAATTGTCAAATTGTTGCAATATCACATTATTAGGCGTACATAAAAATACCGATAGATTTATGCATAGTCTCCCATAGGCAGAAATCGTCATGACAGCTGGCCGTTGATATAATGGTCATTATGTCTGCATTAGATGTTGTACGAAGTTAACTTCTGCTGGTATTCCACAGTTAGTCATTCGAAGCTCAGTGACATTATGGGCCCTGGCCGCAAGCCTGTTCGGTATGACGATATTTCACGATATTTCGATTAAATTTTCATATCGGAAATCGTATCGATCTCATAAAAAAAAATCGGCACATCGTGAAATTCGATATGCCGAAAAATACCGCGATATTCTTTTGAGGTACCACTTTTGTAACCAAAGTCAATCCCTCTCAGTTTCTTACAGTCGCTAAAGCGCTCCCATGAAAAACCGCAAACCACAAATTCACTGTTACCGCATTGTATGTACCGCGAGGTCTTACCTATTCAGGGGCGGAACCAACTGACTAACGTCACGTGTATTGGATTTTGCGTCTTCCACACTGCACGTGGTGCAGTACAAACACCACAATTTCACCCCACATACCAAGTGCCAAAATCGTAATCACGTGCGTGGAGTTAACCGAAGGGAAACAAAGTCTCTGACATTTCGCAAAGAAAATACGGTGCCAAATACATGTGCTTGAATTGTAGATTAGGACGTTGAGAAGTGAATGTTTCGTTTCGGCACGCGGCTAGAGGAGACCACGCCGAGCCCGCAAATTTTCTTTTTCCAGCACCAAACGACATCCGCATACGCACGTAAAGCGCCCTCTACGATACTTTTATGATACGTGGGCATTATATATTTATTAGGCCTAGTTTTCCAATTTTGAAGCGAGCAATGTGACAGCTCAGTCGATAATTTATTGTGTTTTATACCGCGAGGTTGCGGGTTCGAATCACGGTATTGCAGATGATTTTTTTTTTATTATTATTTTCTAACCTGAGGCTTTGGAGGATTTTATTAAAAAGGGAAATAAAGCCCGAATTTCTTATATTTCTTTTTTTGATTTTCTTCTCATGTTTTTAGAAAAGTATAGTCCAAAACGCCATAGCGTATTGCGGATGTCGTACGCGTTTGGGAGAGAAAAAAAAAATTGCCGCTGGGCTGGGACGACTCCACGCAGGCGAACTAGATCAAATTTTCCTGCACGTATTTTCCTGACTCGTTCCTTCTCTTCCGTGGTTGTGCCTGGGCACTTACACTTGCTTAGTGCCAAAACTGTCCCAGACTTATGAAATCTGTTCATATTTTCAGCAACAAAAAACGTCGAAAACCAACTGTTCAGTCGTGCCTTTTATTTCGTTCACAGAACAGAAAATGCGTCACAAGAAATTGGACTGATCCATTAATTTTTGTAAAGGGGTGCTTCACCCTCATTTTGGAGTTAACATCGTTTTTCGAAACAAATCTTTAGAAAAAAAAATATTTTATTAGTTTGTAACGATGAAGAACTTTTTCTGAACCAGGAAATATTTCGGACTCCATTAAAAAATATTATTTGTAATTCTGAAAAGATGGAAATACTGGTAAATTGTTTTCAATGAAGCACACCCTTGCCGCAATGGTGTGGGCTGTACTATGAGTGCACGTGGGGATCATGTCAATGCGGCGTGCAATTGCGTGCTAGTGCTTCGTTCTTTCCTCGATATGGATTTCTATTTGCACATTTTTATCCAACATTTCAATGTAATTTTGTTTTCGATGTTTGAATGTGGAATTTATTTTCTACCTAAATTGGCAAAGTAAATGAGACTCTAGTCAAATAAACTTGACGATTTTGTTCAGGACATATTGGGTCTTTTTCACGGCAGTGGATCGTGACTTCGGTCAGGTTTTTTTTTTTTTTTTTTTTTTTTTTTTCCATTGTTCCATGAATGGAAAAATGACGTCATCACGATAATATCGCGATATCCGATATTTTTTTCACGATTTGCCGATTTAAAAATAAATGGATATCGAACAGGCTTACCTGGCCGTAGGGCTATTCATTGGGTTACATTTCAGAGTTGTTTTAAAACATTCATGTTTTTGCTGGTATTTTACTGGTGTTCTGTTGTTGCCCATGAGTTGGTATTTGAGTGAAAGGGCTTAGTTTACAAAGCCTAATTCATATGCCAGCTTGCTGGTAGGTCGGGTATTTGAACCCATGTCACAGAGGGAAAGGCAAGTAAAAAACAAAACATTCTTAACGGGAATATACAACATTTGAAACATCAAAAAATATAACTTCCAAATTATTATGAAATACCTTACTGGACTGTTAATGAATGACAGTCTCAAGCATCGTCTGAAATCATGGCACCTGGTGTGCTCTAATTTCAAAGTAAAATGCCAGCCGTTGGGAAAAACTGGCTTTGTTTTTTTTTCAAATACTGCCCCCAATTTACCATATTTAGTTAGTCAACACTTTTTTGGCAATCGATTACCCACCTATGAACGTGTACAAGCTAGCTAGACTGGTTCCCTGACCTTATAATTCCCTGACGTCTATAAATTGCTTTGTTTCATCTTAAGTGGGGTCAGGGAACCAGACCACAGGAACATGATTGTTTTTCCTTGGTTTTCCAACGTCTTTGAGCACAACACTTCAAACAAGTCAGTGTTACAATATTTTACTATAAAATACCAACCCCCAAATTGTTTTTTGAAAATTACAGCAAAAACGAATGTTGTATATTCCCTTTAACCTGATGCTGGTTACACCGTTGCCAGTAATAAATGACGCTTATTTTAAAGAGATGGTGAATTGATTTGGATACTGGAGTTTCAATTTTTTTGGATTTTGGTTTCAGATTTTCTCTTACTGGATAACATTCAGTATTTGAATTGAATTAATCCAACTCTTACTGTATATGCACTATATACTGAGTGCTGTCCTAGTGCTTAGAAGAACAAAGTTCACAAGCTTGGTTTGGGTGGGGCTCGAATCCCTGACATCCTGCTTACCGGTGCAGCTGTCTTAACCACTGACAGGTGGAACAGATGTATAGCACTTTAAAGAGTGACAACAAGAATAATTTGCATGAGCTTTCAGCTACTTGTACTTCATCAGATGCAATGAAGAAGAATGTCATAGGCAACTAAGGCAAGGTTTATATATTTTGGACAGCACTGACAAAATTACATTATTGTAAGTTAAATTTTTTATATAAACCGGAAAGGGAAACTGGCTAGGTGTATAAATGATAACTATATCATTGAACAAAGAAATTGACTGGAGCAGGGTTTGAACCAGCTACCTCTGAAAACTTGGGCCGGTGCTCTGCCAACTGAGGGATAGTTATTTTAATTTAAACCTAGTATTAGAGTCAATGCCTGACTGATGCAAAACCAATCACATAAGTGATTTCCTATTTTCTTTTCTTCTTTTTCATCTTTAGGTTGAGGATCAGCAGACCCGACTAGAGCAGGCCTATGAGTTCCAGACAGCCTACCAGACGGCTCTACAGAGAGTCTCTGGTTGGCTGGACAACATGCAGCTCAAACTCTTCTCCTCCAACTGGCAGAAAGATACGCAGACACAGCTGGATGACCACGCTGTAAGGATTCTTAACAAAACTGGCAGTGTCTTAGGGCAGGGATGCACATTGCTTGTAGAGCCCAAAAAGCAAAAACAAAGACGGAAAAGGCCTTTGGGAGCAGTCTTTTCCTAAGTAGTTACGGGCTCATTTCCAAGGAGTTTATGGTCCTCCCCTCACCCCTCCTCAAGAAACCTTTTTCTGCCGCAAATTCTCTTAGGCCATTTACAGATTTTTTTTCAACCCACAATACAAAAAGGACTACAAATTTTTCGGGAAATCTCTTCTTTTCTTTTTTTACTCAAGTACATGTAGCAGAAGCTAAAACCTGTTCCCCATTCATAGGTTGTCTGTATACAGATAGGACCATTAAAATGGTTTCAGTCAGGGCCGAGCCACTGACCAGAATTTCACGCCAAAAGTTAAAATCTCTGCGGAAACAACAGAACACCAAAATCAAAAGGATCAACCATTTATTGCAATTGTTTCCTTCTGAGTAAACTATATGTGAGAAATTCAGCAGACCTGGTGCATACATGAATATTGTGGAACTGTCTGTCAGGGTTAAGATGGTTTCCTTCCTTTTCATACATTGTTGCATTTTGCAGGGTTTTAAAATCAAATGTGATACTTCCGAATTTGCAAGGCCCACCCTCTCCTATATTCCCTTCTCTAATATGTGTGAAACAGAATTGTTAACAACTGTTAACACATCTATCACAAGTCAAATCAAATGTCCATCAAAATTTCTCCAGAACTAGCCGTTTATTTTTTTGTTGAAGACATTTTCATCCCTTTTATTCAGTTATGCCTCTAACGCTTGTGATATTTCTTAACTTCCCTTTTTTCCCCAGGTTCTCCAAGATGAAATCCACTCCTTCCAGGACCAGCTGGAAGTCATGAATGAGTCCTGCCAGGCCGTCCTCCTGGAAACCAATGAGCAGAGCCGGCAGCTGATCCAGCAAGCGTTGACTGATCTCAACTCCAGGATGTCCACGCTAGAGACGGAGGCCCAACAACGAGAGGAAGAACTCCAGGAGAAGAACAGGAGACAAAAGGCTTTCCAGGTATGGTATAAAGTCCATTACATTGATTGGGTTTACAAATAGGTATACATCTTTACAAGTCAGTTGTACCTATATTCCCTTCTCTAGTTCTAGCAATCTCAATAGACATACCCACGATGACTGAAACAGTGGAGAATTCCCCCTGTGCTGGAAAAAGGCACAACACTTTGGAAAACTTTGTGCCACATGAAAAATAAGTTCATTTTAATTTCCACCCACCCTTACAGAAAAAAAAAACCCACTCCTTAACTTTGTCTAAAAGCATCATTTTTGTAATTGCTCCAAACTTGAATTAAAATCCCGGTGAGACCACTGGTTCCCAGATTAGAGGCGTAAAAATGCGACGCTTAAGACCCAACCCAACAAATTAAGTTTGACTTGAGGAGTCAAGTTTTAACTTTACGTTACCAAGTTGCACTTTTGAAGTAGCTTTTTACAAATTGTATCTATTCTGCCACAGTCTTTTTTTTTAAACAAACGTCCTCATTTCTCATCATGTGCTTGATTTTATGTTATGTTTTCTTGATTTTTGTTTAATTTTTTTGACTCAGGATGATGTACAAGTCTTCCAAGGCTGGTTGAGTGATGCCAAGAAGAGACTAACCAGCCAAGAGGATTCCGAGAATGCGGTCTCATTAGAAGACAAGATCAATCACAACCAGGTAAGGAGTTCATTCCAAATACGCAAATGTTACTTCGAAAATTCCGAGAACAGTTGGTCCTTGAAAAGATCTGGTTGAATTCCTGCACTGGTGTGATGTAGATTTCGTAACTGATTTTACTTTTCACCAACATAATTGCAGAATATGGGTCATTCTAAATTTTGGGTCCCTGTTTTTTTCCTGGATGTCCCTGTTACCTCTGAATTGTGTAATTTGCCATTCAAGTATTTGTTGAGTTGGTAGTTTGCTATTCATAGTCACTCTCAGAGGACGACTGCATAAAAGGGTGCAACCAGAATTATTAAATCGTAGATGTCAGAAATAACAGGGACAGCAAGAAAAATGGACCTCAAATTTATGGAATGACTCGTATGAAAAATTGTAGAATTATGTCAGTAAAGGGGAAAAGCCAAGATTAAAAAGTCCTTACTACCCTTTGTATTAATATCAAAGAACTTCACTGTTTAATGAATTGTCATTCACTGAAAACTTTGTAATACATGTTCAAGGGCAAAGAAGACAAAGTACATGTGACCGTGTGTTTTTTATTGCCCTTGACTCAAGTTATATTTCATGCCCTAATCTCACAAGAGAACACTTTTGGGTAAACAATCTGCCATATGCGTTTAAAATCAAGATACCCATGAAATGGAATTTTCAAGTGAGCATGAAGCATTTTGACATTCACGTTTTGAAAGCAGTGTAGCATAAACCAACACGTTGAATTGAAAAAAAAAAAACATAAACCAACACGTTGAATTGAAAAAAAAAAAAATTATTCCAAAGCGAAAGTCATCGAATCGAATCACGACGTGCTTATGTTCCACAACTCTGAACTGGCTTATTGTAAATGGCGTCGTGCGCATCAAACCTATGAGCCTACAGCCATTGGGCCTGTTGCCTTCCATTGAAAGTTGTCAATTGAGTTTGCAGTGATGCCTAGGGCAACTGAGGATTTTAAAATTGCACAAAGAAACTGACTGGAACGGGGTTTGAACATGCGACGTCCGGCACCTAGTCAGCTTCCCTTTGTGGGTTATTTGCAACTGAAGATTGTTAGATCTGTGTTTACTGTGCTGCCTGTTCACGTGACATTCTATGTGTAATTTTGTCTCATTTCTTCGACGTGATTGTGAACAGGATCCCCGACAACAAATCCAGGTTAGCCATTGTGCTATACAGTTACTTCCTGCTTGCCTTCTAAACTGCTTGATACAGTATTGAGTTTCTAATGAGATCAAATACCCTGTCCAATGCTTGCTTGGGTTTGTAAACTAACCATTTTTTGGAAATGGAAGCAACGGGGGTAAAAGGAATTGTGTAGTTATTAACTAACAGGTGCACTGGAGTATCAAAAATGGGGTTCTAATTTTTGCCCATGCTTGCATTATGAACTTCGTTTGTATGTTAAGGAGACTTTTCTGGCGAGAATGAAGTTTGTAAATTTGCACTCGGGATTGTACTTCCTTTAGTTGGTAAATATTCTACATGTACATGGAGCATGGTTGTTACTTGGTTATTTAAGCATGGTTAACTTTCTTGTTAAAACCTAATAACGATTGAAGCCTGAATTAGTGGTAATTTACCATGTTGTTTCACTTTTTTGCAGTCTCTTCATTATTTTTTTCAGATGTTCGCTCTTAATTAACTTCTTGGGAAACCAAATGTATTATTCACAAGTTGGGGTTTTAGAGCACTTAACTCACTGGAGCACGCATGGAGCAGTACCTATGCATTCAAATCCAGATCCTCTAAAACATCTAGAAATATGCTGTCTCTCAAGCTGATTGTGATGGTTGTCGTCGTCGTAGTAATTTCTGGTGAAAATGTGGTGCATTCTTGGGATACCACCATTGTCTTTGCCTGCCCACTTCAAACATACATTGATGAACAGTTACATTCCTAGGATCCCCCCTCCCCCACCCTCCTCACACCCCTTCCCCATTCTTCCTTTTCCCCTGTCCCCGTTCCCTCCCCGTTCCCGCCCACCACTGTTCCCCACCCCATCCCCACCCCTGTTCCCCACCCCCGTTCCCCACACCAGCTGTGACCCATGCTCCACATTTCCCCATGCTCCCTTTCAGAAAGAAATTACCGTAATTTCCTGCGGATAAGACGCGTCTTATCTGACTTTTTAGACCACAAAAACATCGCTGCGCCTTATCTACAGGTGCGCCTTATCTGGTGTCGCTTGAGTTTTTCTTTGTGTGAAGAATTCTTTCAATGCCGCAATCAATAATGCAGTCAACCAAGGCTCAACTCTCCAGACATTGTGACCGTATTTTCATTCCAACAATGCCGCGATGTGTTGATCCCCCATGATCGTGCTTTCATTCCAACAATGCCGCAATGCGTTGATCCCCCTTAGTGTTCGTGCTTTCGTTCCAACAATGCCGTCATACAAACGTTTTTCTTTGTGGCCGTTTTTTCATTCCGAAAATGCTGCAATCAGAATTACTTAAACGTTTGGAAATCGCATTCACTCAAGTTCTATTGTGTGAACGTTGAGGGTGTTTATTGTACAGGATATCTTCGAAGTCTGCTTTAGACTTTAGCCGTGTCCGCACTGGACTCTTTTTTTGGAAGGTTTTACCGAGACGATGGTAAAATGAGAAATGGTCAAATGTGACCACTGTCCGCACTTGGACTTTCGACACGGGAAAATTTACCCAGGCCGCGTGGGAGAAGTAACCGAGCTGTCACAGTGTCAGTATAATGACTCACCGTACACAGAAAACAAATTGCCGATCACATTTTCAGCCGCCGATACGCACAGTAATATTACACACGCCATTTGCATGCACAACATAATCGTTTACACGATATTATTTCATCTTGACACACTAAATCTTGACGAAAAGGCCGATAATTCTGACGCATTTGTGATGCACGTCGTCGAAGCCATGCCGCTGTGCGATGTTCCGTGCGGCAGCAGTGCCATCAGTATTCGTTGGTTCCCATCGCATGCTTACAGAATCGAAGCTATGATGTGGGCCAGGAACCAGTGACTACGGCCTACGTACGGTACCAGACCATGATGTTCCGTGCATGTTCCGTGCAATTTGGATCGTAGAAAATAACATACATCGGTGGAGAAAGAGAATTTCCGCAAATTAATTCTCAGAACGTGATCTCTCTTCTCTGTGTATGTATTTGTCCGTTGAAATATATATTTTAACGAGATTTTACCGCTCGGACTTGATGATACACCGCAGCGTGTTTCTACAAAATGTTCGGCCACTGCACGTGCAGGTTCGTGCGGTCTCTGTATGCATAACAGGGCGCTCGGGCCGGATGTACGCTTTCCTGAGCCGCTTTTACCGACTCGCACTGTCCGCACTGGACTTATCGTCTCGGGAAAAGTGCTTCATGGCTCTACATGTGACCAGCCATTGTGGTTACGGTTTAATTCATCCTCCGAATAGTGTGATCGTTCTAAGGCAACACAATGGCCCCTTTGTGGGGATGTACCGACACCGGTGACGCCTGGTGTTCTTCTGTGTGCGGTCAAACATGCGTCTTATGCGGCGGTGCGCCTTATCTGTTGGCGTTTGAATTTTTTGTGTGTGATTTTAGGGACCTGCGCCTTATCCGCCGCGCGCCTTATCCGCAGGAAATTACGGTATTCATGATACTCGGTCTCTCTTTAGTACCACCCTCCCCCAAGCCTCTTCCAACCCCCAACCCTCAACCTCTGCATAGGCAGAAATTGTTATAGGCCTTGTTTTTTGCCCAGCCCACTGTCATTTATAAGAGTCAAGAGAAACGCTTCTGTTATCATTTTTTAATTGTCCCCCTTTTATGCATTATTGATTACAAAGATAATCAACAGGTTTTTACAATTGAAGAGCTACCGTAACAAATTTCAAGTACACATTTTTCTGATAAGCCATTCTGGAAGACCCATACCAGCATGTTGCAGAGTGGTAATCAAGTCAATCACAAGTCAAATCGCAAAGTCTTGTTGCAAGTGGCGGGGGATCAAGTTGACAAAGGAGTGCCTTTCTTACAGTTTATGTAAATAACTTGTCACATTTGCGACTGGGTGACTTGTTATGACTTATATGGACTTGTGAGGACTTGTGATGGACTTGTGAGGACTTGTGGTCGACGTTTGAGGGATTGTGATGGACTTATGAAGACTTGTGAGGACTTGTGATGGACTTATTATTGAGGACTTGTGATGGACGTGTAGGGACTTGTGATGGACTTGTGATGGACTTGTGAAGACTTGTGAGGACTTGGGATGGACTTGTGAAGACTTGTGAGGACTTGGGATGGACTTGTGTAGGACTTGTTGGACGTGTGAGGACTTGTATGGACTTGTGATGGATTTGTGAGTACTGGTGAAGACTTGTGAAGACTTGTGATGGACTGATTACAAATCTAGAATGTTGTGATCAGTAGCATGCACTTTCTAACCCTAGTCTTTTTTAAATGCTCCCACAGCAATTAGAAAACGAAATCCAACAAAATGAGGCCAAACTGCGAGAGGTCGTGGAGAAAGGAGACCAGCTCTTGAGTCTGGATCCACAGAGCCCCGCTGTAGGGAATGAAGTGAGCATGCTGCAGACTGGATGGGAGGACCTGTACCGTCAGGCAGGGACCAGGAGAAGACATCTCAAAAAAGCCAAGATAGTCCAGGTAAGAGGGGCGCATGGTTGAATGGAGCTAGACTAGTGTTTGGGTTGTGTGTTGTTGATGCTGGCCATATTTGGCGTGGGTGATTTCTGGTTGACTAGTTGGTTAGAAGGTTGTTCAATGATTTCCTTGATGTTGGGTGATAGGATAGTTGTTCTAGCTCGTTGGTAAGTAGCATACTGGTTGGCTGCCCATCGGCGTTTTTGAGATATGGTGGACACAACAGGAAAGCGGTATTTGGTTTGGGTAAATTTGGGCAAATACTAAAGAATTTACCCAAACCAGGTAGCGACATCTTATTGTGTCCACCATTGTTTTAAGCTAAGTGGTTGGTTAGTTGGTATAGGGGTTTAACTAGATTTCCAATCAGCTAGCTTGCAGCTGCTTGTCTGTTGGTTGATTGGATGCACAGTGCACTGGTTTGTTCCCTCTCCTGCCTAGCTTATTGTGTTTCACCAGTTGCTGATTTCAGTTTCCCTGCTTTAGTTGAGTGGTCGTTTGTGACATTGGCTTTCCAGGTTGATAATAAAGCACTTTTTGGTAGTACCTCTCCAGTTAGCAGGTACATGACTTTTTGCTGGGTAGATTTTTCTAATGTCATGTTTTGCATTCATCAATGAAATTGTGTACCTTTGTGTAACAAGGTAATCTGTTCAATTCCGATTCTAATCCATTTCTTTTATTATCAATTACTTTCCTCTCGGATCTTCCTCCACTTATCTTATCTCCCAGGGCCCCCAGGGAGAACAGTTCATTGACAACTGATGGGGCTACCCTGGTAAAATAACACGAAATAAATAAATAAATACAAATAAATAAATAAATAAAAACATCATTCTAAATCCCCACACTTGTCATGTTTTCCGTCTTCAGGAGCAGTACCATAAGATCCTCCAGGACTACATGGAGTTCCTGGACACTGCGGAGCAGAAGCTGAGCAGAGACGACATCATGGCAACCGATGCACGCAACCTCAGGGAACAACTCGAAAAACACAAAGTAAGTATTTCAAAAATGATCTACTCTATCTTTTCTTTGATATTATTCAGTTCTTGGTAATTGTTCCTCTGCTGTATTCAAAGGCTATCCAATCAATGGGAATGTAAAGTTATGAAATGTTTGTTTTAATTTAGAGTGCCTTACATTTCTGATTGCAGCACCTTTTTTCTTTTACAGTGACAACTTCTTAGAAAGCAAAACTCGGAAATAGAAATGCACTTGTATTGTGCTACTGCAAAAATGATTTTTTTTTTCTGTGGCAACTTACTTGTGAATGGAGTCTCTTATAAGAAATAACTTTGTTCGATATTTGGCCAGTCTGTGAAAACTCTTCTAATGTGAGATTAATGGCCTTTAAATCTGCCGTTGCTTTATGAGATGCATTTTCTTTTTCAGGTCAAAAGTTTTAATGTGAAGTGTGCTGAAAAAAGGAACATTTTAACAATGTAATGGGATTTTAAAAATCTCATCAAACTGCAGTGTTGATGAAATAGTTATTATTGTCATCTTTAAATCAATAGGAACTCTTTAGTAACTTTAGCACCCCCCATCTAAACAGAGCATTTTTTTATGAAATAGTAACCAATTTCAATTTTTTTTATATTGAGATTTGTTGCTCTGTGACACCCACACTCTTCAGAACCAATGTGTTGTTGATAAAGTAGTTACCAATTTTCAGCTAGTTCTTCAATGGCTTGGACATAGTAACCAATTTCCGCCTCATTCTCAACAGGAGTTCTTCAGCGACCTGGGCATCCACCATCTGACCATCGAGTCCATCGCCCAGAAGGCGGACCCCTACACCCAGGAGCTCTTCACCAGCCAACGCTCCCAGCTGGACCAACGCAGCCACGCCATCCAGGCCAAGGCCACAGTCCGAGGCCAGACCCTGGAGAGACTGGTGACTGACTGGGTTCAGCTGGAGAAGAGCCTGGAGGAGTTGAGGAGCTGGCTGGGGCACGTGGAGGCCCAGTTGCCGAGCAGCATCGACGATGCCACACAGGAGAACGTGCAGAAGGGCATACACAAATACCAGGTGAGTTGTCAGGATTTTCTTACGGACGCCGTGGGCAGTACCCTCTCTATGGTTGAAAGGGGGAGTTTGGGGAGACCACTGGGAGGGACATTCGTTGAGCGCCAATGGTTTTGGTGTTCGACTCATGTGCCCTGGTACATGGGTTTGAATCCGGACGGGGAACTTAGTGTTTGTGTTCTTGGGCAAGACACTTTACTACAATGGCCTCTCTCTACCCAGGAGTATAAATGCGTACCCCTGAAGGTAGAGACCAGATTCCGCTGATTTCGAGCAGCTCCAGAAAAATAAGTCTCATGCTTTCATGAACATGAGTAACAATATTGAAGCGCTTTTAGAACTTTGGTATAAAGCACTTTATAAGCACCACATCTTAATCATTACCACATCATTCCAAAACTTTGCCGACAACGCCAGACTCTTATGCAAAGATGCTATGGTTTTGTGCACATTCAGAATAAAATTAATCATGCGTACTTCAAGACATACACGCGCAAATCTATACGCGTATGCGATGTGTCCCATCCACTGGGCTCTCCAAAATGGTCGAAAAGCGCCGTCAACTGTTCATGCCTTGCCATACCTTAGAGAGAGTCCAAACCATATTCAACCGTTAGCTGAGAATAAGGTAGACGGCGTTTTTTGTATTCACATATATCACTGCGATTGGAAACCACCGATAACTGAAACAATAGACTTGATTTTCAGGCTGAATGCTACGCGCCGTTGAGGTCCAACTTTTTCACTTTTTTCTTGCAATTCTTTGAAGCAAAATGGTGCTTTACAGGAGAATGCTGTTATCACAAACTTTGTTATACCAAACATTTGGCTTTAACAAACCTATTTTTCATACATTTTTTGCCCAATAATATTATTTTTTTAAAGTTATTGACTTGGTTTATAAGACGGCAGTGGGTGATTTTCATAGATTTAATTGTTACACCATCTGGATGAAATTTTGAATTTGAATGAAATGCATGTTTCAATGAGGCTTTTTCTAAAAACTGCCATTTTATTTTTGAAAAAATCTAGGCGATGACCAATCTTCTGAGTGACCGCAAGCCCACCTTACAGCAAGTACTGAACCGTGGCCAGGCCCTTCTGAAGAACCTCACCTCGTCCAAGCTAGACAACCAACTCATAGACCTCTCTGAGAAGTGGGCCACCGTGCAGTCCAAGATCAGCCAGGAGCTGGCCCTGTTGAACGGCCTTCTCCAGGAGTGGAAGGCCTTCAACCAGGAATCGACCCGCTTGCTGCCCTGGCTGATCAACGCCAACAAGGAGCTCCTGGAGTGGGGCAAGAAGGACCAGCAGCCTCAGGAAGTGGGAGCCATCGTGGCCCGCTTGGAAAAGTTCATGGTGAGCCTCATGATAGTGGATTTGTAGAAAGTATTGCAGAGAATGGCGGTCACATGCACTAATCATTTGGGTTTGGACTTATAAAAAAAATCTCCTCAATTGTAAAGGAGAGAGAGTGAGAGACATGGTACAAAACTTGAATGCCATTGCAACCATCCAATTAAGCTCAGGTGCATTCCTCGCAAATACTCCATGAGTTTGTGCACATTTAGATGAGAATGTGTACTCCATGTCTTATGCACATAAATAAATGCACATGGGTCATTCTTTAAATTTAGGGTCCAAAGTGTGACATTTTTCCCGTCCCTGTGCTTTGTAATTTGCCATTCAGGTATCGTTGAGAGTGACTTTGACGTTTTTAGGGGGGGGGGTTAGGTAGTGTGCTATTCATAATCACTATTGGAGGATGACGTCAGATTTATGAAATAAAGATGTCAGATGTAACAGGAACGGGAAAAAGGGACCCCATATTTATAGCAAGACCCACGTATGCACTACATGTATGTCCTTCAAACACACTGACTCTGGTAGTCTGGTTTAACTAAACTACTGAGGATTTGTACTGTTCCATTCTTTTTGTTCCTGTTCTTTGGAGTTCTTTTTTGACATGTCCCACAAGGATAATCTTACACAGATTTAATAGTAAGTCTGAAATGTTTAGTTCTTAAACAGTATATTTTTTTCAGTTTTGTATTATAAAATGGTTGTTCACTGTTCACCACTCTGTGTGTACAGGTTTTCCGTAAAGACATAGACAGCCACACGCCTCTCAAGGAGTCGGTCTGTAATCACGGCCAGCAGCTGCTGAAAGTCAAGAAGCTCCACACCCAACCAATCACAGAGAAGCTACGATTGATTGACAGCCAGTGGAGCGAATTACAGAACGAGCTGCCTCATGTCCAGGAGGAGCTTCATCAAATGCAGGTTGGTGACGTATAAAATAATAACCGTTAAGCACTAAATGATAGACTAAAGGTAAGTTACAATTTTTTCACAAGAACGTGTACACCTAATATCCATGTAACATCATTAATATGCACGTAAACATCGCAAAAATATGCCACAAACATACAACTGCTTGCTTACTGCAAACAATGCCGAACAGGTGATTTTGATTCTCCTCTTTACATGAAGAAAAAGAGGAAAAAACCCTCTTGCATTTCCTTTGCATGCAAGATTTTCAATACTAATAATGGTGTTTTATTAGATCAGAATTTATGTCAAATAATGTACTATTTAGGTCACATAATTTGTTGTCCTAATTCATAGACTTGAGAAAATTACCTCATTAAAACGTAAGAATTTTTTGGCATTTTAAAAAGGGTCAAAGAGTAGATTCAGTTCTCGTACATTCTGGTGCCCTGGCCTACACCGCGTTATGGGGAAGTTTTTTATTGTTAGGCAAATTAGGACCAAGTTATGGGGACTTTCTGCTGTCCCCACAGCATTTTCAGTCCCGACAAATGCCTTGTACAGACGAGTGTATGTCCCCACAACTACGGAACACAGATTTTATGATACACCAACTTCCAAAAAGTCCATCTCTTTAGTGTTTGCTTTTGCTGCCTTGCCATCAGATGGAATTGTTGCCATCAAGACAAGCCTTAAACGAGCTGATGGTGTGGATGGATGCCCTGGAACGCATCTTAGAAGACCACAAGGAGAAGACACACTCCAGCTCTAGTGAGGTGGACGAAATGATGCAGACATACAGGGTAAGATTATTTACCTATTGCTGTTGTCAGTCTGTTAGCCTACAGTGTTGTATTTGTCTGTTTTCCATTGACGTTCTGTTTATTTGTCTTTTTTCTGTCTTGTCCTATCTCTACCCATTGAAGTTCAGTTTGATCAGTTTTAGTCTCCACTATGTAACTTTTACATTGTGTGTTCATTTCCACTCTTGACCTTCTACTACAATTTGGTATTTTTGTGTCGCCTAAACAAAGTTTTGGGAGAAACTAACCAGCCCTAAATTCTGTATACATGTAACCGTAGACCCACATGGCCGTAGCCCCATATCCGCATGTTAAAGTTTAGGTTAAGTTTTTGAAAAAAATGTACAACTTGTACATGGTTTCATGGATTTTGATGAAACTTACATGCAGTGACCCTTGGGTGGGAAGACACAATTCTTTATCGCATTACTGAGGTCAGAGGTCATGTAGGGGTCATTTTAGGTAATTGTTCAAATATGCTTCAAATGTTTCTTTGTCTACAGAATTTGTTGGATTTAATGTAACTTGGATGGAGTGATCCTTGGGTGGGGGTTCATCACAACTCTTCTGAAATATAGGGATCGACCGCGGAAAAAGGCGATACATGCGATTCACGGATCACTTGTTATATTCTCAAAATTATGACTTCGAACTTGCAATTCAAAATAAAACAAAGTTGATTTTTCCCACCACAACAGGGTTACAAGATAGACCTGTCCACCAAGCTCCTGACCGTGGAGTTTGTCAACCAGTCCATCCTGCACATGAGCCAGGACATCGAGTCCAAACGCGAAGACAAGACCGACTTTGCCGAGCGACTGGGCGCCATGAACAAGCGCTGGCAGACCCTCAACGTGGCCATCTCGGAAGAGGTCAAGCACCTGGACTCCCTGAGGAGGGACTGGGTGGAGTACGAGCGGCAGGTCAAGGACCTGACTAGCTGGTTTGAGAAGCAGGAGAGCAAGTTGAGGAAGTGCGAGGGGAAAGTCGGGCATGAGACAAGCGTCCAACAGGCTGTCAAGATGTGCCAGGTAAGTGTATTACATGGTACCATTTTTGTTTTATGTATTTATGTAGTTATTAGTTTGTGGACAAGTTTTTGCCTTTCTATTTCTTCTATTACTTCTATCCAAAATCCCATAGACTTTATACAAATGTAAGTGGCACTTTAACTCAATTCTAAAGCTCATGTCTTGATCAAACTGAGCCCAAACAAAGACCCAATACTATGATGTCATAGATAAAGCCTTTTTTTGTCATGTGAGATCAACTGAAAGGACATTTTCCAATGTCCAATATCAAGAGAACTATGTATCCTACTAAACTAAAACCTGGTCTATATATAGATAATGTTTAGTTTAACTAAATTGTAAATGATGTCATGATAATGATTTAGTAATTCTTTCTAAATTGTTAATATTTAAATTTTGAAAGTTCTTTTCAAGATTTCTCAGTGAATGACAAATAATTACTCAAATTTCATTTTGTAATAACTTTGATTTTTTGTAAATAAATTTCTCCCTCCACCTTGCAGACTATGGAAGACTCAATTGACTCGAAACAATCAGACATCAACAAGATCCAGCAGACTGGCCTGACCCTAGCCCCCGAGGACACAGTCCAACAAACCATCCAGGACCTAGAGCGATCCAGGGACAGCCTGGGCAGCCTTCTGCGAGAGGTTCGGTCCCTGCTGGTCACCTCCCTAGAGCAGTGGCGGATGTACCATGAATGCCTGCAATCTGTGTCAGCGGCCCTGGGGAAAGCCGAGTATACCCTCAGTCGAGTGGGCATGGCAACAGGGACCGTGGATTCGCTGGAGTTTCAGTTGAACAAATTCAAGGTGAGATGAAAGTTTTGATGGGGGAATTGTGGAACATTCCTGCATGTAAATCAAACATTGGGCATTGACCAATCAAATCACGACTGTTGGTCAGGTGACCACAGTAGCTTTGTATATCGGGACCCTCTCTCCCCGTCAATCAAACAGCACGCTTGATTTTCGCTCAAAACTACCACAGTAGCTTGGTCAAACTTGGTAACAAGCACTGTGTGAAATGTACACAAACCAAAGGTTGGCTGGGCTTATGGCTGAATCCATATTGATCCATTGTTTTGTTAAGACTTAGGCCCTATTTTCATTGAGCAACTTAAGAAATCATGCCAGCAAAGTTTCTAGCTTAGCAAATAGCCAGATCCCAGTCACAAACAAAATGCATTGCATAACAACTTGGCCGGTAACCTCATGTACCGGTAGCTATGCCAAACTGTTCTGCGCTTAGCAAATCTGTGTGCCTGACAGCTAGGTGAAATTCCCCCCCCCCCCTAACCTGTAGCAACCATTACGGACAGTGGCAGACATGTTCCTAGATTTTACTCGTCAACAAAATGTTAAAATTAAGTAATACGTAGATAAATTGCCACAAACATTATTGGCTCATATTTCCATTTAATATCATTGTTCTTTTTTTACATCTTTTTTCTTCTTTTTACATTTGCTCTGACGCTATTTCCCCCTCCTATTTGCATGAAATACAACACAGGAAATCTATGTATTCAAGGTTTGCATGCTTTATTTGTGTTTCAAATCCAAACAACATAAATGTCACACATTTTTATTTTCTTTGAGTTTGCACTGATTTTCCTCAGTTAGTTATCATGTTAGTTTAGCTTGTTTTTGTTTACTTTACGTCTGTGTGTACATTCATTTTGCTGTGAATGATAGGAAGAATTATCTCAATTCAAACATGGACAAATGCTGGAATGCACAAATACTCCACCCTCTGTGTTATTGAAATCATGTACAATTATTTGAGCAATATATTTTATGCTGTTGCCAAAAGTGCAGTGCATTGACTTTTCAATCATATGTTCAATTGTTGATTGCGCAATGAAAGTATTTCACAAATTTACTTGGTAAAACAACTAACAGATGCCAGTTGAAATTATTGATAATTGTTCCATTAACCCATGCTTAGTTTTCACATTTATTTTTAATACTGCCCTCTTTAGATTGAAAGTTTTCTTTCAGTGTAACCAATAATCCATTGCATCAATCTTTCTTTACATTGCGAACTTCATTTTACTTTGCCATACTCTGATGAAAATTGTACTGAATGTTTCCCCAATTTTTTCGTCTCAACTTTCATTCAGGATCTGCAAGCAGAGGTCAAAGGTCACAGAGTACAGCTGACCAATCTATGCAAATTAGCTGACCAGTTAGAGCTAGTATGCAAACCATCTGTGTGTGAATCTCTTGACCGGACCGTAAACGACCTCACCACAAGGTACGTTTTTTGGGTCACACTTTTCTCTTGATAAACATTCTCTTTGAAGGTCCTTAGCGACTAATTTCAATTACCTTGGACTCATATCTGTTTGTGCCCCAAAAATCATGTTGTTGTGGTGCCCTCATTCACTGAAAAAAAATATGGAGTATTGGAAATACAATTTAATTTCTTGAGTTCTTCTTGGAATACTCTATTTCAGTGAAATTGTATTTATTAACACCTAATAATGAAATTACATATTTGATATAAGATGGAACAATGTGGACTATCAGCTGAGAGACACCGTCGCCCTGTTTGAGAAGTCCTGGTTGCTATGGCAACAGTTTGAGGAGAGGCATGATGGGATTGAAGCCTGGCTCCATCAGAAGGAGAAGGAGTGTGAGATTGCGACGGCGATTCCCGAGGAGTCGGACACGGAGACGGATAGAGAGGCAGATAGGGTGGTGGAGAGGGAGAGACAAGTAGAGACATGCAAGGTGGGTTTCTGTGAGAAAAATATCATTAGTATTTTGTACTAGGACGCATCTGTAAAATTTTAAAGGGACATTAAGCCCCATGTAAAGAATAATGGTGGCTGAGCGTAATACTTTCCTCAGTCTCATAAAATCTTAATTGGGAAGGATCTGAGAGGGTTTGGGTGAATCCCTTTGAAACAACACCTTGCAGGATGCAAATTGCACATCACTAGGCACATATGGAGATACTTCCCCCTTCGTTTGGCTGGTCTGCATGACCCTGAATTTTCTCTGAACTAATGCAAATTGAAGTGTTTGTTTTTGGTATATTTGAAATATTTTTGGTTGATTGTCAGTCACAATAATGAAACAAATCTTTCTTCTGATTTTTTGAGGAGGGGAGGGGTTGTTCAACAAGTGTCATTTATTTGTATTTGGGTAAATTTATAGTTGAGCATCAGAGCATCCTCCATTACTCTAGACAGCTAAAACATGCGATGGGCAGGCAGGAGGCACCTAACATTGAGCAGGGCTTAGCAAACTTATAAATGGTCCATTGTGATTAAGATAGTAAAAAGCAAGTTGTGAATACCACCGTACTTAAAAAATTATCAGGGAAGGAATAGATGTTACAGCAAAATTTCAAATTGGTCATCAAATCATGATTTTTGTTGCCCGCTTCTCACAGAAACTCCTTGATGAGCTGAAATCCTACCACGACATTGATGCCTTACGGAACCTCGTGGACCAGCTAACCAGACACATGGATGGCACCACAGCCAACAATATTGCCTCACGCAGACGGGTACTTTCCTTGGTAAGATCTCAAACACTGTCAATAATTTTGAATTATTGAACTTGTATTTCCCAGGCTCTGTACTTATGTGTAGCTGTCTACATTAGCTTATGTTGTCTCAATTTTCTCTGAATGAGTTATTCTTGATGTTGCTTCAGTTACATTTAACAGTAAAAATACCTCAAGTTTGAGGAGGCACTACTCCTAAACACTATCTTGAGATGGATCTAGCATCATGTCTTATTGTCATATCTGACTACAAGAAACAAAGCTTTCTTTTTTCACAGCAAGAAATATAATTTCGGAATCTTAGGATGCTGCCTTTCTTCATATCCATATATGAAATCAGGGGCTGATTTCCTGGCACTGCTTAACAGTTCAGGAAAGTTGTGCTTACTGTGGATGTTGCATGCACATAGAGATTGCTATTACATATTAAATGTACATCACTATGTTAACCCTAACAGAACTCAACCCATCAAACCCCAACGGCATATTTTGTTGGAATCTGTCAGGATGGGTACATTTCCCCTAAACTGACAGTTCTGGAGGGTTGGCACACCTCCAGAATCAAAGTCAGAAATATGTTTAGCAAATATTTTCTTTACTTAGCAGCTCTATATGAAATCGGCACCAGGGTCTCAATTCTATTGTCTTATTCTTCTCTGCAGAAACAAGACAGCCTATGCAAGTCCCTGAGACGCTTCATCAAGACCCAAGAAGCAGACCTCAAGACACAAAAGCAGCTGAGAGACAAGATACAGAATCTTCTGTCATGGCTTGAAGACACCGCAGACGTCATCAATAAGGACGATCCGAACCGTTCGTCGGACGAGACTTCCATCAGGGAACGCATGGCTCAACTCAAGGTCAGCAAAAGACTCTTGAAAAATTTGAGGCCATAAACTGCACCTTAACAAATTTTTAAAAAAATTCCTGCAAAAAAAAGAAGCTCTCAACATTGTGCGTATAATTGTTTTTTTGTGTTGGCCTGTCTCCTGTTTTCTGAAGCAAAAAGTGTTTGATTTTCAAAACATGGCAATTAGGCTTGACTTTTATTATTTTAATTTGTTTAAAATGCACTATAATTTCGTACATGTTATCCCTTTCAACAGTTTTTCTTTTCTGAATGTCAATGACTTATTTCTTTGTGAAAAATGTAATAAGTTGCATCAGTGATACTTGATGGTGTTATACAGTGACCTGTGTTCTAAAATTACTTTTTATTATTTGTTAAATTTTTTGCATAACGCAGTCAGACTGCACATACCATGTCTTTTGTCATTGTTTTCGATGGAGTCCTTGCTAAAAAAAAAAAGCTTTTGCAAGGTTAAATGCATTTAAGTACAATATATCTATGCTTTTTTTGATCATGTCTTGCTAATTGTATGTAGTTTTGATTCGCTTTCTTTACATTGCAAATGTGTATACAGTGGTGAAATTTGCTGTAAAAAGCAACAGACATGACTGCTAGTCTCCAATACGAAGTTAGAAACATTCAGTTTGCGCCCAGTCAGTGTGGATATAACTTCCTCTTGTTCCAATGAAAGCATTTGAAAATCCTTTACTTATTGTCTTCGCAGGCTGTGATGGTTGAGTTTAGTGGGCGCCAGCCAGAGCTGAACTCACTGAACGAGATGGGTTACCGGCTGAGTCTGAGCCGCGGCAACGCAGCCGACCTCTCCTCCGTCAACAACCGATGGAACTCGTCCTTCGGGCGTGTCTGCGAGAAGTACCGTCACCTGCAAGGGGTGTTGCTCCAACAACAGAGCTTTGCTCAGAAGTGTACAGCGTGGAGTACGTTCATTGAGGAGACGGAGAAGAATTTGGCTGTGGTCATCGCTGGTAGCTACTCAGAGCTGCAGGAACAACAGAAAGTGTATGAGGTACGAGTTTTATCGCTGACAGTTTGATGAATCTGTTCAGTCTTTTCTCCTCCCTTTATGCAATGTTATGATAACCAGGTATTAAGTTGCTTTGATATGAGTAGTATAAACTACATTTTACAGAAAAAGGACATAGAAAAGTGTCTTCGTGATCAATGATCGTTGGGAAAATTAAATTGAAAAATTCAAAAATTAAAACAAAAATTGCAATTCAGCTTCTTGGATCTCTATGGAAGTAATTGTGATGTTTTTTAGAAAGCAAAACTACTATCAATTCCTCCACAAAGTATAAGTTTTCTTTACTAAGAAACAATTTAGATATAAGAATAAACTAATAAGGTGCATGTTTCACAAAGAGTTTTTCCTGCTTATTCCTACCTACCAGCTGGAAATATCATTTGCCCTACCAAGGGTCGAGGAGAGAATATTAGAATCTCCGGTCTGTAGCTTTTTGTTTTAATTTTGGAGGGAGGGCTGAACATCACAAAGTGAACCTAGGCTGCAAAACTCCTCCTTTTTTTCTCAAAAACTTCATCTTTCTTTTCAAGGTGAGAAATAAGAAAACCATCCTCAGAATACAAAAGCAGCGTTTGGATTACTTGTTTTATAATCTGCTTTGGTGTCCTTGCAGGTGTTTGAGTCGGACATCTTCAACCGTCAGCAGATCTTGTTCTCCATCATCAACGACGGTCAGCGCATGGTGCAAGACGGTGACCTGGACGACCCTGAGGAATTCCAACTCCAGCTGGATCAGCTGAGTGAACAATGGCAGAGCGTCATCCGACGGACGGCTGCCAAGAAAGATGACATTGACAAGAACATCAGGTCAGTGGCAGAGAGAAATGGCTGCCAATTTCAAAAAAAACTTTACGATAACTTACGCCTCATTATTTTTATGCAACGGCTCATTGCTCAAAAGGTACACACTACGCAAGTGTTTGACTTGTGCAGCACATAATGGGGTAAATTACTCAGTCTTTTTGGCTTGGCTTATTTACGGTGTGTGCAAATACATGTAGTACAAATTTACTGACTAATCCTGATCAGGCTGTTATTACCCAATTGGTGGAGGTGGATGTCAGAAATTCACTGCTATGTTTTTGGAGTTGTTACTGATTGAAACCCATCACTCAATTGAGTTACTGCCCAATTCCTAATAAATATAACACTTAACTATCTTCAAAATGGCAGGCAAGGCAAGGCAAGGCAAAATTCATTGACTGTTTTCGTAACTAGTTTGCTTATCCAAGGTTGTCCAGTGGTTAAATTATCATACAGCTACGCCAACTTTATGCATTTGCGTAAACTTTCGGTCTTCATTCTTCAGTCATTGTTTTGTGTCGAAAAAAATTAACTTCATATGGGATACTTTTATTACTATGCATTGGTACAGAGCTAACTTGCAAATTCAAATGTATCATTTGCAAAACACGTGATAAACTTGAAGTCTTGAAACATGAGCAACTGTTCACCTTGTATTTGCTCTTTTTGGGTACATTTTTGTTCAGGGAATGGAATGCCTACTACCTGATGCTGAACAAGATGCAGGAATGGTTGGAGGAGATTGAGGAAGAGGTCAAGGCATATGACATCACTACGGCTCCCCTGCAGAGAATCAGAAGCCTGGCTGATCAAGCAAAGGTAATCGAACAATTCAGCTAGTGATGAATATACATGAGCAATAATGTCATTAGCATATGACATCATCGTTGTTTTTCCGCGTTTTGTTTGCTATCGATTACACACCCATGAACGGGTACAAGTCAGCTAGACTGGTTCCCTGACCTTTCAATTCCCCGACGTCTATAAAATTGCTCCGTTTCATCTTACGTGGTGTTAGGGAACCAGACTACAAGAACATGATTGTTTTTCAAACAAGTCAGTTTAACAGTATTTGCTATATAATACATGTAGTAACCCCCCAAATCCATCCATTTTTGAAAATTACAGCAAAAGAAAATGTTGTACATTCCCTTTAAAGCTATAGTCCATCATTTGCAGCCATCCGAAAAGTAACTGGCGTAATTATTGTTGAAAAACATACCTGGTTGAAAGATAGTAAGTGGACTAAACTCCCTGTGAAATTATTCTTTCTGGCAAGCTGTCATTTTGAAGTAATCAACGAAAGAAGGCCTTTCCAACGGTGCGTCTTAAGACGCACCGTAGGAAATTTAAATTAGTAGTTCGTTTTGTTATTCGGCGAAGTGCACGCAAGCATTTGCACGACGCGCGCGCGCGGTTGCTATAATTCGTCGGATTAGTGCGCGACATCGCGTATAGCTGCAATTCAAAACAATTCAAAACATGATTCAGCAACTTTTGATCTGAAATTGAGATCCTAGAATGCTGTTTTTCTCGGAATGTGCAGCTGAAGCTGAGCTGAAACTTCATCAGGTGAAGCTGAGCTGAAACTTTATGAAGGATGCTGAACAACTAGTTCAGCATCCTTCATTAGATTTTGAACACTTTTGTTGCTTCAAACGAACAAAATGCACAAATTACAAATGATGGACTATATCTTTAAGCAAGCGGAACCAAAATGACCTAAGTAATGATATGTATTCATGAGTGGTGATATCATAAGCATATGGCATCACCATAAGTCCCCCCGCACAGAATACAAAGCCCAGCCAATCGAGCAAACTGAACGTAATGTCTGGTGCAGAGATGCATATTCATGAGCAGTGATGTCATAAGCGTATGACATCTTGGCTCTCCTGCAGGGAATACAAAGTCTTGCTGATTAAGCAAAGGTTGCAGAATGATTAACTTAGTGCCATCTATACAAAAATGAATAACTTACCATAGGCAGTTGAACCAACCAGTTGTGTAAGTGACCTACACCCTTTGTGGATTTAATGTTTTAGTGTGCACACAAACCAATAGCATCTTCACGTGAGCGTCAGGCGTCGTCGGCGATGTGTTTGAATGTCTCTCCGAGTGGTCTCCCCCAACTCTCCCTTTCTTACCGTTGAGGGGATACTTGTGCATGGAGCCCATACTCAAAATGCTGTCAGATTGGTTTATTATCAAAATTAACTGGTTAAGTTTGCCAGTGTGGAGTAAAGCCTGACGAGGTTTTGAAACAAGCTTTTCATATTCACCAGAAATATTTGTGTCTTTGCTTTCTCGTCCAGGGGACTCAGAAGTCAGTTGAGTTCCAGGAAACCCTCTACCTCTCCCTCAACGACGCCGGCAAAACGTTACTCAGGAATTCAGACAGCCAATCGGCCGAGAAACTCAAATCAGAACTGACCGACGTCCAGAACAGTTGGCACCACGTGACGACGGGACTGCGCAAGAACACCCAGCACTTGGAGGAAGTTATCGGGGAGTGGGAGAGCTGTGACGCGGTCATGGACGAACTTCACGCCTGGCTGCGCAACAACAGGAAAGTCCTGAACCAGCCGCTACCTCACCAGTACGATGAGCTTCAGAGAGGCTTGGAAAAGTGCAAAGAGATTGAGAACACCTTTGAGAGCACAAGCAGCAGGCTGGATAAGCTACGGCAGTTGGAGACCCACCTTCAGCCCACGGTCAGTCCGGACGACATGGCCGTCCTGAGCGAACGCATCGCCCTGCTGACCAAACAGTGGGAGGAGGTCAGGCACCAGACCTGCCAGCGCCGGCAGCAAATCACGGAACGGCTTAGCGAGTGGGTCACGTTCACGGAGAGATATAAGGAGTTCTGCGATTGGCTGACCCAGATGGAGGTGAAGATTGTGCAGAACGGAGAGCACAGCATTGAGGACCTCTTGGCCAAGTTGACAGAGGTAAGTTGGTTTATGATATTTTTTAAATTGGATAATTTTTTCAACATCTTAATTGCAATTTCATGAATGTAACCCTTGTATGAAAACATGCATTCTGAGCCATGTTATTACTTGGGCCAATATTCCTGTAGACCCCCATTGGTTTGTTAACAGTATGCCAGAAAGAGAGGAAGCAAATTTTGACTGTTTGTGACCTATTAAGTAGCAGGAGGGTTAAGAAAAGAAAGTATGTATGTAAACATGTATATTGGTGCAGTTTAGTCTCCATTCCAACAGGTCTACTGTTATATTATTGAATTCCCATTACAATATTAGCCTCTGACCTTTTTTTTGGGGGGGGGCCTGGAGGAAGCCATTGGAGTGGGTTGGAAACTTGAACCCCCCTCCCCCCCCCCCCCCCCCCCCCCCCCCCCCCCCCCACTGTGCCACCCGGTTACCCAATCAGTTCCATTCATTGGGTTTCGGTTCACTTGGTCTTTTCAAAATTCCAGTATTTGTCTATTTCAATGCACTTGCGATGAACAGTTGCGATTTCCTTTCAAAGTGTAAACTAACCGAAAAATCCAATGTGTTGATTGAGTGCAAGCTGTCAACAAAACTTTTTCCACGTTCCACTCTCAACCACTTTTATAAATTCCTTTCCGGTTCATTTGTGGGACAAAAAAGGAGGAAAAAAATGGTTCTGCTCAGATGAGATCCACACTTTCATTTGGTTACTTCACATGGGCATAAACAAATTTCAGAAAATTCTCTTGTATACCCTAAAGGGAACACTTCTAGCATGTAAGTACTTATCTTATCCTTAAACATTATATAACTGACATGCAGATCCTTGTCATTTGATTGGTGGAACTCACATCACGTGACATTCATTATTGCTCCCATTCACGCCGGGGTTCAAAAATTCGCCCATGGTGAACGGGATTTACTATTCAACAGTTAGGATCATCCTTGTTCCATGGCACGGTATTTGTGTTCAAATGCATGCTGCTGCGCGCGTTGCGCGTAGCGCGTATTGTTCCCAAGAGCCAGTAGCTACAGACTGTAAATCCAATCAAATGACACGTAATTCAAATGACAAGGATCTATATGTCAGTTATATAAAATAAATATTGAGTGGATTTAAATTGCGAAATGGAAGGAATAAAAATCTGGTTTTCCATTTGACAAGGCGAAGAAAAGTCCAGATTTTACCTTGCGATAATATTCCTCCAATTCCACTCTGAGCCACTCAATATTGGTGTAATATCAACTGTTTATTTTAGTGAAAAGTCAAAGCTGCATAGCTGCATTGGTATAAAATTTAAAGTATTTTACAGGTACAGGACATATTTTGCATTTTTAAAACCTTGTCAATCAAACTGGATATGTAGCAACCGAATTTCAGTGAATTTCTTGTAAAATTTATGAAAGTCATTAGTGTGTTCAGTGATTCTTCTGTAAATAAAATTTAAATTAATAATTATTCTTTTTTGATAAGATTCTGAGGATCCATTTAAATTTTTTGCTGAATGATTTTTTTCCTTTTTGAAATCAAACAACAGGGTTAATTACATGTACATGGTGCTGCTTAAGCAGAAAGCATTGCTTCATAGCTTAGCAAATATATTTTCTGGCTAAGTAACATTTTACTTTTGGTGTTTTGGGTTTTTTGGAGGGGGGGTTGATTTTGTTTTTGGTTTTTGATTTTGAATTTTTTTTGGGGGGGTAAGTTAAATAGATCATCTTATCCAACTATTAAAATGCATACTGATTAGATCTATCTGATGAGTAGAGATGTACTAAATTTATATAATTAAATTTACTGAATGAAATTTAATTTATTGCTAATTTCAAAATTGAAGATGAAAGAGTGATACTCTGGTCAATACTTTCTTCAACATAAATCAAAATAAAACTTACTTCTAGCAAAACCTTAAATAGCAAATCTTGGTTGCAAGAACCTAACAAGAAAAATTAAAAATTTGCAGAATTGTGATTTTCTTCCAAATCTTTATATAATACATTGTATAGCCCAAAACTACACAATCTCATGAAAGAGGTTGTGTTCAAAACCCTAAGGTATAGCAATCATTGTTTGGATTATCCCTACTGGCCCTTGGCATCTTGAAAAAAGGAGATTAAATTTCCTGTGCGTGTATTTGGCGCAAGTGTGCCTGGATGGCTTGCACTGTGAAGACCAAAGCCATGCATTGTGCACGTCATCTGCATGCAGAAAGTCGCTGCCATTTTGTATTTTTATATGGGAACAATTAAATCCCTTTATATTTTTTCCAAAATGGAATATTTCTGGGTCCATACGCTTGGTGTTTTTGTTTCTACGCTGGGTAAGTTGCAGTATTTCTTCGATTAAATTGAGCATGCATAATGAAGCGAAGATCACAGTGAAAAGTGTAGGGTCTTTGGATCTGTAGGAGCATGCTGTGTGCACATAGGCTTACTGAGTTCAATCTTCCTTTGTGTACAACTGCATTGATGGCTTGCAGTTCCTTGCCTGTGCATTTATTTCCAGAAAATAGGGTTTTTGATTCGGTTTTCCCATGGGTGTAGTCTGGACAAAAATGTTAGTGAACATTTTGGTGACGAGCTTGACCCGTTACGGAACTGAGTTACAATAGAAATTTTGTTAAATTGTGAAAATCACGAAAAAGATTTCAAGAGAACGAACAAAATTTTTAGCTTTGAATATCTACAAGGAAAGTATACCGGTAGATTTGGCAATTGGCAGATGAACCTGTGAATCTGGTGTTTCGAAGCAACACTTAAAAAAAAAGCATCATGTTTAAATTCCTAGCCCATTTAAAAAAAAAAACAGTTCAGCTGAAATATGTATTCAAAAATCTTGGACAATTAAGTTGCAAAGAAGCTTAAATTAAATTTAGCTGTCTAATACATCCCCTCAAACCCCCTTTCTTCACAGAGCAACACAAATTTCATAACGTACAATTTCATACTCTATGATTAGTTTACAATCAATTCATCATTTCTAGTCAATTGGGCATGATCCCTAATGAATCCAACATATATTCTTATCTCTACTGGTAGACATATGTCAAGTTCATATAATCAAGCTGGTCCATGCAGTGAATACAGTGATGCTTAGTGCAAATGAACTACCTTTCCACCATGACTTGACCTGATATGCACACGTGTACATGTACAGGTACACCAGCATAGATCTGTATTTATCAAATCCTTCAGACAAGTTGACTTAGTGTGAGTTTGGGATTAATTTGGGTCACAGATAACCATCTTGAAACTTGGCTGTGTTATCAAATGGACAGTTCATGGACATCAGTAGATAACTGGATATTTTCAGAGAATTGCCAGTCAATTGCTTGTTGTGTAGCATATCACTGTATCTGTCTTCTGAATGTGAACTTCGGGATTTTAGTAATTACCTGAAGTCCAGTTTTGCCACATGGTCTGCTTCGCCTCTGCAGTGATTTTGGAGCATTTTCTTGAGCAAACGACAAGCTTTTCCAGCCAGTATTACGTGTGCAGCAGTGCTAATCTATTGATTTATTGTATCGAGACTGCAGATGATAGTGACAGCTAGTGGATCGTTACTGAAATACCATAATATGTACATGTAGGATGAGAGTTTGCATGTTGTATTCAGGTAAATGCAATGCGCCTAGACGTTATTTTTGTACTTAATTTTAGACTGTTTTTGTATACACTTGTTTATTTGTATACTTATTTGCAGCAACAAAACTTGTAGTTGATGACAAATGCACACTGATAGAGATGCATTCCCTTGTGGTCAAAACTGCCAAATTGTATTCCATGTGGATGCTGGAAATTGTTGGCATGCCACAGTGTCATTGCTGAGATTTACATGTATGAGCCAACTGTCTCTTGGACATCAAGTATTTTGTCATCGCTTCTGCTAGAAGGCGGTGACCAGTGTGTAATGTTAAAATGATTTTAGTTCACTCATGCATTGACAGTAGGACTGTCAAATCCTGTTATTGGTGGATTTCAAGGAAGTGAAAATACATGGATTATCCATCCAGCCATGAGCTTTAATCCAACACTGGCAAATGTGAGAAGATGTCAGTCTGGTATCTTTTTTTCACTCAGTAGCTTCTCTCAGCCCATGATTTTCTTTCATCTCTCACTTTGACATCCCGAAGAATATGGCCACAGTGGGTGACAATTCCTTTTATATTTTTATCCTGGAAGATTGTTAACCCATTAGCACATGTATACATGTATTTCATTGTGTTTATTCACTGATTAGTTGATTTGAGTGCTCTGGCGGTTTTGGTACCCATTTATACTCCTGGGTGGAGAGCTAGAGGCAATTGTAGTTACCATAAGTGTCTTACCCAAGGGCACAAACACCATGTTCCTGGCAGGATTCAAACCCACGCACCTACATGTATAATAGGCAGAGTCATGGTGGTGTTGGCCAGTACAGTGACTAACGGGTCAAAGAACATGTGCAACCAAAAAGTAGTGCTAAGGACCGAAGATTCATTTTATTCAGGGAATACACAGACGGCACTTTTGTGAATGGTCCCTGCAGCATGAGAAACCTTGAAAAGATTATAGTGTTATCGTAAAAAAAAAAATTACTGCTTTTATTTGTAGCGCCTTTTGCTCAATATTGTTCGTAACTTATACTGGTATGCCTACATTCATTATCTAGGTCGTATATATGCTTCAAGCAGCTTTTCAAAAGCAATTTATATACTTGTACGTGTCTATTGCCAATGTATAGATCTGTATTTTGGTTATTTTAAGAGGTTCATTGCCATTTTGAAGTGCCTTCATGATCAATCTAAATGATTGTTTTAAATTTCTTATAAATATTATATTGGCAGGAAGAAAATCTGAGATAAGGTGTAGTCATTGTTCTTTGCACTTTGATGTATTATACAAATGTAAATTTGTTTTGAGAATCGTTGAATGTTACTGGTCGTAAGCCTGGATGTTGGCCATCTGCTACAGAAAATCATACATGTATCCTACAACTGCACAGGGGATAAGCATGGAGCACAGGAACTTGTAGTTGTTTCAACGTCCTTGGTGCAATGCTACAACTTGGATTGTATAAGTGGAATAGCTAATAAATGGAGTATTCCAGAGGGGAGTCAGGGTGGCTCAACAGAACTTTCCTCGCTGTCCACCTCTGTGACCCATGTTCGAATCCTGCCCAGGCCAACATGTGGATTGGATTTTCAGTCTGCACCTGATTCCATGGACTTCTCTGGACCATCCCTCCTTGGTTTTCCCTCCTCTAAAACCAAAATAGTTGTTCATGGTCTTCTCCCTAGGTTTCTCCAGGCTTCCAAGCTACAGTACTTGTGCATTTACGAAGAATCCTTGGTTTTCATAACCGGAAAGAACTCAAACAAGACTGTAGGCAAGCCCAGTAAAGCTGGTCCCAGAGTGCACAAAATGCTATTCAGTCGATTCACAATGGATATTCAGTGGAAGTTTTTTCATGCATCTGGTCATGTGGACCAGATTCATTGTTATGGGGTAACCCTATACAATAGCACTACCCAACTCACTTGGGGGAGTCAGTCGGTCAGATAGGTACAAAGAAGACACTAGGCTGGCACTTTGGGACCAGCGATAACATAAATGCATGACATAGAATAACTCAATGAAATAAATCACAATAATATAATTTTTTTCTGTCCCGGTTTTTGAATCCTCAGGCATACCAGGAGGAGATAGAATCGGCCAAGTCTAGCAAGGAGCAGCTGGAGGAGTTGGGCCAGCGTCTCATCGTCGCCAGCAATGAAGCGAGAGCCAGCGACATCGAGTACAAGCTAGCCAAGCTGGCTGAGCGCTGGAACCACCTCATGGAACTTGTAGGAGCACGGTGAGTTGACCATTATTGTCTTAAAAAAATGAAGCCAGTGTTAGGCCAAAAAAAAAAAAATGTTCGGTCTCTGGTCAGACCAAAGTTCCGGAATTGACGCGGCCACGGGGCTTTTTTTTTTTTCTTCAAGCTTGGATTGTACAGACAAGGTGGGTACTATTTTGCTTTTTTGGTGTCCTCATGTACATTGGTGTCCTCCATAATTTGCCTTGGTGCTTTCGATCATTTGCCTTGGTGCAATTTCCCATTCCTTGGTGCTCTTTGGTAAAAAAAATTGAGGTGCGGAAATAGAGGACGCTGTTGGAGCTACCGCGGAACATTTTGGAAAAAAAAAAGATCGATTAAAATCGATGCGCGTGCTTACCAGAGACCGACTTATTTTTTTTTTTTGGCCTTACGGCTCAATCTGCTTGATGTTATCAAAGAGAGTAACCTCATTCCATTGTACAAATACTCAATGAAAGATCTGTATGCAAAGAAGATGATGTGTTTACGCACAGGTTTGCAGTCTGTGATACAAAGTTCACATGAACAGCGTAGAGTGAAGTTTAAACAGTTGGATTTGAAAATAAACTTATTTATTATTCCAATGGGGTTTTGCAGCCCATGAAAGAAATGACAACTTTATATGCGGGAGGAAAAATAAACATGTACGTACTTTTAACACAAGGCAAAACCAACATTCATTTGAAGAACAAAGTGCAAATACAACATCTGCACTGCATGCATAAACACTTGGTCCTTAATTCAATTTTGACGTGTGGGCATGTTGAATAAATTGTCTGGAAATGTGATACTTGAGGCACCAAGACATTATTGATTTTGGAGGCCGTTGACAGAAAGCCAGTGGAAAATAGAAGCAGGGCTTGCATGCTTGGCATGGCATGGCAGCGCATCACATGTAAATGTTGACATTTTGACTTGTTGAGCGCTGTTAAAAGGTACAGGATTCAGTGGATGTTTTGGCATGTTAGTTCAAGGCATTTGGTATAAATATGGGTGGAGGCATTATTAATGCTTACCCATCCCAACGTTATTCGTACTGTAAAGATATCAGATTATCGTTATTCGTACTGTAAAGATATCAGATTATCTTGTCTTGTTTCAATGTGAGGGGCTGGTTCTTCCACACCCTCTTCTGTAGCCCACACTTCAACCTTAAGGGCTATATTATATTCATTATATTTTTCTTGAAAAATACTGAAACAATTTCAACACAACAAAATGAAAAGAATTGAAATAAAAAAAGTGCAGTGCAAGATCAAAGTGTGAATCTCTTTTCCAGTGCAACTTAAATATTTTGTACTTCTGGGCTGTAAAAATTAAATATTTTGAACTTCTGGGCAGTAACTAGCTAATAAGGCCAGATTATAAGGTCCCGTCATAGTGTTTGTAGCACTGTGACAAATACCTGCTCTGACGTCAATTTTTTATCCGACTAACCCCTTCACCCGAAGGTTATTTGTTGGAATCTTAATTGACCCTGACCTAAACACTGGTTGTTGATGAAGAATTCTCCAGATTTTGCATTGGATAAGTTATTGATTTGGATTTGTTGTCATTTCAAGTTCAATTATTAAACCACTCAGCACAATCAGTTTGATTGGAGATCAGATAACAGACACTATTTGGCCTAAGATATGCTGTAGCACTTTTATTACTTTTTATTAGGCAGATAGTTGGTGTAGTTCTGATATTTTCCTTTTAGGGGAGGGGGGGTGGGAGGGTAATTTAAAGTCCAGAAACCACATGTACTTGGTAAGATCTCTGTGGTGCATGAAAATGTATCCAATAAATATCATTGAGTTTACTCATCACCGAATTAGTAATGGCAAGTAATTATTTCCATATAACATTTTTCAAATTTATATAAACGTACTCCCTAAATGTACATCAAAGCATATCTGCACATCATTTAAGATGATAAACATGTCTCCTTGAAGCACAATTATCTGATCATATCAGCCTGTTTTCAAATATTTTGAAAGGAAACAGATGAATACACTGTGTAGCCAAAAACAAGATGACTTTCACACATTCTCACAAATCCTTTCTTCCTAAATTAAAAGAAGCTACCCTTTTTTTAAATCTTGGTCAAACATAATGTATTCCCATTGCAGGACCCCAGGAACAATCCTCAACTCTTACAAAGTTATTTCTTGTTGGACTTCGTATTTCCATGGAAACAGACATGTCAACAGTCCTCCAGGGGTGGTTAATAGCTTAGGTGTTGACCCACATGTAGGGTCATCTCAACAGGTGTTAATCTATCACATGCTCTGACAGCATTAGACATGAAATATGCAGGGCAACAAACTAGATGAGGATTTATAGGACCTGTAGCCTGCTGTGTAAAATGTCTTGTTTGTTGGGTTATTGCTCATCATGATCCCGGTAAAAAAAACTGCAAGTGATTCTAAAAGAAAATTGTTCTTGAGAATATACAAAAACAGTTCATTCCTTTGAAAATCTCTGAATTTAAACAAAAATTTTCACATCTTGTCCCACATATTATATTTAATAGGCTGGTCCTAAATTTGTCGTAAACTTTGCTTGCTTTTCATGCATACATGTATATTATAACTTTTTTTGCCTGGAAATAAATATCAAATCATCAAATATTTATCAAGTAAGTGTTGAAGGTTAATATTTTGAGTAAAATACATGTACATTGATTTATTAATTAAAGGCATGTAGGGACATTTGCAATTACCTAGAAACATGGTTAACAAGAAAATCCTTGCTCAAAGTGAAGATAAGAAATTCTCTGTGAAATTGTTCCGCCTGAAATGGCATCATTTTGTTGTTTCAAACTCACAGAAAAGCAAATTATGTTCCTTTTTTGTAAAAGTATGAATTGCAGATTATGCCACTAAATTTATACTTTTAAAAATACATACGACTCCAGATTGATTAAAAAAATATATGAACAGAATTAGTTGATGAAAACAAATTCTTATATGATACAACATATAAAGAACAGTTGAAGGAGTAAGACCTGATCTTGACCATGCTGCACCCATAACCAAATAATATTTACTCATTGGACCAGCGGCCTCACAGTCTTGACTGCCAAGATGTCCACCCCACGTACCCCTAGTCCTGACCCATCTCTGACCCAACAACCCACTGAGCTATTCCGTGACCTTGCTTGTGTGGAAATGCCAACCAACCATAAGACCATGGAGGACCATCCTATTACTACTGTAGTACACTATCAAGTTTGATCTTTGGTTATCAGCATGCTTTCAGTGACCTTCCAGTAAATACCTGTAGTTAGAGAGCAACAGAATTTCCCCAAGGTTTAGCTGGGGCGTTGGTATCCTAGCAATCCTGGAGTAGCGTAGCGTGGGGGCAACACGGGCGATTTGGCTTGGTGAAGCAACAGATTTGGACCCCGTTTGTTTGGATTTCAAAAGTTGAAGTGGCTTCTCTGAAGGTTGAATGAACTGGCTTTATCGGCTACATTGTTAGAGTTGTTAGAGTTTTTCACTGGCAGTTTTTAAAAGATGGTTGGTGCAGCTTTTCGAGTTAACGAGAGATAACCTGACTGGAATGCAAGACTTAACTGTGATTGCTGAAAGAAGTGCATTAATTACCAGTGCAACCCATCAGTGAGTGTGGAACCATTGATGAGGAATACATTTGAACAAACGCGTTGAATGGCTATTTTATCACAACAATAGTAACACATTCCTGATGCAGTGCAGTGATTGGAGGGTCTACTGTGGTTCTCCCGTGGGTTCTTCAAGAGTTCTACGTGTATCTATAGTTCTCCACAGTAGATGGAATTGTTGCTTGATTATGGAAATCCAGATGATGCAGTGAAATGTGTTTGCTTGAGGAATGTACTTAGCTGCAAATTTGATTACCAGAAACATGCTGTCTGTTTGAATGGAGTTAGAATTTCATGGAAACAGGACCTGTAGTCATTTTCTGTTGTCACCGAGTACCAAACTTGTACAATGATTGCTGTGGTGATACCTCACTGTTAGCTAACTTCAATTCTGTTTTGGATCACAGCATTGGCATCAGTGCATTGATTTTTCTGAGCCCAGTTGCGGTTGTTTGAAGTTTGACAGTTGGTGGATTTTACCTGGTAGCAGTCTTATTGATCCAAGGCTATTCAAACTAGATGTTGTACTCTGTGGATGATTATGTAACAGTGTTGACATTATTCTTTGTGATCGACCCCTTTTTTGGAGGGACCTGATAAAACTAGTGCTGCAAGGAATGTGACCATTGTATGTGTTGACTGAATTAACCTACTGGGAGTGAACGAAACAGTTGTGTGGGATCTGCACAGGCAAGATAGCACTGTACCCACATGAGCTACTTTGGAATGTGATCACCATCAATTACATGGATATAGAAAGTTTCAAATGCTGAATCTTCCATGAAGAAAACCCCATCATTTCACATCACTGCAACTTACTTCACCATGTTAACATGACCAGTTCCACATTTGGTGTGCTGTTCATCATTTTTTCATCGTGAAGTGCTGTTTATCATTCTATGGTCAGGCTCTTCATGGAAGTAGACATAATTCCGGCAAATAAGATGTAACTTCAAGGGTATGGATCGCGCAACTTGCCATTTGTGAACTTCTAGAGAAGTGTTGCTAAACTTGTGAAAGTAGATAACCTCAAGCAATGCAGAGGGTCAGGCTAAGGATAAATATCTCGGCTGACATATTTTGTGATGTGATCATCTGACCATGTCGGCGGCAGTGCTAATCAACACTGTCATTTTGCCAAGGTAATGCTCATTTTGTTCCGATTAAACTTGGAGGTTTTTACTTGCATGTATTAGTGCAAAATCAGAAATTACGAGTCTTTGCGGCTCTACTGAGTGCATCATCCTTTCCATGCCATTGTTCAAGCCTGCCCTGTTTCAGCTTTCTGCTCTTTTTCTGAAAAAGTATGTATACTAGTAAACTACTAGGAAACAGGCGTGCAACTTCTCCTCGGATCTGCTGATTTTCTCGTTTTTTTATTTTTTATTTCTCACGAATGCCATTACAAATTGAAAATACTGTACAAAGTCTTTGTGGTTTGGAATTTCCTGGTTTTTTTTTTATTCCCAGTTGCATGCCTAATGAAATTATTATACAAAAAAATTTAGTCTGTAGATGATATTAGTAATTTAGTATGTTAATTGCAGTGATTTCACAGAATTGAAACTTTTCAACTCAAAACTTTGTCCAGCTGACCAAAGTTGTTTGGAGATACCGGTATATCAGCATCCATGTTTATTGTTTCCCAGCTTTAAAACACTAACAGTCCTGAATCCTCCAATTTAAATATGACTTTGCACACCCCCTAGGGAGTTAGTTAAGTAAAGTTGTCGGATTTGGTGTCACGTGGAAAACTAACTTCCTGTTTCTGTTGTTTGTGTTTTGGGGGTTTTCAGGGTTTTTTAATACTTTGACGTTGTGTCAATTCCAAGATGCCAAAGTTAGTTCTCCTATCCTTGCCATTAAGTTTGTTTTAGAAAGTATTACTTTTGTAGTTGTACAAAGTCCTCAAAAACCACAATGAGGAAGGAAGTAATCAAACTTGTGTGACAGTAGATTGAGCCTTATCTAACTTGTCCAAACAGGAAATGGTCCAAAAATGTGTTTATCAGGAAAAAAATCTTCTTGTTAGCAAATTTGAAAGTATTTACAAATCTGGAGAGAGTTTTAATTCGTGCAAATTTTTATGGAATGGAGGTATGCCTTTTGAGTCGTAACTATCTGGACATAATCTGTGGGGACGACATTGATTTTGTTCTGGAATTTCCATCAAGGTATGTTGTCCTTCGAAGAGAGAACAAACCATAAACTTGGCATGAAACAATTTGTAGCTTCACTTGGTATAAAAGGTTGGACAGGACTGGCCATGGTTGGTTCAGTTTCCTGCATGGATGAAGTTAATTTACATGGAGCTGTGACATAGGTAACAGCTGCCTAATGGGTGTACAGTTAGATGCCAATCAATTTCTTATTCAGTGTTCCAGTACTGCCACTGCATTGTGTGTTGGAATTGAGCCTGGGTAGAATTGAATGCTATGGGGGATTCACAGACTTAAAGGGAATATACATCATTTGCTTTTGCTGTAATTTTCAGAAATGGATGGAATTGGGGGGTTGGAAATATATAGCAAATATAGTTACACTGACTTTTTTGAGGTTTTGGGTTCGAAAATGCTATAAAAACCAAGAAAAACAATCATTTTCCTGTAGTCTGGTTCCCTGACTCCATTTAAGAAGAAACAGAGCAGTTTACATACATTGGGGAATTGTAAGGTCAGGGAACCAGTCTAGCTGGCCTGTACCCGTTCATAGGTGTGTAATCGATTGCATACAAGTGCGATGGTCAACTGGGGCCAGTTTTTGAAAAAAAGCCAGTTTTTTCCAACGCTGGTCGGCCGATCAGCGTTGGAAATTGATACAAAAATACCACTTTTCTTGAGAATGACAGTATACCAGGTGCCATGATTTTACAGGATGCTTTACACTTCATTCACTAACAGTCCAGCAAGGTATTTCAAAATGATTTGGTAGTTTTATTTTTTGATGTTTGCAAATGTTGTATTTTCCCTTTAAGTCTTTTTTGGAGGAGGAAATAGTTTATATAGGCCCTTTTGTATCGTTTTTGAAAAGCTGCTTGACTTATATTGACCATTTTGACTAACCCATTGTGACAACTTTTAGAGAACCAACAGACCGCATATGATGAGGCAATTAGTGATCTTTAGTTATAAAAGCTTAAAGGAAATCAGGATTTTAGTCAGTCAGACCATGCATGCCTTAAAAGTATTGTGAAAAAAAATACTATTATTCACGCTCAAACTTCATTTTGAGGGCAGGTTGCAGATAAAAAAAAAAACTGTGTGTAAATGTCACAGGGTACTTGTACTTCCAAACAGTCTAAATTATTGATATTATGGACTTGAGCCTTTTTTAATTTATTAAACACTTCTCAAGACAGTTTTGCATTACTGTAGAGAATATAAAAGTGATTTAATAAAACAAAACAGTTCTTTCCATCTTCTTAAATCAGAGATGTTGTGGGTTGATTTCTTTCTTTTTAAGATAATGAGTTTCAAACAATTAAATGCACACACTTAGATGCATACTTATCAACATTTTGCCAAACAAGCTTTGGAACCATATGCACAATTTATCTCATACACACATGGAATATAACACAGATGCAGAGTTGGTTTGGCCAAAGCAAGCTCCTAGTACAGTGTACATGTACACAGGCAATTGCACATTTTATCCAATTACTTCACCGCAGGAGTGTAATCCATCCTGAACATCCAATCTTGGCAGGTTTACCCGCTGGGCATCGGGCATTCTGTCAATTGCACTCGGAGATGGATTCACCGATTCACAATTGGCCTGTCACATTTCTGGATGCTTATTTTTTTCAGGAGATTTCTGCTTTCATTGGATTAGTGTATCTGATTTGTATTAATCATTTAACAGAAGGGTTACTTTCTTTTAGTATTGGGTCCATAAATAATGGTAACAAAAACAAGTAACTTAAACTTGATAGATCACCAATCCAATGTCTGCTCATGGGCATTATTTATTGGAAAAATGGAAATACAAACTTTACCACAAAAAGGATTCTTTTTATAATATTGGTTTTCTCCTTCACTCATAAGCACTGTATCCACAGTGTTTTCCGAGGGCTTGTGAGTATGGTCTTGAGCCTACAACTTCCTGCTTCCTAGTGCAGACGTCTAATTACCACCGACCATCAAGCTTGCGTAAGTCAGCTGGCTGGTCCAAATCTGGTAAAGAAGCAGATACCACAACTAATATTTGTTTTGTAATCAATTAATCACTATTTTTTTATTACTCCTCCTCAATACAGAGTCAGGAAGTTGCAAGGCACCTTGACGGCTGTCCAGGAGTTGGATCAGAACATGGGTAACCTGAGGCATTGGCTGACCCAGATGGAGAAACAGCTGAGCAGTCCCATCATGTATGAGACCTGTGATATCATTGAGATACAAGCCAAGCTACAGACACAACAGGTGAGGGTTAGAGATGTTGGGTGGGTGGTTGGGGTGGGGTTGGGATGCACAGCCATCCAGGAGATAGATCTGAACATGGGTAACCTGAGGCATTGGCTGACCCAGATGGAGAAACAGCTGAGCAGTCCCATCATGTATGAGACCTGTGATATCATTGAGATACAAGCCAAGCTACAGACACAACAGGTGAGGGTTAGAGATGTTGGGTGGGTGGTTGGGGTGGGGTTGGGATGCACAGCCATCCAGGAGATAGATCTGAACATGGGTAACCTGAGGCATTGGCTGACCCAGATGGAGAAACAGCTGAGCAGTCCCATCATGTATGAGACCTGTGATATCATTGAGATACAAGCCAAGCTGCAGACACAACAGGTGAGGGTTAGAGATGTTGGGTGGGTGGTTGGGGTGGGGGTGCACAGCTGTCCAGGAGTTAGATCTGAACATGAATACCCTGAGGCATTGGCTGATCATGAAATGGGGCCAGTTCATAACGTAGGTAAGTAAAGAGTAGTCTGTCACAAGCCAATATGGCCCGTTATCTCCGGTTTCCTGGCATGAAATGAATGAGAAAATTCCTACTCCACTGGATGGGATGCTAGTCCATCGCAGCTTACTCCCCAGCTAATGCTGGTACCCATTTGTACTCCTGAATGGAGAGAGGCAAATGGAGATAAAGTGGCTTGCACAAGGATACAACATATAGCCAGCAGCTGGATTCAAACCCCCTACCCTCTGTTCATGAGTCACAAACCCTAACCACTAGGCCGCACTCCATCACCAGTTCATAACATACCTTTTGTATATTTTCCTTTTGTAGGAGATTCAGAAAGACATTGAGCGTCACAGCAGCGGCGTGACCTCCGTGTTGAACCTCTGCGAGATGCTCCTTCACGACACCGATGCGTGCTCTTCAGACGCCGACAACGAAGCCATACAGACAGCCGCGAGAACCTTAGACCAGCGATGGAGGTCTATCTGCTCCTCCTCGATGGAGAGGAAAATGAAGTGAGCCCTCTACAGCCCACTATTGGAGGCTGTTTTTGGTTCAAATTAGGAAGTATTAGAAGTAGCAAATTGAAAATGAAGCAGTACAGAATTTTAAGGATGTGATATTCTTTAATGAGCCAACAAGAGGAAGTCTGACTATTTACTCTACCAAGTATAGCCAGTTTTACGCTTCTTGAACAAATTACATTTTTGGATCATCCTTGATGAACGAAGTCAGAGTCAATATTCAATATTCAATTCGTTTAATATGGTTTTGTGCACACATTCAATATGAATCACTGTTGCATGCTGTTTGCCCTTCCTCATGATGCTTGAAATTTGACTGTATGCACTGGGTATATACATGTACAGTACACTGAGGATGAAATTAGACAAATTTACTGCCGGGACAAAATGGACTGGCACGATCAATATTCAGCTGTCACATGTGTAGTGTCAAATTCCTTCACTAACTAAAAATGCCATCACAGTCAAAAAAGAAACTTAAGCCCTCTATAGAGCTCCCTCAACGGGTACTGTGCAAACCCTATGGTCTTTTTTAGGCATCTCAGTGTAAAGCTATAATCTCTTTGTAAGGCTATTGGCTAGGTCTTTAATCATTACAGCTGTGTTGTAATGTGCTACCAGTAGACATAGCCTTAGCACTGGAGCCCCATTTCGGACTCAGCCTAATACTGTGATTTCATTATGTCAATTCTACAGGATTGAGGAGACGTGGAGGCTATGGCAGAAGTTCATCGATGCCTACACCCAATTTGACGACTGGCTGACCAGAAGTGAGAGGATTGCATCCAACCCACACACCGCCAGCGCACCGTTTGCCGTCATCAAGGAAGAAATCAAGAAATTTGATGTGAGGATCTTCCTTAATACACTGTGATTTCACACATGAAAAAAAAAAATTATCCTGAACAAGCTCAAACCCTTACCACCTTTCTTATGAGTGCAAAGGGCATGGCAGCAATGGCATTCAATAGTCTGCTTAGATCATGATTTACATGTATAACATACTAACAAAAAAGTTTGTTCTCTCTCTTCAAAAGAATAACCAACATATAGATCTGGGTAGGCCTACACCACGTTATGGGGACGTTTTTCACTGGTAGGGTACTTAGAACCGAGTTGTGGGGACTTTTTGCTGTCCCCACAGGGTTTTCGGTCCCCAGAAATACCTCGTAGAGACGAATGTATGTCCCCACAACTACGGAACAAGAATGAGTGGCTTTATTGTCCAAATCCACACTCCAAGCAGTCATTATCCGAGCTTTGGAACATGTACAAAATAAGAGTCGAGTCTTTCTTCCTTTTAGGTTGTAACTATGAATACAAGTCTTCCTCAACATCTGGAATCAAACCAATTTGATGCAACCCCTAATTCCAAACTTATCTGATTCAACATTAGAATCATAAGTAATGTTAGAAATTTCTTCTTGTAGATATACCCATAGTTAACCCACTTTTCTCTGAACCAAACAAACTATTAAAAAAAAAAAATAAGATTTGTATTCATGGTGCTACTGGCAAATTCTTTACTCACACTTTCTGTTTCACCTGCTGAAATGCAGATATTCCAACGCAAAGTCCACGAGAACCTAACCCAGCTAGAAATGCTCAACAAGCAGTACCGTCGCCTGGCCCGGGAGGGCCGGACAGATAACGCCTACCAGCTCAAGGCCATGGTGCAGCAAGCCAACGTGCGCTGGGATGATCTAGCCCGGCGGTGCTCCTGCATCCTGCGCCGGTTGCGGTACGCCCAGAGCCAGAAGGAGGAGTTTGATGCCTGCAAGGAGAGCATGCAGGTCTGGCTGACCGAGATGGACTTACAACTCACCAACGTGGAGCACTTCTCCGAGTCGGATGTATCCGTCAAGATCAAACAGATGATGGTGAGATTATTCTCTCTTCTTTTTTTTTGTTTATCAGTGTTGTAGTAGAGTCCATCACAAGTCCATCCAAAGTCAATTCTTAAGCCTAGTCACATGTAAGAGGGATTAACGTGTCACAGTTCATTTGAATAACTTGTGACTTGACTTGGGAAGGATGTCTTGTGTAGGGGTGTGCATTGGAACCGGGTACCCAAGTACCCGACTGCCAATGTCAGGAACTGGTTCTGGATTATGGGATAGGGTACTCATAATCAAATTTATCCTTGGTTACTTCTCAGATAATGAAAACGAAAGGTTTTGAATGTAATTTGTGAAGAATTTTCAACATGAAAACCAGGTTACAGGCATGTGATTTGTTTTTATGGAGCTGTTTTATGCGCAACGATTTTATCTTATCTCGAGGTGACATGGCTACCATCAGTAAATTAAGTAATTAAGAGTCAAAGTAAAGGATTGAAATCACTGATGATATCGCATATTCAAATTTGTTGCAGGCATTCCAGCACGAAATCGAACTCAACCAATCACGGCTACAGGAGATCGCAGAGCACGCCCAGGTCCTGATGCAACGCTCTGACCCGCATGACAGCGCCCTCATACAGGAAGAAATGGACGAGCTGCACCGGTACTCGGTGGAAGTGTTCGACAGGGTCAGGAAGTTCCAGCGCAAGCTGGAGAGGCTTTCCATCGCACAGGTTGGTGTACAATACAAACCTCTACACTAATCACAGCAAGAAACTGGGAGTGAGTGGGTTTGAGAAACCATTAGCCTTTTTTGAGATATGGCAGGGCAGTTGCGTGAATTTTGGTAGTTACAAAAGAATTCACCCAAACGAAACGATGGCTGCATTTGCGTGGGTCACGCTATACTCTTGATAGCAGGGAAATGTTGCGTGAGCACTCGGGTCACATGTATCGAGCGGCTAATGTTGTTATAAAGCATGGGTAATTATGGCAGCCCCAATAGCAGAAGGTTATTCTTCATAAAAGAACAAAGTTTTATTGTGGAAATACATGAATACTGTTTCATGTTTCATTCATTACATTAAGCAAGAATTTATGAGAAAACGTCTTTAACTTTGGACAAATTTGGTAATGTTACCCTTTGGCCATCGTGAAATCACATGATTTTCCCAGGTGCAAGTGTATACTCCCGCTCTGACCGAGAGTATACTATCCCGTGCCTGCAGGTCATAATCTTGCCGTTCATGCACTCAGGAGTATACTTGTGTCAACACGAGTGCTTCGCTCGAACGCAGCCAATAGGACTCGCTCAATGACGGCCATCTCTGTAAAAGAACTGCAACTGCGTATTTTACGCAATCGAACATGCATTACGCAGTGTTGAAAATGTTCAAAACATGCGCGCTTTTTGCTCAAAATGTGTATGAAATACGACGCAGCTGATGCGTGTTTAGCAAGTTGATGCTCCAAATGCCGATGCACGTGGATGGTCTGTAGGAAATGACGTCATTTGAACGACACCGATAGGAGAGCACTGTTTGTTCTGGTGAATTCTCAAAAATGGCTCATTCAAGACAGATAAGACTGGAAAGTTTGCATGGTGGGGATAACAGCAAGGAAGAGTCCAAACCGGTTCTTCTCAGAACCGACACAAACTCACAATAGAGATTAATTTCATGGTGTTTCCGCAAAGTTACCTTGCAATTTAAGACAGGTTGGCTTGCTTTTTTCAGACCCACTCACAGTTTTGCTGCTGTCGTTGCATTACCTATTTCAGAAATTTTCATTCAGTGAACATTTTATGATTGCAGTTTAAATCTAGTCTGTCAAATCAACCCTTTCCTTTATTCTTTGGGAACTGTAGAAAACTCATCCATGGATCTCAGTATAAGTGCATTACTAACAACTATCTGGATTGCAGTGGATGAAATTACAATATCTGCATCATGACTTTACTTTTGAATTTTGTGTGATCAAGATCTACTTTTCTGCAAGGAATTTCCTCAGATTGTTGATGTTCTACTTTTGTCACTTAACATATTTTGAAATTTAATTTGAAATCTTTCCTCAAAAGCTTGAACAACACTTTACAATAATCGCAACGCATGGCATGCACAAATCAAGACAGCAAATTGGTAGAAAAAAAGAAAAATGAATATAATAAGATACTCAGGAATGAGAAACATCAAATTCAATAATTGCCACTCTAAATAGTCTAATTTATATGTACCCACATGTTTTATCTGTTGTCTGTAATGTCAGATGTGAATGTATTATGTGTTACATTTCCAGTAATTATTGTGTAGTAAAATTTATAATGCCGAACACCTTTGTGGAACATTTGTCACAAAAACTAACAGCACTGGTCACATTTTTTATTTACTTTTTTTAGAATTTCACTCTGAATTGTCAGTGGATTTATACACCACTTATTAACCTTTGACACTCTGCACTGCACACCGTCTAACCCAAGTTATTGTAATTTTTCCCGATATCCTACAGGAATTTTATTGATAGAGTGTGCCAGTTTTGCTGGATAGATACATTTTGCATCATTGTAGCATGCATCAGGTTTATAAAACAAAAATCAGCAGAGAAGAGTAGAGTTAGGAATATAAAAATCAAGGTACTTTTGAGTTCTTGAATTGAGCACTTTTAGTTGAAGTGGCTTTTTAGCTGATCCACTGATCACCATACACATACCCAACTGATGCAGTTGACATGCACTAACTCATTCACCTGCCCTTTTTTTTTCTTTTTCATCAACTGTTTTATAGTTGACATTTCTGTAGGCAGTTACCTAGAAATTTCTGACTTGCTCAATTTACAATTGATTTACATCACCTCAACGCAAATTCATCTTATGAATACTTTAATTGCGGTACCCGCTGCTACATGTACATCAGATTCAAACCAGCCAACCGATCCCGCAAGCTCGGTGGTCGAGTGGTAAGACATCTGCACTAGAAAACAGGAGGTTGTGGGTTCGAGTCCCACCCGAGTGATTTTTTTCCAACTTTCACTCGGGAGGTAACACACTGAGTATACAGTGTTTATACGTCAGTGAAGGGCAAAATCTTATTTGATTGACATCACCCAGACGCAAATTCATCTTATGAATGGTTACTCAATTTAGGTTTTGAGAAGGGACTCTTGTCTTTTTAGCTGAACAGGATATTTGTAGAATTTGTGTGTGGGCTTTTTTGAATATTTTTCCACCCCACCCTCAGATTACAAATAGTTCTTTGAGTGCATTCAGTTCCTTGCTAACTCTGTTTTTCCCAATGATCAGTTTCTGCTGCCCTGACATGTTCGGCAAATTAATCGAAACAGCTGTTCTGTTTTGGACGTTTGAAATACTAATCCAGGAAACATTATATCAAATAAATTTCTTTTTCAATTTCCTATGTTGAATAGCCTAAATCTATCATTCATAATTAATTTCCTTATATGATAGATACATGTACGTATCTAAGGGCTGATAATTAATATGAAAAAATATCAGCAAATATGAATATATTGACAAGTTAGTTTTCAAAATGTTATCTGCATTATATATCTGACATGATAAAGGTAACGACTATTCAAAGATAACAATAACTTCCAAATATGAAACCTTTTTTTAAGTGTTATTCTCTCTCAAGTAGCTCATATTTGATTTATATGCTTAGCGGTTTAAGGTACAGTTAGTGTAGTGAAGATGGCCGGTGCAGCCACCTTTGAGAACTTGTAGCTGTTTGTCTGTCCTGTGTCTTACACTGTGTGTCTCTGTCTCTTTCTCCTTAAACTTTGCTTCCACACAGAGTAGAAACCATGGTTTTATCGACCCATTTTTTCAGCTTCCTTACGTTGTTTTACTTTACCATATTGAGGTTAAATTTGTATCGAAATTACATTTTCCAAATTTTTAAGATGCAACTGAAAACTATTGATGTTTTCTCATAATCAATCAGGAAGTTTGATGTAGAAATTTATCTAAAAGAAAGTTCTAATGCTTCTAATGCTTTTGGGTCTTGATCAAAGTCTACATTTTAGAAGCCTCGTCTGTCTTGTGTGTTCATGTTTTCCACATGATTAGCTTTTTTAGTCAATGAAAGCAATCCCCTTCTTTTTGTCTCAACCCCAAAAAGGGAAGCGAATCCTCCTGCATTCCATTTGATTATCTCACTGTTCCACCCAAGGTGAGTCTGAATGGGAAGGGGTCAGAGTTCAAAGGTCGCAGTGGTGATAGCTGGTGTCGCTGTGGTTGCTCTCACCCTCTGTGTAGCTGACTCATTTGATTTCATCATTTTGCATAGCTCTTAACTTGCCGAGTTGTCTGTGTAGATTTTGTTGATGTTTGGTAGCTCTGTGTAGTATCTTAGTTGTAACTTTGTTGGCTTTGTTGGATATATTGTTGTAATTGGTAGTTTGTGGACGTAGAAGCGTTGATGTTGCAGCAGGAGGGGCTAGCGGCGGTGGCGTGCACTAATTTATGTTGATGACTCATCTGTTTTATTCCACTTCTGGACTTTTTTTGACGATCAAAGCATTAACTTCAAATTAAGTAGCTTTGTTTGATTAGTTACATTTTTATGGGTACTTTCTTTGATACTTCAACCTCTTTGACCCAAATTTTTATCCCACCTGGGCAAACAAGTGGATTTTGTTCTCAGTCCCTACCTAATTCCGAAGGACTTCCCTCCCCCCAGAAAAAAAATCATGTTTGGGCATCTTCCCAACTCTGAAATTAAAAATCTATGGTTCTTCATCAGGCTTCTGAGCTACATTGCCTTTATTACATACATGGAGGTAGGAATAGATTCCTACCTCCATGTTACATACATGTACATGTTCACTGTCGGATTTCAGAAGTAGAAAGACTAGATTTAAATAGATCAAAATGCTGTTTCATTGTTAACATGTTAGAAAGCTAGAGAAGCACTTTAAACTAGGAAAAGACAAGGTCCAGTTTTCTGTTCCACATTTTTTAATATTTTGAATAATCTTCTGAACTGTCACCCCTTAAGTCAAATTCCCAAATCTGTAATCCCTCTTATAAACTGCAACTTGTTCAGAGTTACAAAAAAAAGGTATGGGCTGTATATGTGTGTATCCTTAATCCAGTTTAACTCGCATTCAATGTTTAAAAATACATGTACCAACAAAACTGAGCTTTTCTAGTTCAGCTGTCACTGTCATTGGCTTTGATCACCAGTGATCATGATGCCACTCAACCTATTGAATACAATCGGCCAAGTTACTGGAACCACAGCTGGAACCAGTCCAGTGAACGCATTGTTGTCCTGAAGAATAGAAAGCCATATGCAAGAATTAGTGAACCATCACATTTTGTCAGTATGCAATCAACAAACAAGTTGGAACATGCAAACACTAGGGCCACACCAAAAACTGGATTTAAGCATAAGCTCTGAATCTAATTCTGACTGGTTGTATACATTTTGTGTCTAGTCTGGAGAAATTCTGTCATTTTTTTGTGATCTTGAAAGCTACATTTTTCTGAGTGATGGAGTTTGTTTTTATGAAAGAGAGGGCCTACCCACTTTGGGCTCTAGAACCATTGGATATTGTAAGTAAAACTTGTGTCAAACTTTTATTCAGACTTCCATGATGATACATGTTATATATGTTAGGTTTATCCAGACCCTATGCATGCATGACCTAGATGTTTTGATTTGTTGTTATTATTTTGATTGTTGAATGTGCATCTTGAAGTTTGAACAGGAGCCACTGCAAGCGAATCTGTTTATAAGCTACAGCACGTACATGGCTGTGTATGACTGACACTAATTTATCTACACCATTTCTTAGCACGCCTCTAACACAGTAACATCTTGCTGCTGTTCTTATTTCTTTCCTTTATTTTGAGTTGCAATTAACTTCTTCCTTGCTTTTTTTTGTTTAGTTGATAATATTTGGTAGTGCCTCTTGTAACTCCATCAGTAGTAGTGTGTCATCTTATAAATACTACAGTTTCTGTGTAGCAACTTTCCCGTAGTTTATGTTGAAAATAAATTGTGGCGATTACCTTGAAGATTGATTTTTGTTTTCATGATAGCTGTATGTACTGTGCCTCCAAAAAATTCTGTGAAAGAGTGTAATGTGGATATTTTTCAGATCATATAAACATGTTGCTGCACAGCAAGGGAAATATTGAATAAGAACTGAAATTCCTGCAGGAGTTCCTGCAAATAATGCTACATGTATTTTTGAACTTGTTTCTTAGTAAAAATGTAACAGTTGTGCCAAATCCTTCACTCATGATTTTTATCAGATCTGAAGGATAAATCTTTGCACACAATAAACTTTCTGACACCGCAGACTTCTGTGTGGAATTTTCAGAGTGAAGTTTTAAGAACGACGGTCTAATAAGGAATTAGATAAGGACTGTTCTTATCAGAACAAAAGCTACTTAGCAAAGTTGATAATAAGCAGGACAAGTTCTTTTCAGAACTAATATCTTCTAAGCAGTAGTTATTACCACATGGTGTTACCGCAAACCGAAACGATAATTAGATTATTATCTGAAAAAAGATGTCATTAAAAATGTCACTCAATATTTTCATTATGCAGTACGACACTGCCAGCACCGAGTCCGAAGAGGAGAGTGAAGGCGCCAGCTCTCGCGACATCAGCCCCGATCGCGACATCAGCCCCGATCGGGACAGTCCCTCTCTCATCAGCTCCCACCGATCCCTGACCAGTACTGCCAGTGCCCTCTCTCGCTCCAGCCGTGGCAGCCGTAAAGAACCACTCGCACGAAGATCACAGAGCAACTCGCGGTCAGCGTCGCCCTCCCCGCATCACGAGGCCTACGCCTCGGGCCGCATCACCCCCGCGAGCATGGTATCCTTGGACTGGGACATGTACATGTCTAACAACGCTCAGCAGTTCACAGAGCCTCCGCCGGGGGAGGACGCAGGGCGATTCAAGGTGGAGAACCAACACGTCCAGCAGGCCGTCGAGGATTGCCTGATGAGGTTAGAAGCCACTGAGAATGCCATCAGGTGTAGGACGCCAACGGGGCCAGAGATTGAAGAGGAAAAGGAAGGATATGTGAGTAGAGAATCATTGTTGGAGAATGGAAACTCGAAGGACTTGAAGAAAGGATAGGTTTATTGATGAACTGATTTCAAAATTACTTAGGTGTCGATTGTCATAAAAATGGCCAAGTAGACAAAATTTACACAATGTAAAGCTCACTTAAGGTCATGTGACCACCATTGCTGAGAAAACCTTGGTGGATGCCAGATGAAAGCTTTAGTGCTTCATATTTATTGGTCTGAGTTTCTGTTTAATTTCATCATAATATGAAGCTCACATGTTACATGTAGATTAAAAGCCACCGCAGCAGTACGGGATGCTATCAACAGGATGAATGGAATCCAGTCTTGGAAAGATAGGTACTCGGACCCGGGAAACTGTTTAAAGGAATTTATTGTATTAAAAAAAGGATTACGTGAAAAAGTTGACGAATTTATACATTGTTTTTATTTGTTGTAGGATTCTCTGGTAGAAGACTGCCGTGTCAGTGTGGATGTCCTCAAGAGAATAGCCATGAGAATGCCGCAGGAAGACCCAGTACTCACACAGCAGATAGCAAGTATGTCATTTGTCTAATTGATGTAAATGATGAAACATTTTGCCCATCACATTGATTATCATACAATACACATGCAGCTAGATAAAACTGCACAAACACCAAAGATGTCATATCAAGTAACCATTTTGTTGTCATGTACTCTCGTTGTTCTTGAGGCCCATCAAAATATGCTAAGCAAGATTTTCTTCTAAGCAGATTTGAAAACTTAACCTCGATCATTTTTTTTCCCCTACAGCTGTCTTGAATCGATGGGAGATCCTGCAAGCAGACATCATGGAGAAAGACTCGCGGCTCAACCAGAACTACAAACAGTGGCATCAGTTCCGTCTGGACCTGAACAATCTCAACTCCTGGCTGGATGAGGCCGAGGTGTTACTCAGCACTCAGGAGACTGACTCGCCTACTGGAGACCTGGAGGGCATGATCAGGAGGCATAGGGTGAGTTTTGAGTGACTCAAGACTGAGATTGTTTCTCGTAAAATGGGCTGGTTTTTTTTAATTTGTGGACATGTGTATGGATGTGATGCAACGCGACCAACTCTGGGGTCATGATGCAGCTTGTATTTCATATATTGAGTCAGTGTTTGCGGTGCAAGTTTGAAAGCCCATAAAGTCAACAATTCAATTTCAAATTGTACTCAACTTCAGAAACATGTATTTCCATCAAAGCAAAGACTAACTGTTATGTCAATAGAATAAATAATAGATGAAGGCATGATCACGAGCAGTTGTGTAGGGACATGCTTTGGCACAAATCACAGTACATTAAAAAATGATAAAAACATTGAAAAAAATGAAGATGTCAAAGAAAAAAAAAATACAAAGACGGACAGACAAATGTATATAGAGACACTTGAACAAACCTTGAGCAGCCCGACAGACAAACAAACAAATAGGTCTGTTTGTTTCTTCAGAAATCTTGTAAGCTCTCAAATGTGTGATGACAAAAGCATTGCTTTGTTTCTTGTGATCAAAATGTGAAGTGAATTGTGATATAATTGTGACCAGATTGTACAGTAGGAAGTACGCTTTTTATATCACATTTACCAAAATTTCAAATTTCTGAAAAGATTTTCCATTTCTAATAATTGACATCTTTTTCTTCAACCACAGGAGTTCATCCTGGGTCTGAACGCCCGCAAGGCCATCGCCCTCTCCATCAACCTCTGCAGCCAGCAGTTCCTCCGCCCAGACAGCCGCCACACGCAGGCCCTCCGCGAGGAGCTGAACTCCATGAACCAGCGCTGGGACCACGTCTGCGGCCGGGCAGCGGACTGGCAGAAGGAGCTACAGCTGGCCATCATGCAGTGTGAGGAGTTTCACCAGACCACGGCCGACCTGATGGTGTGGCTGGACGGGATAGAGGCAACGGTCGTTGAGAACGAGCCGATCGATCTGAGCGCCGATGAGAACCGGTTACACCACCAGTACAGGGTCTTCATGGTAAGACTCTTTTTAGTGTATCTTTAGCTGGACCTGAAGTGCTAGCCTACTGTCCTCTGACTGACTGCGTGACTGACTTTAGTGAGTCCCTGACTGACTGACTCCCCCACTCACTCACTCACTCGCTCACTGAAGTGACAACTATCACACTTTGGGGTCTAGCAAGACTTGCCTAGTCTAGTTATGTTTATTTACTGGTTTATGTTTCATTAGGCAAAAAAAAAATACTCTGGTCTCTGGTCAGCGCGCGCGTCGATTTTTAATCATGCGCGTCAACCTTTTTTTCCCTTCAAATTAACACGGAAGCTGCAACAGCGCCCTCTATTGCCGCACCTCCTCAAATTTTTGTACCAAAGAGCACCAAGGAATGGGGAAATTGCACCAAGGCAAATGATAAAGGGCACCAAGGCACATTATAGAGGACACCAATGTATAATGAGGACACAAAAAAAGCAAAATAGTACCCACCTTGTCTGTACAATTCATGCTTGAAAAAAAAACAAAAAAAACGCGTCGCCGCATCAATTCCGGATTTTTCGGTCTGACCGGAGACCGATTTTTTTTTTTGGCCTTACCTAAATTTAAAAAAAAACTTTTATCAAATTCACAAACAAGAGAATGAAAGTCACTTAAAAAGCAAGATAAATTAATTATTCAGATATTTCAAGTAAAAGCTCACACAATGAAGTGGTATTTTTAACTGAATGTTGGGGGGGGAATGATAGATTTGTTTTTAAAACAAATTTCTTCAAAAGTCCTATTACATGTTTTTTGTGTTCAGTAATCCTGAAGTGTGTTTATATGACTCATAAAAATGTTAATACTCTGTGTGTTAAAAACAAATGTAGGTTTATTATAACAAAAAACTCAGGAAGTTGTGTGTTCAGTTTCCACCTCGGTAATGCTTGTGAGCTTTCCTTGCAAGCAATCATTCAGCAGTGAGTATACTGTTCTGAGTATACAGAAGTACAATAAAGTAATTAAAGTACAAAAACCAATATTGAATTGAAAAAAATGATCAATGATTTTCATTGTAATGCTGGTTTATTAATAACATGGTGATTAAAATAACTCAAATTTTTCTTTCAGAAATTCAAGCGTGAGTTGGAGTCTTCCCAGCCCAAGGTTTCCTCCCTGAAGGAGACTGCGGACCAGCTCCTAGTGGACGTAGACTCTGAAGATTGCCAAGCAACGCGAGACAAACTCCACCTGATCTCTCGTAAGATTACCTCACTGCTCAGACGCTGTGAGGACAATCTAGAAATACTGGAGACTACCATAGACCCTACGCAGTTTGAGATTGATAAGGTTGGTCAAAAATAGAGGAAAAATGTTAACAAATGGGCTGGTTCATACTCTGCGAAAAAAGTGCATGAGAATTTTTGATGTCACAGCATGTCTATACAATGTTAAGGAAGGTCTGTTCATAATTCATGTGAATGCGAAGCAGATTTGCCTTTGTAAAAACTTTGTGAAAAGCGGAATTCACCAGAGTTGAAATGTGAAAATGAATAATTCTGCTGCAAACTGCTTGCTGATTGGATTGATCTGAAGTATTCAAATCAAACAAAATTGGACGGCCTAACGTTTTGATCCTAGCAGAATCTTTGTCAAGGGCAACATGAGTTGAGTTGTAACGTGTTTAACTTTTGCGATTTCGCCATGATGTCACTAATTCGCATTCACGTACGAATTGAGTAAATTTGAAGTAGTTCATCACATTTCAACTCTAGGAAATTTTGCTGCAAATATTTCTTGACAATAAATTTGTTTTGCACTTGCGTTGGCATAGAGTATGAACCATCCTTGACTCTAACCCACTGGGAATTGTGTTCAAAAAGCTTTGTGAATCTGCCAAAATCAAATATGATGTAGTAAATTAAGTTAAACTTTGTTTTTCTTGGCCCAATTTGACTCTACTAACAGTTAGCAAAAAATACCCGCTTACTGTAGCAGAAAATTCAATGCTTATGGTTGGCATATTTCACGGGTTAACGAGGATTAACTAAGGATTCTGTGCTTACAAGGTTAGCACAGAATTTTTCTGCTAGCGCTGTAAGCTCAGAATGGCGATCGTAATCGCAGAATTCTGTGGTTAGCAGAGCCATGAAATTGGCCCCAGAAAGACTATAAAGTTTGTCATGTGAAACTGAGTGGAGAAAATTTCTTGTTAACTGGTAATAATTCCTATTTTATGTATGTGAGATGGTTCTTCTGGGGATTGCTGCCTTTTGAAAGTTTAAGGACACAGAAATTGCCACTGGGTTTATGAGTGGGGATGTTGGAGGATATAGGAATGTTTTGTTTAAACTGCCTTTGGTGAAATGTTTTTGCTGTACACTTTTTGAAATGTTTCCTTTTTTCCTTCTCCAATTGTTCAGCCTGAAGACCAGCCCATCACCCCCCAGCGAGCGGCCTTCCCACTGCAAGCCATGGGTGACATGATGGGTGAGTTTGGTAGCACACCCATGCTACGGTCTGGTACCCCGATATACACCATCAGACACTTCACTGATGCTGCTACTAATACTGCACCGGAGGATGACGTAGATGCAGCTGCTATTGTGTAAGTAGAACTACTGGGCCCAATTTCACGGCGCTGCTTAACAGTTAGCAGAAAAGTTGTGCTTAACATAGCACAAAAATTTGCTAATTTTAAGCACTATTTCACGGCGTGGACGTGCTAACGGTCGCGTGTGCATGGAGATTTCTATTGTTAAGTTACTAAGTTAAGCAATTTTTCCTCTGAAGTAAGCATGCCTTTTGCTGTGCTTATGCTTACGGTCTCCATGAAATAGACGGAGGCTCTGTTAGCAGAAAATCGTGTGCTTAGCAGCGCCATGAAATTGGAACCAGATGAAGCTTTTGTGCATTATTATGAATCAGTTTATTGAGGTAGTAAGTTTGACGAAATGAGGCTATGAACTGCGGGCATTAGCAGTAGATGGCACTTTTTACCACTTTGGAGAGCTCCAGTGGGAGGGGCACACTGCATGAACACACATACTTGTTCTGTAACAGTGGGGACTACACACGAGTTGTCCCATGGTACTGTAACAATAAAAAACTTCCCCATAATGCAGTGACGACCCGCCCATACATACTGGTTTGTGCTCATACGGCACGAAGTACGCATGATTAATAGTGATGAGAAACTTTACTGCAAAACCAAAAATGTTTGAATTTTTGTGACTTATACCATTTCTCACTGCATTGTCTTTACAGACCTGTCACCGGCGCTCCCGTCCACCGTCGACGGTCCCCGTTCATCTCCAGAGCGTTGAGGGCAGCATTGCCGCTCCACCTACTCATGCTCCTCCTTCTGGGCGTGGCTTGTCTCGTACCCATGACGGAGGAAGACTACAGCTGCACGCTGTCCAATAATTTTGCCCGGTCACTGCAGCCGATGCTGAGGTTCACCAACGGCCCACCACCGATCTAAATAGGACTCTGCCCCATTTTAGGATGATCGAGGGATCATCAATGATCTTGTGCAATCTATATGTGTTACTTAAAAGTGGTTAAGACTCATAACCACTGATATTTTAAACTAGACAGTTGTTACGAATGCACCAAGTGAACTCTTACACTGGGCTATCCGCCCCTTTTTTAAACCACTCCCCTTCAAAAGTCCCTTCCCAACTGACGTTAAAGCAGTAATATGTGATCAGGGGATGTATAGTGCATGTGAATGCATTTTTTGTTTATTTCCTCAATAAATGCAGAAGCATGTCTCAATCTAATCTGAGAATACTCTGTTGCTACTAAGCTGAGAAATGGCAACTAAGACTTTGCTACTAATCTGAGAAATTTTATTCAAAGACTCATTCTGATAAACCGTGAGGAATTTTTATGCAGGAATTTATATCCGGGCTTTGGTTATGTTAATACAACTCCTTATATGTAGCAACATATCTCTGACGTGATTGGTAATGACAAAACTGTTTGCTTTTTGTACTGTTAAAAAAAATTGATGCGGTTTAGATCATGGTTTGTAGTTTGAAACTAACAATGGGTTGAAATAGTGTGAACTGACTGTAACTAAGTATTCATGGTTTGAATCTTGTAGGGGAAACTGTGTCGTTTTGAAATATCCGTATTCAGATTATTTTTGTATTCAGTTGTATCTGAAACAAAACCATATTCTGAAATCAAATGCAAACGGAATTCTAAAATCAGGCTTGTCACAGAAATTGATATTGGTTTTGCGTGCATTGTGTGAGTGCATTGTTAATTTTAAGAATTTCATTTGAAAGTCTTTCGCTTTATTTGTTTGAGGTTTTATCTTAGTTTTCAAGTGTACTTTTTGCATTTTTGGATTTCCAACTTGATGTAATTCAACATTTCATTCATTTCTGAAGTTAATGCTATTTTTACTTCCTGCGGTGAGTTCCTGCGGTGCACGTTTTTCATTCTTAAATTGAGTTATTTTAGCATGATTATCAGCAGCTTTTTAGTTAAGATGATAATATTCATAAAATATTTTAGAGCACTCAGTAGATCTTTACTGATGATGGTATATAAAATCATTTTACAGATATATACTTCAACATGTGTGCTAAGATAATTCATTTTTTTTAATGAAAATTGATTTTGGTCTTATTAAATTATGTTTTGTGATTTCTTTCAAAACGTTTTAACATGGTATATGCCTGCTACCAACTGAAAGAAGTACTTGCCAAAAATCGTGAAAAACATGTGATTCCTGATTGCAGAAAAGAAAAATATTAAAATTAAAATTTGTGACTTGTTTTTTATTGACGTGGGATTTAAATATTTTTATATAGGTATTCAATTTTTTCAGAGTGTATGTAGTTCAGTGCCCCTTAATTTATTTGTACATTTGGAGTGTTGTAAAAAAATGTATAAATATTGCAAAAACGAAATAAAAGCGATCGTCGGTCACTGTTATTTCCATGAATGTTTTTGGAAAGATATTTCGAATGGCTAGAATGTAGTTATACATTTTGCTTGGAATTGACTAGATTTTAATGCAGGTTACATTTTGTAAGCCCATTTAGAACTCTTGTGTAGTTATTTTTGTAAGCTAACGTATTCGATATTTTGAGCTGTAAATATTAATAAAATAATGCTGCTGAATTGTATAGGGTGTATAGTACAATAAACTGATTCATGCGTCAAAGGAAACCCTTGCAAGTTTTGTTTGTGTAATTTCACCATTTGTCCGTGTAACATAACTTATATTTCTTAATACAATGTATGCACTATGCTACTATGCGTAAAAATAACATGAACAACTTTTGACTTGTGATCCTTAAAGGGAATGTACAACATTTGCACTTGCTGCAATTTTCAGTAGTAAATGGATTTTGGGGATTAGAATTTTATAGCAAATATTGTTAAACTGACTTGTTTCACGTTTTGGGCTTGAAGATGCTGGAAAAAACCAAGAAAAATATGTTCTTGTAGTCTGGTTCCCTGGTCCTGCTTTAGATGAAACGGAGCAATTTCTCGACTTTGGGGAATTGTAAGGTCAGAGAATCTGTCCAACAGGCTTGTACGCTGGAAAAATACCATTTTTCTTGAAAATGTTAACACACCAGGAGCTTTAGAATGTCATTCCCTTACAATCCACTAAGATATTTCATGATAATTTCATCATTTTGTTTTTTGATGTTTGCAAATGTTGTATCTTCCCTTTAATAAATCTGTTGTTTACCAATGGAATTAAACCAAAATTTCACATCACATAAAGGGCATGACAAATTTTATGGAGCGAGTTTGATTGGCTTTGTGCAAGAGGGCAAGATTTAAACACCATGGGAAAAAACACTACATTCAGAATCTGCCCTTTTTGACTTGGCGTCCTCCAATGTCTATACAGCGCTAGAAATGGTGGCAGAAGGCGCATGCTGATCAGACGTCCCTGTGCAACTCTTGATGTGTTGCACCAAACGATCGAGATGTGCAATGACATTGGGGATGATCCTGCATTCCTTCAGAAGCTTTCGGTCGCAGCACACGCCTTCCGCCACTGTCTCCAGTCTTGAAACCCGAGCATCTTATGATTTTTATTTTCTCCTGTATTGTACACATTGATGTCGACATTTCTTTAATTAGCCCATTTTCCAAGCGATAGATTGGTTTACTTTACACTAAGATTGTGAGCTATTTTATCAATTATGCTGTTTTGGATGATCTTCAGACAAACGGTAATTAAAACTCAAATACAAGTCCACTTTATAAATATATCAAACATTTTGCAATTTCTTTTTTAATAGCTTCCAGTAAACACTCCATTTGTCATGGTATAAACTTCATAAACAAGAAAAATGAAGTGATCATTTTAAAAGTGGTCATTATGTATTCAATAAGATGACCAAGTGTACAATTGCTTTTGGGAAAAATCTGTGCCTCAAGAGGGCGCTCCTCAACTTTAACATAATATACCTTATGCATAGGGTCAATCTTATGAAGAGAACATCTTTTATTTTAATTCAGTAACATCGGATGCATTAAATTTTCACTCATGCATATCCCAGCAAAACAAAGGCATTGCCCTCCAAGATGGCTGCTATGCATAAGGTCTATTGCCATTTCCCAAACCTTGGTTTCGTACATAGCTTCAGCCATACTATCATTTAGAAACATTGAACATTCAAACTAAATGGAAATACGCTTAAACATTGGCCTCATATTACGGGGTTTGATGTTGCTTAAGCTGAGAGGAGATTTATTGAGCCACAGCCCCCCAGCCAAGAATGATGTTGATGGTGGAAATCAGGGCTAGCTTGTGATGGCAGTGGGTGTTGGGGTATCTACTTAAGTCTGACTTGAGTCAAGTCTAATCCAAATCAGCGCTCAGATGAAAAGGGTGCTTTTGAAAGCCTAACCCTTCTTTAAGAAAAAATCCCCGCTCAATTGGATAAGAAGACACGGCTACCTCAAACCCAACTTTGCGCACTTTTTTGCCAACTTGCGAGCTTTATCCAATTGCTTGCATGACTTCTTATCCTCCCTTTTTGTGAAGCAGTTCCGCACATGAATGACGAACGTCGAGTCTGAAAAAAAAACATAGAAAAACATTCTTTCGTTACAGAGTATTGCCTTAGCCTTGAGATACGGTGGACACAATGAGGGCGCTATTTGGAGTAGGTACATTTGGGTATTATACAAAGGAGCTTTGAATCCTAGATTCTTGGGGATAGAAAACGGGGCTTGTGACATGATTTGTAAACTATCAATTCAATTAAAGCAGATTCATTTCAAGAAAGAATGGTTTTTAATAACTTTCGACAAGTTCTGTCTAGCCCCAATAATCCCTTCTTAACGAACAACCAAATTTGTAGACTTACTTTTTCTGAATCTTTTGTTCTAAAGAATTCTCTGATATATTGAAACCAAAAAGTCGAAATCAGTTCCATTAAATTCAAGTGCCAAAAATGTTTAGTCTGTATTCACACATGAAAAAGCAGTAGAACAATCTGAAATGATTTACTACATGAATAGCTCCGAGACATGACATAACACACTTTATGTGTGCTTCCATAAGAAAGCACACATGTAAACAAAGCATGACATCATTCTGTCAAAGGTCTATTAATTCATACCTGGTGTCTGCATGAGTGAAACAATCACAGCTTTCTGTAGTGCAACCTTCTTGTTCTTTTTGAGGAGTCTTTTCACAGTCTTTTCGTTGAAGTGATAGGAAAGCCACCAGTCTCTCTGTCTCCAACATGCCATGATCGCGCCCATGCCAGCACAGTCTTTCCTAATCCACAAGAGAGAAAAAAACATTGTTGAACAAAGCAGTATACAAAAAGCAACCCAGGTTGACCCAAAACAGCTCAGGTTGACCCAAAGCAACAGCAACTTAGTTTGACCAAAAGCGACTCAGGTTGACCAAAAGCGACTCAGGTTGACCAAAAGCGACTTAGGTTGACTCAAAGTGACTCAGGTTGAACCAAAGCGACTCAGGTTAACCCAAAGCAGCTCAGGTTGACCCAAAGCAAGTCGGGTTTATTAAAAGCATCTCAGGTTGACCCAAAGCGACTCAGGTTTACCCAAAGCAACTCAGGTTAACCCAAAGCTTCTCAGGTTTACCAAAAACAACTCAGGTTGACCCAAAGCTTCTCAGGTTTACCCAAGCAACTCACGTTGACAGCAACTCGGGTTGACCCAAAGCGACTCAGAGTGACCAAAAACGATTCGGGTTGACCCAAAGCGACCCAAATTGACTCAGGCGGACCCAATGCGACCCAGGTTGACCCAAAGCGACCCAGGTTGCCCCAAATAGACAGTGAATGTGAAACACTTGTTATTTGTTTTATACAATGCCTGAATAAATCCTTGTCATCTTTTGTGCAATGCAACTTCTATTTACCGTGGAATACAACTTTGTATTTTTGCAGGGTGGCCGGGCCATGGGATGGGATGAATAATTCAATGACGTGTGATCAAAAACCCACGAATCAGATGACAAGAATTCATTAAGGTGTTGTATATGTGTGAATTTGCCAAGTTTTGGCAATCTACTTACTTCTGAACAATTTTCGTGAGGTGTTTTGCGAGGGCCTTCCACGGTGCTAGCCTCTCATACCAGCAGGGATAATCCAACATGTCAAACAGCACTTTGATTATCAAGCCAATCTTGTCGCTGTAGTCGGGGTTCTTTGTTTTGAGCCCCTGGTTGAGGAGACTAACCAACTCCAGTGCCAGAACATCGGATGGAATTCTCCTCACATAATCCTGGGCGAGTTAAAAAAAATGGGAGACAGGTGGAAAAATTCTTGGTCATAGCTGTCAATGTATCAACCTCTTCGATATTTGCAATACATATCTTGGGTACGGATGACAAACAAACCAGGCATTTTGTGCGCAAACCCAACGTCCTGTGAACCAGTTAACAGTTTTGAACCCCCTGTCAATTTCAAAATGCTTGTGCTAGAGACGGCCCCAGAAACCTACCTTTAGAACTCTGATCATCTCCTCTTGGTCGCCATTGTTTCTCTTGAGATGTCTATACAAGTATCTGTAGGCATTAGGGTTGTCTGGACATGAGACGCAATAATTCTGCAGTAATTCTCTGGCAACATCCAGCTTGCCATTTGTTTCCAGTATCTAGGTGGGAAATTTACAATATTGTGTTTCAACCTTCAAGGATGTCATTTCATTAGCACTGCATAGTACTAAGTGCTGTCCAAGTGCTTGGGAGAAACAATGCAGGGGTTTACTGGGGTGGGCATAACACAGTATTGAATGTACATCCTAATGCAAAATTCCATCATAGGGCAATTCCAGTATTATGTAAAGTCTGTGACAGGAGGCTTTAACCACTTTACACCAGGATTATTTTTGCCGGAAAATTTCAATTTTCACAAAAGGCAAAATTTTCCAGCCAAATTTTCCAACCAAATACTGGTTTGCAAGAGTCATTTCAACAGTATTTGTATGGTATTTCTCGCCGAAACCTCAGATGTTTCATTACTCAGGGGCAACTCTGATGTATAACTCTGTGCCCATGCCTGGTCTAGGTCCACGCCTCCTCATACATATACTTACCTCTGCTTGCTTTGTAATGAAGATGTCCCAGACACCAGGCTCATCAGGTACAGGAATAGTGAAATCACACGACTCATCCCGATATCTAAACCCAGCTCCGTCTGTGTGATCAAAACAATTCCATTATCACAAATATGTTTTCCATACCGCCATGTCTTTGAAACATTGTAAAACTGGACGAAGTAAAACTGCCAAAAAAATTAAAGTTGGACTTTCCAGAGTCTAAACCTAACAGTACTGATCAGGTCGACCCAAATTTGAATTTTGTGTTTTTAAAAGAATGGTAATTTTGTTGGAGCAAGTGAGATTTCGAACTCATACCTTTATTTGGCTGATCATTATCCATTTGTTGCCGTGGTAACAGACATTCCTGATACCATTCAGCATACTTGAGTAGTCCGGCGTACGCTTTGCTCATCATCACCCAGTATTTAGCTCTGTCTTCATCACGTATGCTGAGACCACGACTTGTCATCTTAGCTGACTAGGGGAAAAATTAAAATATATAATAATATTACTGCCTATTTCATAAGGCACAAATATTGATGTTCAAAGCACTTCATAATTATTACCCCTGCTTATTTGGCCTATAAAACATTCCAAAGACCGTCTTAGACCTGGGGTATATATGCAGTTCCATGCTGCCATTTTGGTGCAAAGAAGCAAAACTCAATCCCAGTGATTGTCTTTGCCTTCACAAGTACCCACTGACTTCTGGGTGGCAGCAGGAGTTAGTGATAAAGTGTTTTGCCCAAGAACACATGCACCACAAACCCCCAGGCTGGACTCAAACCCACAACCTGCGGATTGCCCACAGCGTTCACAGCTCCAGACCAGGAGGCAATGGACTATGCACTTTTCTGAAAGAGCTGCCACTAAATTAAGGTGTGGAGTTATGCAGCATGCATATATGACCCGTCACCATGAAACGGGCAGAAAGTCAGAAATTGCCATTTTGCAGTACACAGGGAAATACCAAAAGTTGAAGGAGTGGTTTTTGTTTTTTTAATGGACCTCAATCTGAGAGTCCTCCTTTACACCTTTCTCAAATGTTTTCAAATCTACCAAACATTCATTAAATTGATTCTTAACCCATTCTGTTAGTGGCCTTTCAACAGTCAAAACTCAACAGTGTGCGACATTTTGGGGATCATTCTGAGATTCAAATGTTGTTAAGAGTGAAATCTCTGTTTTCTAATTATGACAGATTGTCAGAACAGACCGAGCAGATACAAAGGACTCACAATGAATCACAGAGAACAACCATAAAAGCATTATCTTTTTTTTTTTTAATATATACCGACCTGGATTTCAAACTCTGCATCCTTGAATTGTCCTCGACTCAAAAGATAGAAGACCTTCTCCAGTTTTTTCCTCTTATGCCGATGCCAAATGCCCTCCATTTTACTGCAAACCACAGGAAGAAACTGAAGAAAATAAGATCCTGCTGCTGGCTTGTCATAATCATAAAAACACTCAAATGTTCATAGCACCAACAGTCGATGTGCTTTTGACCACTTTCATGAGCCCAGTAGACGGAACATATCGCATGTGCAGGCTGGTTTGTGTGCATATAGCGTACGCATGACTTAATTTATTCTGATTGTGCACATAGCCATAGCTTCTTCTCATGAGCATCCGGCGGTCAGCAATGCTATCAAACATCCCTCCCAGTGGTCTCCCCCAACTCTCCCTTTGCAACCGTTGAGGGGGTACTTGTGCATGGAGTCCACACTAGATTCTACTAATAGACCAAGCCCCGCTCACCGTTTGTGTACATATCTCACAGTGCTTGTGACCTAGTCTGACTGAGCTACCTTGGTCACATGACCAAAAGGTGTGACCTTATTGGTCAATGCACACTATTTGATTGACAAGCAGCAATGGCCGTTAGGTAATCTTCTCACAATGTCACCTGGAACGAGATGACATCACTCACATACATTTTTTTTACAAAAAAAAAATTACAAACTGCATATACATTCACAAGTGACGCACAATCACTAACTCAAGAAGCAACTAAAAGATAAGAATATCAACTGCAGAAGAGTTATTGCTAGAGTCTTCAGACACACTGGGTTGTATGAGAGCAAGGAAAACTCACCTTGTAAACTGCATGATCAATTCTGGGTCTGCATCTGGGTAGTTGTACAAAATCTCTGTCCCACACTGATGAAGAAAAAATAAAGTGGTCACATTAATCACGGCCTGATCAAAAACGTTTGGGTCCAAAAATCAATCGGAAGAACAAAGACACCCAGGTGAATACGATCATATCTGAGTACTTTTTCAGGTACCTGAGTCCAAGCAGTTGGACCTTCTTGCTCCTGAGCAAGGCGCTTTACCATCATTGCTTCGTCCTTTGGATGGGACGTGAAGCCGTAGGTCCCGTGTGTTGTGTAATGCACGTTAAAGAACCCAGTGACACTTATCGCTAAGAGAAGGGGTTTGCCCCGGTGTTTCTGGCAGTGGCTGCTTAATGCGCCGCAGCACCTTGTAAACCATTATAAAGGTGCTACATAATGGTTCTCATATTTCCCATGTACTTCATTTACCTGTCTCTAGTAATACACATAATTTCCAGCGCCTTGAGTACCTAATTGTTGGTAGATACGTGCGCTATATAAGACTTCGGTATTATTATTACATATTGCACTATTGAACACGCCCCAGGTGGCACCCTACATTGTGAATCATCCCTATATGACGTATCCCACCATACCTTCCACATGTAGTCGTCATGTACATGTGTTGGGTAGAGGCAGACCATTTCCATAGCCTGGCTTGCTTCACGCCATCGGTGTGTTAACAGACAATGTTTAAGTGCTGCCAACAGAAGCCAAAACCCTGTCCGGTCTGCGGAGGTCAGAGGTCTTGTGATGGTCTCTAAAAAATGATATGAAAAGTAAAATGTAGCAAATTTCCAGCCAAGGACTATGTGGACAAGCATTCTTAAAATTGGTTCTTTCGGACAAATAAAGACTAAATACAGATTTAGCTGTGACTTTTAGTTTGATTAGGCAAGCTTTAGAACAATGGACTCTTCCTGCTTGTCAACAGTGCAATGGACCAATTAGATCACAGTATTTGGTCAGGTGACCATGGTAGCTCGGCTAAACTCTGTCACAAGCACTATGAGAAATATACACACACCAAAATGGGTGTGGGTAATGACCAAATCCACAACGAAGGGTTCATTGTGGTCAAGAAAAATAAACCAATTTCTCATCTCGTCCATACATTTTGTCTTTTTCTTTGTTTCCAATAAAATTATAGCTATTTGTACAATCTGGTAGAAAGGGTGATAGCTCGATCCTTTAGACACAAAAGTATCAGCAAAAGAGTCGTGAAACTGAAGAATCCATCTGCCATCTTGGAAAATCTGTCATCTTTGGGGAAAAAAAGGCCTTCTCCTCCTTTTTTTTTAAAAGCCCGGACAAGAAACTATTTTGTTTCTACTTGGCCTCACCCAAGGACTTTCTCAGAGTATAACCATGAAGAATCGCACAGGTCATCCAGTTTTCATCTCAAGATCTGATTTCACAGTGACTTACTTCTGATGAATGAACTGAGGCCAGCCAGTGATTGTCCATCGTATTGGAAACTTGGCTGCCCCTCCTCACCGAAGACGGAACTGGCCTCTGAATCTCTCGTCTCAGTGGAATCAGAGGAGTGATCGGAATCAATGTTGTTGGGATCCTCATCATCATCCAATTCAGAAATGGACTCCAATGGCTCATTGTCGACATCCTCTTCCATGGCCTTAGATCCCTGAAAACATGACATTTAATTTTCATGTTACTACGTTCATTAATATTAAGTATGTTATGCCCCACCCACATCACTGGTACAAACTCAGTATTGTTGGAAAGTTGGGACAGTCCATACCATACTCCATAGTTGGCATATGTTCCCAACTATAGCTGGGATCGTCCCAAATAATGGTTTGGCGTAACACGCACATTTCAGGGACTAACGTAATGTTTGTCACTTCTATATCATCCCATTACGACGTGATAGGTCCCAACCATCACAAATTGAGTGAGCTTAACAGATTGTCATTGCATCTGATGTCACATTGAGCACGGGTTTATTTCATTGTCACATAAGGGGCAGTCTATAAAATATGAACGCACAATGCCAACTTTTTAGACCCCCCCCCCCTGTACGCATGGTGCAATGTACATGTATATGCAGTGGTTCCCAGCCCCCCCCCCCCCCCCCCCTGTCCCCACCGTGCCCACTGTACACATTGTACTACATGTACTGTACTACAATGTATGTACCATTGGCGGATCCAGGGGGGTGCTACGGGGGCGTGCGCCCCTCCCGGCAGTGACCAAAATTTTGTAAAATAAGGCCATTTTTCACTCGAATGAGCCGTTGCGCCCCCCGGCACGAACCTCTCTGGATCCGCCACTGTGTACTGTCATGACTGTACAGTTTTAGTGGGAAATTTGTAGGTAAAATGATGACGAAGAAAACAAAATGCATGGCTCGGAAACTGCGTAAGATTGAAGACAACCGGGCAGTTCTGTTGTATAGGATTACCCGTAATGCGAATGGAAAATAAGGGCTATATCTCTCCCATTGGGTAGACCAGAGGCACATAAAACATTCCAGTTAATAATAATAATAATAATAATAATCCGACCGAACATGCCAACATGCCAAACCCATCAATTTTGTTTTCAAGTCACGAGTGACATATAAATGAATATCTTTTTTTTTAAATATGATTTAAAATCAATATTTAGAAGAAGATAAAAAAGATTCTGTGCTGGAGATTTTCCTTCACCTTTGAAGATTCTCGGTATCGAAACTTGTTGTCACCCCACTTCTTGTTTCACTCTCACAAGTCTCAGAAAAAAAACCCTGTAATATTTCCCTCCACTCCATCCAGCTTCCAACACCACGTGCCAGGTCACAAATTCAAATAGCGCCCTCCTTTGATGGACGTATCCAAAATATTAAGAGGGACTGTAAGTGACAGTTGCACGTTAAATTGCCTTATATTTGGTATAATTTAAACTAATTTCAGAATAGATATTATTTTTCAAAATACAAAAGTATCATTTTAAATTAGTAATTTGAATTATGATTGTATTATTGCACAACTGTAATGTAAAAATGTTCGAACAGTATTTATGTTTTTACCCCTTTTTGAAAATCAAATCACCCAAGCACAAAACAAGATGGCTGCGTACATGGACATCTTTTTGTAGTTGTACTCAACGTAAACTTCAAAACTGCTTATCAAACTACTGTTAACAGAGAAATGGCAGATGATAAGAAATTTACGGTGTTAACACCTAGTTCAGTGAAGATGGTGGGAGAATCCGCTGGCATAAGCGGCCTTTCTGACGAGATTGCTAGTATGATTGCTGAAGATGTTTGCTACAGGTTACGGGAAGTCACTCAAGTAAGATTACACCTGTACACATTTGATTTCATGATTTGTTGGACCCGGCCTACATCATGGCCTACTTCACTAACTCACAGTAATAAATTCATTAAAACTATAGTAATTATATACTGGGCTCAATAAATGGGGGAGAGAATGTTGCAACTTGTCATCACTTCTTTCTTCATTTGGAAGTCAGTCATTGCAAAAATGTTGAAAAGACATGAATCTGGGACTGAGAAACATCCAAATTTTCTTGACTCTCCATAGACTTTGTACACAACCGCTGAAGTGGCGTCTGGATACATATTTTCCAACTTATAAAATTGAACTTGTATTGGTTTTTTGTTTGTTTATGGGCCTAATACTTTATTTTTTTTTTGTGGAAATTGGAAGCAGGCCTACCTGATAATAACACAGGAAAAGAAGCTGGGCATTCCTAGATGACAATTGTCTGCATAATTGCTCTATTTTCATTCTGAATTTGTCTTTTTGTTTTATGACATCTAGGCTAGCACTCAATTCATGAAGCATGCAAAGCGCAAACGTCTGAATGCTGAGGATTTTAACAAGGCTTTAAGATGGAGTGATGTTGAGGTAAGTATTGCAAAAACAAAGGAGGAAAGTCTCATTGTCTGGACTGAATGTACCGGGTTTCTTTGTTGTTGTTTTTGTTGTTGTTGTTATTTCATTTACTTAAATTGATTACATCCGCTCTCCCAAATTTAAACCAAAAAAAAATTATAACCAACTTTTTTGTTGTTGTCATTGCTGTAGTTGTTATTTTTTGGTATATATATATATTTTGGGGGGGTATATCCCAAATTGAATACAGAAATTGACTTGTCCTCCACCCCCCCCCCCCCCCTAAAAAAAAGAAAAAATTAAAATCTGTGCGCAGTGAAAATCTTGGTGAACAATTTTACCAACATTTGTTCTCTATCTAGTATGAGTAGAATGCAATATCCCGAAATCACTTTTCAACCTCAGTGACATTCAATCATCGATAATATGTTGAAAAAGATAATAATAAATGTGGGATTGAGAAAACGTTTTCAGTTTTGTCAGGCAATACTTAGAGAAAGTACTTGGAAATTTCACAACTCACATAGACTTTGTACACAACCAGCATACAATGTATGTAGCCTTAGGATACTACATTCTTTCCAATTAATCAGTTATCATTGCAGATATTCATTTTGGTATTCAATTATTTTACAGCCCATCCACGGCTATGGAGCCCGTGACCCTCTGAACTTCATACCTGTCAAAGACTCTGAGCTGTTCTTTTCTGAAGACCGGGAGATCAACTTAATTGATCTTGCAATGGATGGAAAGATCCCGTCTGCCCCTGGAACAACATCAGTCAAAGGTTTTAAAACACTTGCCTCTCTTGAGGCAGGGGCCATGTCACAACAGGCAATTTGCAGGCATCTTGTTCCAAGCAATCTTTAAAAACCAAGGTTTTTCCCCATAAAATATTGGAGGATGTACTGTACTCTTCTCAAAGATTGCTTTAACCCTTAGTGCAATTGGTTGCCTCCTCATCACATGTGAGAATTGCCCCCTTACGAGTTACGACTTAGCCTTTACCTTGAAACTGGTGTTACGATGCATCACAAGCATATCACAACCTGTCGCAAGTACATCACAAGTCCAGTCACAATTAGCCTTGTCCAAGGCGGTCTTGGTTTTTGTCGGAGGGAGCCTGAGATTTGGGCATGCACATGAACCTCGGCAAACGAACCATTGTCCAGTCCATGCAGACACAACACATGCGTTGTACTTACAAAAAAAGTACGTATAGGCCTACACCACATGGGCTAGCGAGCTAGTAAAGGATGTGCGCTGTGGGCCGCATCAATCGTCGTTCTTATCGTTGGCACACTGATTTAATTAATGACAAACCAAATGCCTTGGTCAAGGCTAAGTCACAAGTAACAGTGGATGAACAGTAACAAACAAATGCCCTTGTCGGAGTTCATTTGAATAGCTTGTGACTTGACTTGGGTCTGGAGGACTGGTGATGGGTTTGTGATAGACTTGTCTACTACACTGATGAGTATACTGTACAGAAAATTTATGTTGCATTACAAGCATATTTCTTGCAAAAAAACTCTTTGTAAGCTGGTATTGTAGAAAGTATTGCCAATACCTGAGGGTTATCATAATTTGTAATTTACTTTGTGATGGAGAACCATTTATTTCAATACCGCAATCAGTTTTCTAATTGGTCTGATTGTTAATTATGTTATTGAAAGGTTGTGACCATTCTTCTGGTCAAATTCATAATGCATGAACACTGTCAAAGACTTGTAGTAGGAATTATTTGCAAAAGTAACATGCTTTTTTGCAAAAGTGATATTTTATCTATATATTCTCACTGCAGCTTCTTGGGTTGCAATCGAAGGTATACAAAAGTCATCGGGAGCCCAGGCTGGAACAGGTAATTGGACTGTTATTGTTGTTGGTTGTTACCCATGTGCACTTGTTTTACATCATATTACATTGTATTCATTCCTTGATGAAACCATACAATTATAGAGTGTTTGGGAGTTTGGAGCAGTATAGGGAGACTAACAGGAAGGGTGGTTTGGGACAGTTTAGGAACCAATGGGTTAGCATCTCAGTAATAGTAGATGAAACAAAACTTTTACTACTGCACACCAACCTCTAAGTATACGTCGGTTCCAGTAATAAAGTCTAAACTAGACTAAGTAAGCCTCGTAAAGATGGTCCCAGAATGCACAAAATTCTATTCAATTGATTCACAGTGGCCATTACCTGCAAGTTCTTATGTGTCTCTGGTCTACACGATGGGATAGATTTAGCTCCTTTTTTTTAAAAAAAAGTTGAACAAAGAAATTGACTGGAGCGGGGTTTAAACCTGCGACCTCTGGATAACTGTTCCGGTGCTCAATCAACTGAGCTATCCAGCCCTATGTTGGCGCTTCCCCAATTCGTCAATATCTTTGTTCAAGGGCGCTACTCAGAAGCCATAAACCTGTATATGCCATGCAGCCAGGAATCACACCCAATGTCACGATGCAGACCTGGGAAATTGTATTTTTTTTCATACGCATTACAGGGTAATCCTATGCAATAGCACTGCCCGGCTCTCTTCACCAGCCTACAAGTGAGTCAGTCATTGAGTCAGGCAATCGGTCATTGAGTCAGTCAGTCATTTAGGTACAAAGAGGACACTAGGCTAGCCCTCTGGGACCATAGACAATTTACCAAACATTGTTTTCACCTGTAATTTCAGGGGTTACCCACAAGTTTCAGTCGCTGTCACAAGATTTCCAGCAGTATTACAAAGACGTCACCAAAGCCATCTTAGAATCAGACAAGCAGCAGGCAGAGGTAGGGTTCTAGTCTGTGAGGACTCCCTGCAAGTACATACATGCAGCTAGTACATGCAGATAGCACTGTGTGACTGTTATAGGCCCCAACTATAGCATTACCCCGCTATATCTATAGTTTGGACTTTCCCCACTATAGTTTGGGCCATTGGGCGTAACATTAACACTGAAAGCGTTGTTACAAGACTCTTTTGTTTCTTGCATGTGCTGACTTTCAGCTATACAGGGTGGCCCCCCAAAAAACGGAACGGTGTACTTCTACCCTGAGACTCAAGCAACCTATACCAATGCATGGGGAATTCTGTTAAAAGAAAAATGATACCAAGATCGCCTGATTCAGTCCAGTAGTTTTTGTTCTAGAGCCCTTTTGTGAAACAAAATCAGAAGTCAATTGGCACCGATGAGTTACTAAACCGCGCCCGCGAATTTTGATTTAATTGGATAGAGGGATTAATTGTAATGTAATAATACCCACATTAAAGAAGCGTGCTTCACAAAATAGGCTCTGCAGCAAAAACAACTGGACCGATTCGGGAGATCCTGGTATCATATTTCTTCTCTAAAGAGATTCTCCATCCATTGGTACAGGTGGTTTGAGTCTTCTTTTCAGCCACCCGGTATATAAAAGCCGTTTAAAACTTGCATTCCAGATTTGCACCAAACACAATTGTCTCGAAGTTTTGAGTAAAGTATGTGAATTGTACTACTTTTAGGAGTGACTACATTGAGAGAGAGCTTGCAGTTGTTTGAACAACTCAAAGAGTCTAGTCAATGGAAAATGTATACATCAAGTCAAAGGCGGGTCCAGAAGAGAAATTTCTTGGGGGGCCAAAAAAAAATTTGGTCCCCCAAAAAGTGGGTGCAAAAAAATTACGTGGGGTTTGGGGGCTGCTTAAGGGCCCTGGAAAAAAAAAATGGATTCTAGATGCTCTGTGGTGCGATCTGAGGCAATTTCTGACAACTTTACCCAATATTTTTGAGGAAAAGTTGGTGGTGTACGCAGTGCCTGCCTTTATTGCGACATCACTTTAAAAAAAAATTGGGTTTGTTTTTTTGGGAGGGGGCCATGGCCCCCATTGGCGCCATTGGATCCGCCCTTGCATCAAGTTTGCCCGTCTGAAACCAAAAAAGTTTTGTCCGGTGTGATTCTGGAGCACTAGTCTGTTTTTCTTTTCTGGTTTCTCCCCAGCTATGTCTGAGCGATCTTCGTAAGAACACTAAAGTGTCCGGTTTGTTGCCCTACCTGGTCAACTTTGTGTCCTGCGGAGTGAAGATGGTCAGCCATGACCTGTGTCAGTTGATGAGGCTGATGCACCTTGTGGATGCCTTGATACATAACCAGGCGCTGTTCCTAGGCCCTTACGTGAGTACAAAGCTTTGTATTTCTGGCCTTCATTACTAATTATTTTATCCGATTCTGAAACTGCGTCTGGGCTGATCCACAGCGTCGAATGTACCTTTTGGGCAATGATAGTTATAATCATCAAGTGGATTTTTAATTCTGATAAAACACATGCATTAGGCCAAATAAAAAAAAAACATGTTTAGCGTCCCCTCCCACTTCCTTCTTGGAGGCCGCCTCCTTTTTTTTCTTTTTTTTTATGGGAAAAAAAAAACCCCAAAAATATAAATTTTAAACAGTGACATCATTTTGGCCTCTTTGTCTGTTGCATCTAGCCCATATATAACTGGTATGTCATTTCCTGAGCCCAAGTGGCGGCTATACTCATAAATTAATTTTTCAGTTGCAAGTAACAGCTGAACTGTTGAAAATTATTAGTTATAAACTATGTAAGCCACATGGACCACATTGGGGTCAACACACCTTGGGTCAGACAAATGAACAAACCACTACTTAGTCTATAAATTATACTGAACTAAAAAACCTTTAATTTGAAAACTCGGTCAGAACTCTAGATCCAAATCTATAACACCAGCGCTGATGATAATCAAGAAAAACTTTAAGTAGGCCTACATGTAAATGTTTAGGTCAACAATGACACTTTATGAAATAAACAATAATTTATCTTTCTGACAAAAACAAAATACCGGTATACAGACAATATTAGGGCCCTAAATATATTCAAACAAGGATATTTGAGACTCTTGATGTCACTCTAAGGCAATCAAGTCCCAATCCAAAAATGTTGATTGACTAGTCAGTTCAGTTCACTTCACTTCGTGGAGTTCCGGCGAAACCACAGAAGTTCAACGTCACTGTATACGCTACACAGTAAATGGTTCCTTCACAAGATCCCTCCTGCTTGGAGATAGACTGATATGAGGGATGCTCCTGTTACGGTAGTTCACCTAATGCAGACAGCATACATGTAATTCCTGTCCTTGTGAAGATGTAACATGTGTAAACTCACATGTGGCCAGTTCAGTCACCAACGGCTTGATCCACTCAAGATGTGGAGCAGAGTTCCAGACTGTGACTGTCCAGGCAGCAAAAATACGGATCAAGTTAATCCCCAAAAATATCAGGGTACACCTGAGAGTAAAAGAAAAGCAAAATATGTACCTTAACAAAAGGCTTGTGTCTCTACACAAAGCAATGTAGGGGGTCAAAGCAGACGGTAGATCAAATAATCCACCCAACTTCTAGCATCAATACACTTTAAACTTGTTCAGTTTCTAACACAACTCAACATGTCACTTAATTTGAATCATCCCAGTATGTGAGGTTTCATTACGCAAAGGTATATTGGTCACAAGATCAATTATTTCTTCTAGATGCATTAAAACTGGCTCCCGATTTAAACAATTCACATTTGTTTCTGTAACGTTAATTTCAACATCAATTATCAACACAACTTATCATCAAAAATCACCCCAAATGTTATAATCATCCCATTATCCTTCACTTATTCTCACCTGAGAGCCACAAGCTGTAGGATTTTCAATAAATGTCAAACTAACAGTTGACTTTTAGCAAGAATCTTGGCATTTCACTGCGGGAATTTCGCCAAAACATGTGCGAACATAGCGCCTGCCATGGTTACAGTACACGCGCGTCTCATAACCGCTTGAGGGCGCACTTCAGCGTACCGCACGGGCTACACATATAATTCAATAAAATACAGATAATAAGCTTCAAAATGATTTATATGTTTCATTTGTGGCAAATGGACCATTTTGAAATTTTAGCAATTTCTCTTCTGTCTGTGTGAGATTGAATGAATATAAGAAATCTTGACTCTATCCACTAGTTGGTGAATTTGATCTCGACGGTGAAGTACTGTATCTTGGAGCCCTTGGCTGTCTCTATCAATCCACTCAATGACCACTGGGCGCTGAGAGACTACGCAGCAAGGCTACTCTCACAAATACTCAGGTAATTTGTAATAAAAATCTGTATCTAATACGTGCTAATACAAAGTGAGTTAAAAAAAAAAAAAAAAACCCAAATGCCGGGACTATTGTTTTATTGAAGTTCTGCATGTAGCACTTTCAAAATCTAGGATATGGAAGCCAAATTCATAAACTTTGTTGTAGTACAAGAATCATTCAAATCACTCGTGTACTTTTCCAGTTACGGAATTTTAAACACAACCACCGTTTTAAAGTTCTGTCCACGGATCACAAAAAAGTTCAGTGTTCTTTTAGCAAAACGAAAACAAATCACATAGGGATGTGTGTGAATTTCTTTCGTTTTGCTGAAAGAACGCACACCTTTTTTGTGATCCATGGACCGAACTTTAAAACGGTGGTTGTGTTTGAAATTCCATAATTCGAAAAGTGCAGAGTGATTTGTATGATTTTTGTACTAAAAGAAAGCTTATGAATTGGGCTTTCATATCCTTGATTTTCAAAGTGCTACATGAAGAACTTCACTTAAACAATAGTCCCGAAATAGTCCCAGGTTTGCAGAATTGCTGATGTTGCTGGCATTTTTACTTTTGGCGTGATCCCTGTCTACATGGCATATGTGGGTTTATGGCTTCTGACTAGCGCCACTTGAACAAAGACATTGACAAAATGGGAATCACCACGTAGGGCTGGTTAACTCAGTTGGCAGAGTGCAGGAATGGCAATCTGGAGGTCACAGGTTCAAACCCTCCTCCAGTCAATTTCTTTGTTAAATTTTAAAAAGACACTTTGGTAGTTGGAACAAAAGATAATGCTCAAATTACTTCCCATTTTATTCTGTTTGCTAAAATTACTTATTCTGTGGCAGAAAAACCCATAATAGGACCTGTAATTATAATCTGAATGAGCACAAACATGTTTCATCTTCACGTGGGCACCAGGATGTTTGGTGACAAGACTTGCAATTCCCTCCTGACACTATGTAACTGAACGAGGGGGTACTTTACACAGTGTTCATAGGTAATAAAGTCATGTATATTGTGTTCTTATCTCAGAGAAAATTCCCCAAAAAACTTCTATACTAATAAGCAAGCCCCGTCTCTCTGTCTGGCTATGCATTTTGCCTTGTGATCACTTAGAGAGTTGAAACTGCCCCCCCCAACTTTAACCCCAGTTTCGCCACTGCTTCCTGTGCACAGTGTGGGCTTATGTTGTAGTAACATTTACAGAATATTCTTGACATTTTTTTATTTCAGATCATCCAAAGAGATCATGGGTAGATTTGAGCATCAGCTCTTGGCCGCATTGAAGGAGGTCTTGAGCGACCCAGCCAGGCCACTCTGCTCTCATTACGGTGCTGTTGTTGGGCTCTGTGCACTCGGAACTAGGGTAAGCTCCTTAGCTCTACTTTGATGCACCGTAGGGTAGGGCTTGTACAGGTTTTACTGGCATTGGGTAACCATTTCTGTAATCGTTGAGTACCCACACAACAGTCCTAGAAGTAAAGCTGCACTTTTCATTGTGTGATTCTCTGCAAACTGCCCCGGCGCCTTGCCACCACAAATAAAAACCGTCAACACCAATCTGATCATCGGAAATGGTCAGCAACTGGACTTCAAACAAATATTTCTTGGACCCAAAAAACAGATTTACAGTGATTTTTTTTTATGCAAAAACTAATAAAACATTATTTTTACTTCCCTGAAAAAAATGAAAGCGGGTACATGTCAACTTTGATCGCGTATCTGAAATACGTCGCGTGAAGTGTCCTCAACCAATGAAATTTCACAACATATTTTTAGCACCATGGGATAACATCTAAGTTGGTAGAGAGCATTCTATTGGATCAGAATTTTACAAGTCTTATTCCCTGACTTTACAGGCTGTTGAGGAGGTTCTAGTCAGTCAGCTGTCCAGCTATTGGCCGATCCTTCAGCAAGTCCTAGAAGATACTTCCATCTCTAACTCACAAGTCAAGGTGGATGGACACAAAGTACACGGAGCCATTCTGGTAAAGTTCTTATATTTTTTTTTCTCTCGCAATGAAATTCGGGAGATGGCATTTCAGTCTTCATGTATGTATTTGTAAAACATGGGATCTTAAGACTCATATGACCCTTTGCATGTATTAGTTGCGACTGCAGTTATACTTCATTGTATGATATGGTTGTATAGAAAGGTGTGTATTGTCAAAAACAAATCTTAAGTAACAACACAGAGATGAAACTTTTCCGATTTTAATCGGAAAACCGACTTTTTTAATTTTCCAACGAAATTTTCCGATTTTTTTACAGTGTGTCCCACAAAATTTGATTTAGTAAGGATTTTTCTCACAAAATGTCATTTTATTTCAATCATAATTTCGAAGAAAAGTCGATGAAAAGTCGATGGAAATGGCACGTTAAAATCATCGCAAACGTAGTTTTAATCTCTTTCACCAGTCGTTATTGGAGTGTTTCAACGGTAGAAACACAGGGCATAACACTGATCGGAGCCTTCTCCGGCTGGACAAAAGGTTAAACATTGACAGGCGACATGGAAAAATCACTGTGTCGCACGTGCGTGCATGTACTGTACGCAATGATACCAGCTTACGTACCGCACCGTACCGTCTGCTAGCACATGGCCGGTCGGGAATGGGTAGCCTTGTGAACGATCCAGTGGATAAAATCATTATGTTGTGCGATTTTCAGAGGTTTCAAATTTAGTTAAACAAAATACAATGCCTTAAAAATCGTGATGATTATCTCGAGGATAGCGAAGAGAGCATTAGCGAAACATTTCATTGGCATTTGTTAGAAGAGAAAGACGATAATACCTGATTTTTCCCCACGTATGAATGCAAGTGGAGTAGTGGAGTTGTGTGGTTGAATGAATGGACATGATTGAAGCACCATGAACGGTGCCTTGTCTTTCGGACTTTTCCCTAGACTTTCTCAAGTAAGAAGTGAACTTCTTTATTGATGACTCCATTACTCTAACCGTAATTCGGGCATTTTATGCAATGAAAACACTGACCATTTTTTTCATCGTAAAATTTTGTTTGAATCGAAATTAAAGCAGGAGTAGGTGTCCGGAAATTGGGCATGAAGTGTATTGTACATGCATGTACATGTGTGTAATGCAGCGCGGCCCAGATTTCGGACACATATTTTTCTTCGGCATATTTTCTGATTTTTTGGCCATATGCCAGTTTCATCTCTGAACAACAATGTGTACAGTGGAATTCATATATTTTGTGGTCATCCAGTATAGAAGTCGGTGGTTTATGTTGTACATTTGGAATCGATAAGTGACATGTACAGTTTCAATGTATACATTCTTAGAGCACATAGTACTGCAATCATTTGCAAACTTTAACTTGACTGTAATGTGTTCAGTAAGAGGAAGTGTGCAATTTCAAGAAAATTACAAGGAATCCTATTTGTGAGTTGTGTTGTAGAGTAGATCATTTGTCATTTTTGCATTTTTTTCATTTGAAGCAACAAAAGTTCTCAGAATCTAAAGAAGGGCGCTTAACAACTAACCTGATGAACTTTTAGCTGTGTGAATGCTGTATATTCCGAGAAAACAATATTCTAGGATCTCGATTTCAATTCAAAATTTGCCGAGTCATATTTTGAATTGCGCCCGAAATTAGCAGCTGGGACATGCTCTCATTTAGCCGATTGCAGCTAAGCGATGTCACAAAATCGACAAATAATAGCAATCGCGCGCACTTGTGCATGGTGTCAATGCTTGCGCGTACCCATTCACGGCTTCACCGAATTAAAAACTGACTGCTAAAGGAAATTTCCAAAAATGTGTCACTTGATGCATCTTTGGAAGTTGCCTTCTTTTATTGTTTTCTTCAAAATGACAGCATGCCAGAAAGAATATCACAGGGAGTTTAGTGCCATTATTATCTTTAAACCAAGTATGCTTTTCAAGAATAATTTTGTCAGTTACTTTTTGGATAGCTGCAATGATATACTCTGCCTTTAAAGAATCAATGGGAAACTCTACATTTTGGACAGCATGCTCTGCCTGTCGTCGAGTGACTGACAATTGACAACCTCAATCTCACGAAGACAGACACAGCATACTATTCAAAATATTGACTTTCACACTGGTTTTTTTTTCTGAACCACACAACTCAACAAACAGATTCCTTGTCCCGTGGTGCAACTGTAAATTTACTCTTATTGCTGACTTCACCATGCAAACCTCCACATTTTCTTTGTAATATGTTCACAGGCTGCTGCTGAGATGCTCCTCAAGACAAAACAGGATCAGTCGGTTGATGAGGAGTCTGTGACACCAAGCCAAGAGCAGTCACCCAATGCCAGCCCGGATCACCAGGCAGAGTTTGCCTTTGGTACGGCCAGCCATCTCATGCATCTCAGCGGCAGTGGGATTTCAGGCAGCGCCGCTGCAGACCCCGTCCGGAAACCCAAGAGATGCTCCATCTCGGAGACCTACAGCCATCTCTACGAGTATCTTGGAGACAGCCTGACTCTCCGACTGCATCCAAAAGGAGAACCTAGCAAGCAGACGCTGGAACCTCCTAAAGATATCGACCTGATGCAGCTCTTGAACACTGAACACCAGAGCAGCCAGCATTACCGAGGTAACTATCAGGGAGGGTTGCTGAACCTGACCAGACGGAAATATCCTAACAGACCTCGTTTGTTATCAGGAGGAACTGGAAGGGAGGGTCTCCGCCCGCGGCACGCCAAGACCCCAAAGAAGATCCGCGGCAGGGCTGCCAGTCTCAAGGATGCCTTCCCGCTGGCTAAAACAATCAAGATACACAAATCAGACTTCAAAACCCAACTGAGCATCCCGGGAAGATTAGTGAGCTTGAAAACCAAAACAGGAACTTCAGAGGAAAGCAGCGCCGTGCCTGCTTGGTTGAAGACAAACTCGGACGTCTGGAAGATTAACATGAGGATGCCAGTGTTTGGGAAGAGGAGGATTCATTCAACTGAACCTTCCGAAGACATTCAGTCCAGTTCTAATCAGAGGACAGTGTGTGACCTTAATGCCCTCTTTTAATCCAAGTGCTCTTTTTTTTTTTTACACTGTTGAATTCAACAAAATCCTCCGATTTTGAAAATAACAGTATTGCAAAAAGTTGGAATCGCTGCCTTTAAATATCTCGTGCACAGTCATCTTCATACATCTACTTAGCAAGATGATTTAATCTTTGAATATCTTATTCATGAAAGTAAAATGGTTCTTTTCCCGTTATTTAAAGTGTTTCACATCAAGCAGAAGTGGTATTCATGAAAGAAAAATCCTTTCAGGTTATTTTCCTTATCATGGTACAGTGGAATGTCGCTATACCGAACACCTCTATACAGAACATTCGGCTATACCGAACATCATCCTTGGCTCCCGATTTTTGTGTACAAAACCAACCGAACATTGTTGTTGAAAACCGTCAACAGAAGAGCGACAAGTGGCTATTATTTCCCCAAGGCATAGAAGGGGAAAGCCATCCATCGATGTAGGTAGTAAGCTCAAAACTGTGTAATTACATAATTCAATAGTCGGCACATGTTCCAAGTCGTCTTTCAGTAACTACCAGGGCATGTAGGATGAAGTTATGAAGGGCACCATTTATTGAAAAGTGAGCACCGGAGCACCGGCAGCTTAAAATCGCTATACCGAACGATCACTATTACGAACATTTTCTGTGGATCCCGCGATGTTCGTTATAGCGACGTTCCACTGTATTTCTAAATGAGAAGGTTCTTAACCCTAACCACGTTCAAAACAAAACAAAAGAAAGTTGTCTTGCCTGAAAAGGTTTGCCAAGTTCCTCTTGAGAGTCAAAATATGACTAAAAGTATCATCATGTAACAAAAAATTATGAAATAAATTAGTCACATTGTTACTTCTAATGATATTATGTATATGGAATTACACGTTTATTTGCATGTCTTGGGTATCTTTTAAAGATGCATTCCACATGCTATTTTTCAGGTTTTTTCCCGAAAAATAGATTCCTTTTCTAAATATTTTTTTTTTTCTTGCAATACACAAGTTAATTACATTTGAATGAGACATCAACCGAGACAAGTTACTGAATTCTTACTTCACAAGTTTGAATTATTGGCTGCCAGACAATCATTCCATGAACGAACTGGGAGCCAGCCTTTTCGCAAAGCAGAGGTGCTTGTGCCCAGAACAAAAAAACCCACCTTTTCAGAGTGTTGGAGACCTTTATACAGGAACAAGGGAAATTTTTGGTTGGAATAAAACATACAAGTTGAAACTGTATTAATCAACAAAAATCGAAGTTGTCAAAAGAACACTGGAATGCAAATTAAAATTCTTTCAACCAAGCATCAATGCTCACAGTCTTTGGAAACTTCGGTAAAAAAATTCATTCAAAATATACATATATAAATAGCCTACATCGATTAGAATCTTTATATCTTATGTTATCATGTGTAGGAATACTGTTGGTATTAAAATAAAAAAGTAGTACTTAACCATGGAACTAAGATACGGGTTTTGATTTAGCAGTTTCTCCTTTTGGTTCGTCTCTCCTTTTATTGATATAAAGGGAATGAATGTGTAAGACAAATTTCAAATTTTAGAAAAAAAAGAAACTTTATGAATATTAAAAAGATGGAGAATAAGGCTATAGTATTCGCAGGACGTTGTGAATTTAAAAAGTGTGAATAAAATGCAACAAATTAATCATTAAAACTAATTACGGTCATATATATATATGTTCTCTTTTTACAGGGGGTGGAGAGGGGTCACATTTTCAATGAAATCTATTTTCTGGCCTAAAGTATGCTGCAAGAGGAAAATCTTTTCAGTGTACCTCCATTTCTAGCTTTTTGAAATGTGGTTATATATATTACAGATGTCATAATTACTTTTTAAATCCTTTTTTTTTAATCGTCTTTAATGACGATATGAAAACCCCACGGTTCATTCTACTTATCGAAGCTTCGCAATAACTTTAAATTCACGTTTAACTCTCCTGCTGGATGAATGTATATGTATATCACATAATTTTTTTTATATCGTGTGATGTAAGTACTACTGCATTGTAATTTAATACAAGACCCACACTAGCCTATGCTGTGATATGTGTGGGAGAATGGACGCTGACAAAGTTAAATACATGTACATGAAAAAATAACAGCATTTACATGTGTGATAAAAACGGACTGAGGATTAAAAAAAAACGTAACAGCAAGTCAAATTATTTAATCTAATAATGTTTGAATTTGTTATCCCGTGATCGAGGTAGTTGGCTGGCCGCTGGCCCGCCAGCGCTATTATTTTTTTTTCCGTACGCCTTTTTTCTGTACACATGCATATGGGCGTATTCCGAAGTACGTTGAGTTGCAAGTCAGGTTCTCGAACTTTATTTTCCCTTGAAGAAAAATCCTCCAAACCACAAAAAAGCATCCAATTGGAATCGAACTCGCACCATCGGATTTGTAATCCAATGTAGTATCCATGACACTACAGCAGTGACTCGATCGATGCGGTAGTTTTAAACATACTATTGCATTATAAGGGCCCTCCAGCGTGTGGTATGGGGGAAAAAATAGCGCGGCCCGCTATTATCATCTGGACTAGAGGGCGTTTCGCGCCATTATCTCATAAAATACCTGAGCACGTGTTCAACACGTGTATACTAAAACCCCGCTTGTCCGTGCTATTATGCGCTACAACACACTGCATACACTACCACCGGCCGCACTACTGGACCATGTAGGCCTACCACAACGTTTCCTGGCGAAGTAAAATCATAAGATTTCTCAAAATTCCCATCAAGTTTTAGAACCAGTAAACTGTTGTAATTAGAGTGACGATGAGTGGCCTAGAAATACTGGTACTGCAAACAGGAGGTAAGTACCATCATGGAACCTATAGGTTTGCACAGGACGTATGCTGCGTATCCTTTCCATGGGGCTATCCGCTGTTGTCATAATTTTAAGCCGGACACCTGGCTAGATGCCGTATGGGCACCGGGTTACCGGTAGGCCTATACCTTGGCCTATTCAGAAAAGATTGTGGGTTTTAACTAGAGAAAACGCTTCGTGCTTCGTTGTATTTCACCGTCAGCGTTTGACACTGTCATTGGAATCTGCCATACACGGCATGTAGTTCAGAACGATCGAATGAGCACCATACTTCGGCATCTAAATCACAAACGTTTACTGTTGGTGGCTCTAGAGCCCAGGTGGACTCAACTCCCTGCGACGTACGTAATGCAATGAAGACGTCGTCCAGTAGGCCCTACTTCATGTACTTGGAATATGTGCAATGAAGACGTCGTCCAACCTGGGCTAGTGGTTCCCCACACTTGTATCTAAGATGGTGGCTATGAGCACATAATAATGTTGTACAAAATGAGGATTGGGGTCTATTGGCAAGGATGTGTAATAAGTTGATCAGCCCGACTTGGAATTTAAATGTTGTCTGCCCCTTCCCTACATATGCAGGTACAATTGACAAAGATTACCCGAGGCGTATGGGAGGCTATGCCTTCGAAATCGGGGAATCTGCTTTGTGTGACATGATGCAGCGAATACAGCCAGACGTAAAGTTTGAGTTCAAAGCAGTGTGCAGGAAAGATAGTCAAGATATCGTGGATGAAGATAGGCAAGTATTTATTGAGAAGTTGAATACGTTTTGGCGGTTTAAATATAAAACGGTGAAAATAAAACGCACAGCAAGTACAGATAGGCCTAGGGATGTGCCTTTTAAAATGAAGATAAAAAAGGAGAACGATATGGGAAAATATAGGTTAAAGGCATGATTTTGTAGTTGTAGGCTCTTGCTTCGTTAAACTCGTCAGTACTATTAAAAAGAAGATGATTATGCCTATAGTTATTTAGTTTGTTTGTGTAGTTTTATTTGTGGACATAACTGTTCTTGCAGGGAGCTAATGTGGAAAACATACCAAGATGCATCACAGACGAAAATCCTCATCACTCACGGTACAGACACAATGATCGAGACAGCTGTCTACCTCGCTAAGAAGCAACTCCAACTCGAGAAGATAATCGTTATAACCGGAGCATTCCTCCCAGCAACCTTCAAGAAATCAGATGCAGAATTCAACGTCGGCGTTGCCGTGGGGGCGCTGCAGTGCCTGTCTCTGCCAGGGGTCTATGTTTCCATGAGTGGAAGGATACACCCGTGGAACGGAGTGATGCGGGACGAATTGAGCGGGAAATTTATTGCAAGAACCTGAAGAGCGGCAGAACTATAAATCAGATCGCTGAAATTGACAATTTTTGAGCTTGGTCGTCCACACCACGACTTCAAACTTGGCCAATACTTTGTGATACTTGCGTCACCGAATAGATTTTTCCTTTCGTTTGTTACATTGAACGCCATTTTGTATTATAGCAACCACAAGGACATCAATTTTAAGTCGTGGGTGGCAAGAGATTTCTCCAAAATCCGTAATAACTTCCTCATTATGTTAGGAATTTGCAAGTTTATTACGTCTTCACTCTTCAGTAGCTTGTTGGTTATTTTGTATTTCAACAATCAAGACTTACTGATGTGTTTAGAAATAACTATGTAGGCCTAGGCATATAGTTTGCATAAAAAGAAAGGTCTACAATTTTTTGTCATTTTGTTTGCCTTTAACCTCACAAAACACGGGAGAGCGTACTCAGACAGCTCTCAAGAAGTATCGATGAGTAATGAGGTGGTAAAATAAACATGCGTGAGTCGAAAATGATTCTTACCGTTTGATTTTTATATTGGTTAATTTCTATGTTTCGCCAACCATTATTTTGAAGGTAGGCATTATATTGCTAGGCGTGCGACACCGGAAAGACTACTGGACCTTAAACAAAGCAGAAATTGGTGGAACGAAGTAGTCACTCACTGGTGGGAAACACGACTATGATCCATTGAAAAACCTTGTCGACAATGTTGCGCATGGTGATCAGGAAGATTTGCCGAATTGGTGAATTCTTTCTTTGCATCCATCTCATCCGCCCTACCTCCGCTGGAAGCACCAGAGTCTCACAGTGAAGGACTAATTCCTACCAAGTACGTCCTCACAAGTTTGGCGGTCGAGAAAGCACTGAAATCGGTGAGAACACACAAGACACCTGGTCCAGATCAGATTCCCAATTGGATCTTGAAAAATCACGCATCCATGTTGGCAAGACCCGTCTGCTCCATCTTTAATGCTTCGGTGGCCCAAGCAACTCTACCAAGCATCTGTAAGGCTGCTGATGTTATCGCCATCGCGAAAACAACTCCACCTGCCTCAGTAGAGAATGACTTGCGTCCAATCTCCCTAACCGCCGTGCTAGTGAAGATTCTTGAGGGCTATGGGAGCAGTACCAGCCGCAGTTAGATCCAGTCCAGTTTGGTAACGTCCCGGGCTCATCAACTACTTGCGCTCTTATTGACCTGCTACACAACTGGTACTCTGCCACAGATCAAGCCAAGAACATGGTGCGTGTCCTTTTCCTCGACTACAGCAAGGCATTTGATAGGATCAACCATGTGATTCTCATCGACAAACTGAAATCTCGTCATGTTGATCAAGTCATCGTCAACTGGGTTACAGAGTTTCTGCGACACAGAATGCAGCGTGTTAGGATCGGCACCTGTAAATCGCAGTGGTCTGTCATCAATGGTGGAGTCCCATAGGGAACAAAACTTGGGCCATTGCTTTTCATCATGATGATGGGAGATCTTCAACCCTCCCTGCCCACAGTCAAATATGCTGATGATACAACACTGTATGAAATAGTGACAACGCCAGATGAATCCAAAATGCAGGAGTCGGTGCAGGAGGTGATTGATTAGTCCTCAGATAATGACATGCAGATTAATCCAAATAAAACTAAAGAAATGGTTATCAGTTTCCGTAAACATGTGCCGTTAATTCCCAGCATAAACATTGATGATCATAACACTGATCGTGTGAAACAAATGAACTGCTGGGGTTGAACATCAGTGATGATTTACGATGGGAAACTCATGTTAATGCTGTGTGTACAAAAATGTTGATGTTGATATTATTGATTTTTTTTGTTAAAGTGTTTTCATATCGTGTGCAGTTACCTGTGGATGCATGTGTGTTTAAATGTCTTTTAAGATGTTTTTAATCCAACCATTTTAGATGCTTTGGTTGCTAATAATAATAACAATAATAATAATAAAGACAGGACACTTTACCAGAGCGACTCGATCGCATTTAGTCAAGAGATTCTTGCCACATTTATGACACAGTTTTTAGATTGTTATTTTGAAGCCAAGACCTGCTTGTTTATCAGCCGAAGAGCTGGCAACTTCTTGTGAGAAAGGTATACGCTCTCACAAAACAAACCACGCTTGGGCAGGCCCTGGCCGCCTAGCTAGGGCCGAAATAATTGTTCAAGTTTTAAGTCAGAAAAAAAAAAGATTTCAGAGAGAAAAGCTGAGCATTTTCAAAACTGTTGTCAAATATTACTGAAATTTCAGTAACTTGCATCATTGCTCCAACATTATCTGGGGAGTCAGGTTAACGTAGCGGTACTTTCCTCGCCTTATATCGCTGTGAACCAGGTCCGAATCCTGCATGGGCGCGCGCCGGATTCGAAGGCGGGCCATCATTAGGGTTGGGTTTTTAGTCCGTACCTGATTCCGTGGGTTTTCCCCAGAATAGTTCTTCTGGGCTTTTCCACCTACTTCTAAAACTGCAATGTCTTCTAATTGTCTTCCCTCTAAGTTGGTGTGATGTTCCCCCCGGGGGACGCTTTGCCGACTTGGTATTATAATACAGATACGTACAGATACCTGTCCCGCCCCGCCCCTCCGACCCGCCCAGCCCATCTCTATCTCTGGAAGACTCTTTAACTGGCGCCCTCAATAGTCTTTGCATTGGAAGTGCATGTCTGAATGGTAACCAGACGTCTAAACATGAAGTGTTATCGGAAGTAAGACAAATGGAACCATACGAGAGATATTTCGCGCATTTTTAGTACACGTCGACTTCTGCAATCCTCCGAAATGCAAGTTGGAAGGGCGTATTTTGTTGCCTTTGTGGCCTGTTCAGTGTTCTTGACAGATGCCAAAGTCGTCCAAGTAACTGATGACAATTGGAGTATAATTCAGGAGGGAGAATGGATGGTGAAATTGTACGTACATGTTGATGTCCAAAGTTTGAAAGTGTAGTCTCTACTCTAGCTCGCCCTACGTCTACCAGTCTACCGCCCATCCGCATGTACCTGAATACCTAGCCCCACTGGTTTCGATCCAACTCGGACCCAAACCAACTCGGACCCAAGCCAACTCGGACCCATGCCAACTCGGACCCACTACCAACTCGGACCCATGCCAACTCGGACCCACTACCAACTCGGACCCACGACCAACTCGGACCCACTACCAACTCGGACCCACAACCAACTCGGACCCACTACCAACTCGGACCCATGCATGACCAACTCGGACCCATCGTTTTCAATCATTCGACATCGTTTTCAATCATTGGTAATCCTTACTTTTAGGACCCCGTTCCTATATAAGGTTACAAGACTCACCAAAACAGCTGACTAAATGACACTCAAAAGTGACATTCTGATATTTCTTGTCTTATATCTGAACAGTATGACCCTTCTTGAATATCAGCAGGTTTAATTTTGTGGAAAGAGGCTGGCAGGGCTTTGATTTATGAGGGAAATTAGGGGGTAAAACACGGCAATGCCAATGACAAACAGTAAACAGACTCAAAAACCAAGATGGCAAACTGCAAAAAAGGTAGGAAAGTCACATTTTCTTTGAAAGTGCTTTCAAAATTACAACTTTAGAACATTAATCAGAAGATAAAAGATTTCTTTAGCCTGCAAAGGCCACTTTGGTACTGGACAGTCTATTGCCAAAGTCAGTTTTGAACAGAACTTGTGAAAAATAGAGGTGTCCTAAAGATAAGGGTTACCCAATCATTCATTTCATAAAGTTTGTCCACTTCTCATCTGTTATTACAGTGATGCTGTTTAGTATAAATTTTCATTGTAATTGTAAGGTAAATTATCTCATATCTGTATTGCAGCAGTATAACATTTTTGTCGTAAAGCGCATTGAAATGCTATTTTGAAATGCGCTTTAAAAGTGTAATTAATTATTTATTATCTTTATTTGTTTCCATTAAAACATATTGCGCTTTAAAAGTTTAACCAATTATTTATTTTCATTAAAACATATTAATTGACATCGTTCACACCATCTTGCTAAATTTAACAGCAATTTATTTCGTTTTTAATCCAAACTTCAACGTAACGAGTATACAAATTATTGAAATTAAGAACAGATCTTCATAGAAAAATAAAATTGGAAAGTATGGCATTAAAACATAAACACTTTCAAACATAACATTAAACTCAATAAATATAAGTAAACATTATAAGTCAATAAATAAAATAAATAAAATATAAAAACGAAGTCTATTCTAATCTCTATTTAAAAAAACCACATAAACACCATTGCATACACTGCAAGAAAAACGAAGGTTCCATATTAAACAAAAAAGTTAAATCAAAAAATTATTAGAAGTTAAACAGATTCATAAAAAAATCCCACAAAATTCAAAGCCAGCATGTGAATTAAAAACAAACAAACAATATTACATGAAATGAAAGGCCTAAATAGTTATTTCAAATTAATAACTTCCTCACTGAGAAAAAATGCCGTGCCGCTTAAAACCACTTGTTACACGACACAAAGGCTTGCAAAAACAAACAACTTACAAGTAATTTATTTTTTACTGAAAATTATAATCCTTTGAATTTCGTTTGGAAAATAAAATCGAGATTTTGAAAAAGCACGTATATATCAAGTCGTACGAATGACATACGATATGCCTAACCTATACTATACGCTATTAATACCTCTTGGTTTAGCTTCACAGGTCACGGTTTCAAAAAGCTAAGCACGTTTAGTTTCATGACGTTCAAAACGATAAGCGTTTAGCAAAAGTATTTACTGTACGCATCACAAAATAGCGCTCCACACAGCGGCAATACAAGAAAACAACAAAACTAAAAGCCCCATTCTGCCCAATGTAATTACAGAATATCTTCACTATTATAAGCACTAACATTAAGATCACCTATAAATATAATCTCTGAAACTAATGATTGAGTCATTGTTGGGTCCGAGTTGGTCGTGCTTGGGTCCGAGTTGGTAGTGGGTCCGAGTTGTTAGTGGGTCCGAGTTGGTCGTGGGTCCGAGTTGGTTGTGGGTCCGAGTTGGTAGTGGGTCCGAGTTGGTAGTGGGTCCGAGTTGGCATGGGTCCGAGTTGGCATGGGTCCGACTTGGCATGGGTCCGACTTGGTTTGGGTCCGAGTTGACCTGATACCGCCCCACTAGTGTGGCCGTCGGTATGCTGAGCTGGTTCAGCGCAGCATACCGACGGCCACACTAGTGGGGCTACTGAATACCATGATACACAGTACATTATCATGAATGTAGGAAACGGCTTGATGCTACATGCATTACACATGATGTTACACTTACACTTAATTACTTAGTTTCACGATTGTGTAGTTATGGGCCCCTCTTTAGTTTAGTTTTGATCAGAGTCAAGGGTGTTTTTTTATCGTTCAAAAATGACCTATTCAAACTAGTAAACGTCATTGTAGTAAAGGCGTAAGCAGACGGGAAAAGTTCCGTACTCGGACGTCAATTAATCTGCTGCCAAACATATTAATTGTCACCTCACCTTGTCATTTGAACCAAGAGAAATCCAGGAAGCTGTGTAAAGGTGAAAAAAATTTATTCTAAATGTGTTTTTAGAGCTCATTTTGGATGCATACGTCGTGCTAGCTGGAGTTACCCAGCCCTGAATTTTATCATTGGGTTGTCATGTAGGGCTGGAGCTAATTTTTCACGTAACCGAGCAGCGTAAGTAGGTCCCCAAAAAAAATGCGAAAAGTTTTGGAAAATTTTCAATTTTGTCCCAGTTGCACACTAATTGCAACTGCAACTCACCCCAAACTTGCCTGGAATAACCATTACACAGGTCCTTGAAGTAAAAAACGATCCACGATGAAGATTCAGCCTACAATTGCAGTGAAAAAAGGAGGAATAACCGCTAACCTGACAACCTTGCAGGCATGGCCAGGACCGCAATTGGTTTGTGCACAAAAAAAATTATGTACAATGAATGGCGGTCGATTACCAGGCACAGAGCGGAGCGCTGTCAACTACTCGTTTTTGCCGGCTGCGCTGGCTGTTGGCGCATGACGTAACGCGGAAGCGTAACACCCGATGACTGTTTCATGCACTAATATGAGGTTTTACCACTCGCATCACAGCTTTGGTACTGGAACCGCAACCGATAGTGCATGAAACAGTCACTGGTAATCGACCGCCATTCATTGTACACAATTGTTTTTGTGCACAAACCAATTGCGGTCCTGGCCATGCCTACAAGGTTGTCAGGTTAGCGGTTATTCCTCCTTTTTTCACTGCAATTGTAGGCTGATTCTTCATCGTGGATCGTTTTTTACTTCAAGGACCTGTGTAATGGTTATTCCAGGCAAGTTTGGGGTGAGTTGCAGTTGCAATTAGTGTGCAACGGGGACAAAATTGAACATTTTCCAAAACTTTTCGCAATTTTTTTTGGGACCTGCTTACGCTGCTCGGTTACGTGAAAAATTAGCTCCAGCCCTACATGACAACCCAATGATAAAATTCAGGGCCTACATGACAACCCAATGATAAAATTCAGGGCTGGGTAACTCCAGCTAACGTCGTGCAGAACTAACTTGAAGCAGCCGGTCAAAACTGATTGTAGTGGCTGCGCTGAAAGACAGCGGTACGTTATACACGTGACATCAACAACCATGACGTCGCATGAGCCTGCCAATGATAGTGCAATACGTCATTATGAATATTTATTTTCTCATGAATATTTAGTTTATTTCAATGGATATTTCAAATACGTCCAAAGATTGATTATTGCAACAGCGATCGTGCGCGGCCTAGCGGTTAAGAGTCTCGTGTATCAAGCAAGCGTCAGAGGTTCGAATCCCAATGAAGTAACTGACTGATTAATAAATAGAAATTAAGGAAAGGAGAGGGTGAGAGTAGAGGAGGGAAAGTGGAGGAATAAAGATAAAAGATGTAACTTTTGGCGCTAGAAAATTAATTGAAAAAAGTGACGTCCGAGTACGGAATTTTTTCCAAAACAACTAGTTCTGCTTCCGATTATATGCCTCTCAAAAATAGGGTCGGTAAGTCGGAAATTTTTTTCCCCCATTTTTTTTGGTGCTGATTGAATGGGGTATTCAATTATATGTGAATTTCAGCCTGAACCTTTTTCCATTGCACTAGTATGAAAGCTTTACAAAAAATGGCCACAAAAAAGTGATTAAAACTTACCTTAATTATTGTCAAAATATTTATGGTCGATAATTCTTAAAAATAATGGAAAATTCAATTCGTGCGCACCATATGCTAGTCATGACGGGAAACTGGCCAAACACTTTCCGTACATCGCGTGGTATAAGTGTGCGTGATGCACTGTGTGGTGGACAACAAACCTTGTTTTTGAGGTAGGAAATTTAGAGGAAACACGCCGCATCGAATCACTCCAAATACGAGTAGTACGACCTTGAAATGAATTCATGAACACGAAAAATGAAAAAAAAATGTTTCAACCTAATGTCACTTTCCAAACAGCAAACAATTTTTTTTTTGCTTACCTTCAAGTTGTACCTCAGAGAGTTTACTTTCATGTGAGAACTGTAAGGAATATGTTGAAAAATACTTTAAAAGAGATTTGTCATGTTTGTAGGTGAATGTGAGGCCAACTTAGTGAAATTTTACATGTCACTGCATGTTGACAACCTCAACCGATGAGGTGGAAACATTCGGTGACATGTAAAAATTCACCAAGTTGGCCACACATTTGCCTACAAATCTCTCTTAAAGACTTTTTCAACATATTCAAGACCGGTCTTGAGACCGAGACCTGCCTAACGGGATTCTGTGCAGATAAAAAATGAAAATGTGCTGGTTACAGTGGGACAGTCCAGGGGAGATCAATGGTGACAGTTTGCACTTTGTACGACGTACTGTGAGGTAGTGTGACAAATTACTTTGCCTAGGAACTGGAGCAGTTGGGTTTTTGCCCCTTTTTTCCATTAAAATGCTGCATGATGAATGCATTTTAATAAATCAGCGAGTGGGAATTTATGGACCTTGGTCATGACGTTGCCATGTTGCATAAATTTACATAATTCTGTGCAGTTTCTGCCACGTACAAATGTTAACTACCACATTGTCGCGTCAGTGCAACAAGGTCGTATCTCGCAGAGATGAAACTTTTCCGATTTTAATCGGAAATCCAACTTTTTGAATTTTCCAACTAAAGTTCCGATTTTCTTACAATGTGTCCCACAAAATTTGATTTTGTAACGATTTTTCACAAAATGTCATTTTATTTCAATCATAATTTCGAAGAAAAGTTGATGGAAATGGCACGTTAAAATCATCGCGAACGTAGTTTTAATCTCTTTCACCAGTCGTTATTGGAGTGTTCAACGGTAGAAACGCAGGCCATAACACTGATAGGAGCCTTTTCTGGCTGGACAAAAAGTTAAACATTGACAGGTGACATGGAAAAATCAGTGTCGCACGTGCATGCATGTAAAAAGATGATATGCAACGGTACCAGCGTACAGTACGTACCGCACCATACCGTCCGCTAGCACATGGCCGGTCGGGAACGGGTAGCCTCGTGAACGATCCAGTGGATAAAATCATTATGTTGTGCGATTTTCGGAGGTTTCAGATTTAGTTGTACAAAATGCAATGCTTTAAAAATCATGATGATTATCTTGAAGATAGCGAAGAGAGCATTAGCGAAACATTTCACTGGCATTTGTTTGAAGAGAAAGATGATAATGCCTGATTTTTCCCCACGTACGAATGCAAGTGGAGTTGTGTAATCATGGACATGATTGAAGCACCATGAATGAACGGTGCCCTTGTCTTCCGGACTTTTTCCTTGACTTTAGTAAGAAGTGAACTTCTTTGTTGATGACTCCATTACTCTAACTGTAATTCAGGCGTTTTATGCAATGAAAACACTGACCTTTTCTTTTCATTGTGAAATTTTGTTTGAATCGAAAATAAAGCAGGAGTTGGTGTCCGGAAATTGGGCATGAAGTGTATTGTACATGCATGTACATATGTGTAACTGTAGCGTGGCCCAGATTTCGGACACGTATTTCTGTTCGGCCTATTTTCCGATTTTTTTGCCATATGCCAGTTTCATCTCTGATCTCGACGTCCATTGACTTTGTGTGTACATCCGGGTTATTTTAAGTGAGATACGACCTTTTGACATTCTGAAACTAGCCTTTTACATACGGCCCATTTTAGGAGATACAATCTTGTTGCACGTACACGAGGACATGATATACCGCTTTCAGTTTCCGCTTCCTATAACCCAGCTTCTGTGTAAACTCAACCCTAACATCTAGTTCAATCCTTCCCACAGCTATGCCCCCTGGTGTCCTGCCTGCAAGGCCATCGCTCCTGTCTGGACGGAGTTCTCAACACAGGATAAAGTTCTCGGCATTCAAGTGGGCGAGGTTGACGTGAGTGCCTCACCGGGATTGAGCGGTCGCTTCCTGGTCACTTCCCTGCCCACCTTCTACCAGTGAGTTGCCTGAATGCAGTGAAATTTATTGTTTAAGTCTTGGATACTGTGAAAACTTGGAATCTCAACACTAAAATTGAGAGTCCTCTAGAGACATTTTGAAAGTGGTTTTATCCATTCCAAGGAAACTGATATGTGGTGTTTTTTAAAAGCAAATCTTACAAATTAGATGTCACTTATCCTATGTACTATTTACTTGGATGTATCGTATTGCAGTTGTGGTACATTGGCCTTTGAAAAGGGCCCCTCAAGCCCCTCGTAAGAAAAATGCCTTTGAAATTCTCCCCTGCCCCCTTCGATAACAAAAACTTTGCTGAAAAAGAAGCAGAGGTATGTTGTTTAGGGGGCTTCATTTGTCATCTCGAACTTGAGGCACCTTCAAGAAACATTTCTTCCAAATCTGAATACCATTTTCTCTGTCTGGTTCAGTTAAAGTGAATCACATTTTCTTCAAGATTTCATCCCTTTGACCAAACTAGCTTGACTTGTTGGCAGAGGAACCATGGTTCGATTAGTTGTTACCAAGCAGTAACCAACCAATTTTGTTAATTTTGCTTACTCGGGTCTGACTGGGCAAGAGAATTTACATCTAGTTATGAACCAGTTTTGGACTTTAAGTGTAATTTTTCTTCTGGTTTCATTTAACCCTAACCTTCCCAAATCCTCCAAAATCCTCTTTGCAAAATTGAGGATTTTGCAGGATTGAGGCTATATGGCAAATAGGTGTGGCTGATTTTGGAGGATGCACTGTGTCAAGGTCTTGGGGCGGACTCGGACCTTGTGTTGTTTATGCTCAGCCATGCACAAAGATAGGCCTAAATGTTACTTTTAATCCTCTGCACTGCTCCAGAATGCCACTGGCTCTGTGTCAACATATTGACAGTGATTGCTGGAGGATTTTGCAGGATTGAGGCTGTATGCAATTTTCACACAGAGACAGTTAGAGGATTTTGCAGGATTGAGGTTGCACCCTATCAAAAATGCTTACGGAGTTAGGGTTTTGACAATTAATATTTGGCGTTGACTCAAGAGTCCTTATTGCCTTAAGGCAATGAAGACCCTTGAATTTTCCTGACTTGTTTTTTTTTCTGGTTTTGATTTCACTAATGTATGCTCTGTTTGGATTTCAGTGTGCGCAATGGTGAGTTCCGAGTCTACACCGGTTCCCGGGGTAAAGATGACTTTACAGGTTACATTGCACACGGACGATACGAGGAACTTACCCCAGTACCAGCATGGAAAGCCCCAAACTCAATCATGTGAGTACACAGACTGCAAAGGTTGCATTATGCTTGCCTAACGGTTTCAAAGTTGGCACAAGTATGCAGTATTCTCTTTTCAAAAGTTGGTCGAAGCCATATTGTTTCTCTTGAGTGGAACTGAATTTACAAAATAGTAGCAAATTATCATTTCATGTTATTAGCTTCAGTGATAAATGTCCGTGCTATTTCAACTTTTAAACCAGAATGTAAATTATATCAATTTACATTGCTTTCTTTTTTTCTTTTTTTCTCCAGAATGACTGTCGTCTCGCTGATATTCCAGTTGTCAATGAAAGTGAGGGTAAGTGTTCCTCCAAACAATTTATATTTGTGACTATCCCAAATATATACGTCAAGTATACAGGGTGAGACAGAATGATTCTAGACCCAAATTAAAGAAAATATTTAAAAATATGTAGCAATTGTCAAAACAAGTGCCAGTGAGATATGTTATAGGCTGGTATTTTGGACGTATTTGGTGAAAGTTTCATTTACATCCATTGTACCATTTTGAAGAAAAGCGCTAGCAAAGAACACACGCTAAAAAAGACTCTGACCACGGTTCCATGGTTCAACAAATTTATTGAAATCGCGTACTGATGTGACTGCATTGTTTGAAATGCAGTCACATCAGTATGCGATTTTAATAAATTATGGTTGCTCAACCGCAGCGCCTCTTGACCGCGAAGCGGTCGACAGGCGGCAAAGCCGCCTCCCCCGTGTAGCGCGGCGGGCGAGGCAAAGCCTGATGAATATTCATTAGGAACTTCACTGCATATTTCATAGTTCCGTGTTGTTAGTATATGGTTCTTCACTGGAAAAATAACTTACATCCTTGTCAGCATCGATAGAATTTGGTGACCTCTTGGGATATTGATATTATTAGCCCTATATGCTTTAATTCTTTCTACCAGTGAGAACTTGCTTGGGTAGGACTCGAACCCAAAACTTCCTGTTTAGAATTTAAGCTAGCCAGGATCAAATGACCATCTCAAGTTCAATATGTACGATTCAGTGTTGTGCTTTTCTCAGTACCTAGCAGTATATAATTTTTTTTAATAATTGATTTTTCGAATTCCATGACAGCACTTTCATTTACTGATGACCACAGAGTATGGTTTCCCAGCATGGAGTGTCTATGGTTTCTTTGCTGTGTGTACAGTGTCCATGGGGCTCATACTCGGCATGGTAAGTTCATTGTATAAATAACTAAGACAGTTTCCCCATTCCTATTGGTCAAGAGCCTGTCACGTGGCCGATCACGTGGTTGATAAAACATTGGCTTGCTGGTCTTGAACATTTAAAGTTTTCATGCTTTTCCTGACAACTGAGGGCACTGTTGCTGTGATGTCATTTCAGGAGGACACTGTTCAGTTTGGAGGGTTTCTGTTCAAATGGTGACCCAACACTTTGCTCACTGACAGTTGTCAGAAAAATGTGCTAATTGGACTACTATCTCGTACAGAAACAATGAATCACCAAGAAAAGAAAATGTATTACAGCAAAATATCCACAATTCTAGCAACTTTTGGTGCTGAAATAGCTGTAATATTGAGGTTTCTGTCTGGATTGACATCGCACTTTTGCTCACGAGTATGTAATTTGCAAAAAAGAACCAACCTACCCTTGAAAAAGCAAAATAAAAATTGAAAATAAGATTAAATGGGACACAAAGGTGCATTTTCAAGGATTGCAATACCAAAAATTACACTGCATGGGCCTTTTAACAAATAGAAATCAAGCCAATGCAAAAAGTATTTTTATTTTATTTTAAATATAGACATGTAACTTTGCAATAAGACAGAGATATGCCTGTAGAGATGAAAACTTTAAATTATTGTTGAATGACAAGTTTAAAAAGTGAGTTGTTGACATTTGAAGGCAGTTTGTAAATCTGTTATTCCTACTCAGATCTTGGTATTCATCACCGATTGCATCTGCCCCACTAAGCGACCGACAAGACCCCTGGAATCTGGGACCGCGCCAGAAGACGAACAAGAAGAAGAACCTATCAGCAAAACGAAAGATAAAGACGAAGACGAAGAGGAAGAAACACAGGATCAACCCACACCCGCTGCCGACGAGACAACCGACCAATCAGGGGACACCTCTCTCAGAAAACGAAAAACTGAGACGGAAACCACTGACGACAAAAACTGAGTCAGGACTCTCCCAATTTGGTTTGCTTTCTGCAGACAGGATGAAAATCATCAACTCTTCTTTTTACCTTTTTAAGAATAAAATTCAAAGTTTGGGATTCTGCTTTTTTTATTTGGTAATTTGTTTGATTTTTGGTGTGGATTTACAATTGTTTTGTTGCTTGACTTGCTCCCTGTGTGCAGCAGCGATACTGGGGCAGTGCAATAGTGTGGCAACATTAGTGAGAACATGGATTACAAATCATTTGTCACTCTGCGATTGAAGACTTGTCTTTGCTTACTTAAAGCCAATATTCTAAGCTGAAACTCTACAGTATGTCCCCAAAAATTGTCCATCTCATTATTTTAGAAATAACACAAAACCATGAAATCTATTTTGAAAATTTTGGTTTGTGCAGATACTCCTTATGCTTGGCCTCAACCCCTATGAGTTACATTTTATTTCCATCACGCCTCACTGCACAATGGTCAATTGATCACAACATTATTTGTGGACACTGGGACCAAGTTCCTTGCCTTAATCAATTTCAGTGCTGTGTCGTGTAAGCTGTGTAAAATCCTTCATGTTGTGAAAAAAAGCTGATGTGGTTTGGGATTGGAATCATTTGCCCTTGAGCATTCAACTGAGGTCTTGCCATGATGACTGATAGCCAGGCAAATGATTCCAATCCCAACTGCAGCCCTTTTCACAACATGAAGGATTTTACACAGCTTACATCACACAGCGCTGAAATTGATTAAGGCAAGGAACTTGGCCGCAGTGTCCAAAAATATTGTTGTGATCAATTGAACATTGTGAAGTGATGAGTGACTGAAATTAAATGAAACTCATAGGGGTTTAGACCAAGGGTAAGGAGGATCTTCACAATTTCAAAATTGACTTCATGGTTTTGTAGTTATTTAAAAAATAGTGAGACGAACACATTTTTTTTGGGGGGGGGGGCATACTGTGTATGGTCAAGCAGCATGTTGAAACCTAACGGTTCCAACTTCCTGCTTTGCATTACACTTGGCTGTTAATAACCATTTTTCACCACAACTGTTGGTTTTTTTTAAATCGATATGCAGAATCAGTTAATAATCAAACAGAAAAAAAAGCTGATCGTCAGTTTCTTTTCTTCATAATTAATAATACGGATTTATTCTTGTTTTTTTTTGTTTTTTGTTCTAGGGGTTTGTTTAAAAATTTAGCACCCAAGAACAGAATGTCAGGAGTGTTGAATGCAAGAATTTTAGCTGCAAATTATGAAATGAAAAAAGTAAGCATAAGCAACACATTTGTTTTTCTTTTATTTTGCATTGTTGAAAAAAAATAATAATTTGGGATCAATGAATCGTTCCATAAATTGCAAATAGAATTAAGAAAATCATCTCTTTGTTTTTTAAAGCCTTGCCAAGGGTTCAAATTTTGTTTAAATTTCATGCCTTTTTTAGCTTAGGACTTAAGATTATTTTGTCTTTTCTACCCAATATTTTACATCATAGATTTGGTTTTGCCCCAAATCCTGTATTTTATTTACAAAAACTAATCATTTTGATTGCTTTATGGGATATAACACTAGTTACACTACCATAGTGGTTCATCTAAGTTTAATTTGTCGACCTGTTCGGTTTCATTTGATATATTACATTATTTTTTTTTTGCAGTTTTCTTCAAAACGTTTCGCTGTTTTACTACATGTATATACCAAGTTGATAAAAAAATAAGGCATCTTGAGTTTGGACTCATAATTACCACAAGGCAGTGCCATATAAAAGTGTGTAAATAACAGTGTGTGTGTATTAGGGGTGGGGGAACGCCTTTAATGGTCTAAATTGAAGTCACACTTTACTGGGAATTGGTGACGTGTACCAAAGCAATAGACGATGTTGCAGTGAAGTTAGAAAAGTAACAAAGCAGATTTCTTGGAACAAAGGATGGGACTTTGCATTTAATTTGTAAATGTTCAACAAATCAATGAAGCACCATTTAAACATTTAGCCACTTTGCAAAGGCTGCCACATGCTCAAGTATACATTTGTTTGAACTCGAGCATGTTAGTATACATGAATATGCGTGTATGTGCACAACAAACAAAGGGCATCATCGACCCTGATCTACAAAAAGATCGTTCATAATGGACTCTCATTTTGCTTTGGAAATAAAAAGGGTTAAAGGCATCCTTTAATGCATGTATTACTTTGAGGGTTAGAGTAAACATAATTATGCCATGTTTCATAATGTGGGTTTCGTTTTAGAAAGTTTGTAAACAGATTAAGAATTGTTATCGTTTAAACGTGTTAACGTCTCATCCTCACTTGGAACACGTATAAAAATGTCTGCTTTTACCAGGCTTCATTTCAGTACACAGATAGAAATCCTAAAAAGTGCTCTTCTAGCATTTTATTTTCATCAGTTGTCACTTCGGCCGTGTTCGAAATGGGAGTCCGGATCTACGGCTAGCCCATACGTAGACTCCGTCTATGTACACTGTGCATGCAGACAGAGTACACGATAAGTACATGTAGGTGGAAGGACGATGTGACTATGGCTACATATTATCAGCTTCATCCTATGCAGTTACATTGGGGAAGATCTATAAAATAGCTGAAGATAAGAGATTAAGACACAGCCGTAGAAGACAAACGGAACACAACACACACACACTATTATTGGCAGCATCTGTCGATAACGTTCATTTTGAATCATTCAGATCTGTTATTAGCATTGGCAGTTATTAATTACATGTACTTCAGATATGGATCCATTTACAAAATATGTACACACTGATTGTAAAAATTCCAAAATTCGGCTTAGCATGATTGTATAATTCAATAAAAGTTTGATTTTAACTTTCTTACATACAGTTGAATACTACTTGGTTGCAATGATTCCATGATTATTTTTGCTTCAGCATGAAGCATACGTCATCAATCCTACAAAATAACGTGAGCTTAAAATACTAACAGCTAGGGAAAAAAAAGGATTTGTTTTTCACTTTTTTGCCACTTGCACACACTCATTTGCTTTTGGTTGGAAAATGGCAATTACAGTAAACTATCTTGCTGATGAATACATGCGACAGGAATCTCTCTAGCTGGGTTAGACCCAAAGTTGAACATTTATAAATACCATCGACACTGTATAAGACCATAATACTCCCACTAGCATTTCATTGTAAAGCTTGAGACAAATTAGCTGCATTTACAAATATGGTTGTTTTCCAGTAGCTATCCCTATATCAACTGCATATACTTTTTTTACAATGATTGAAGATCAAAATTACTTTTCTTTTCGGCTCAGTATATTTCAGTGCAACAAATAATTGCTATAGACTCCGTGCACAATCAGTAGAAGGCGCTCTTGTTTTTACCACTTTCGAAAGCTTCAGCAGGAGAGACTTGCCACTTGCACGTACTGGTTCACACGTAAGGCGCGAAGTACGCACGGCTTATTTTATTCTGGGTGTGCACAAACCAGTTGCGTATCTGCATGAGCATAACGTGCCAACGGTAATGCGTTCGAACACCCATTCCAGTGGTCTACCTCAACTCTCTCTTTGAGGGGGTACTTGTGCACAGAGTGCGTAGACTGGACTAGAAGTCATGCTTTGTTTTATGTAGGCAATGCGTACACACTTTAAATACAGACAATGTTCTAACCTAGCTCCCACAAGAAAGCACAATGTGAACAAAACATGGCCCAGCTTAAGCAGTAGGGCTGTCCCAAATGTACCGAATACTCGATCATCAACTGAATTTTCGAATAGCTATTTGCCAATTTGAATATTTGACATTTTTTTATTAAATATGCACATACACACACGGCTGTAATGTTCATTTAATTGTAAATTTGTAGCGCTTTTTTGTCAGATGCCAGTTTTTGTCGATGGCATTCATTGTTCCTTTCCTCTCAGAAGGGTAAAACCCTTGACAGCTATAAAATACTGCAAAAACACTCCAACGGCCCTGAGTGTCAATCTTTTGACCGGTGCGACACGCAGTTGCAGCTGACGCATGTAAAACTTGATTGACGAGTTTCAAATATTCGAGTATTTGGTAAAATGCAGTTTTGAATAATCGAATACTGAATTATTTGAAAATGGGCAGCCCTAATAAGTAGTTGTATGAAATACACAGAGATGCCAACTTTACAGACTACAAAATAGTAATGATTCTTCCTGCAAAGAGTAATGCTAAATAAATACATAGGACAACAGTCAAGTTTAAGAGTAACCACAGTACTTTTCAGAGTAACCACAATGTTGGCGTATAGGACAGCTAGCTGCAGCTGGAATTTTCAAGAGTAGTAACATGCCTCAAAATCCTAATAATTACTCCAAAAAGAGTAATGGTTGGCATCTCTGAATACAAATGACATTCTTAAAAACTAGTGGCTAAACAAATAAAGGCAATTCGGTTATTCCTGATTACAAATTCAGAATGGTTATGAGGCAGAAATGTAAAGGTATTTTCATACTTCCTGAAGCGAATTAAATGTCAACTTTTCCATTCAAAAATCTGCTTTGGCCTTCAAAATTGTTATCCCGTAAATCACTGAATAGGGCCCAAAATGCAAATCTGGGTTTATTGCATTATCGGGAGTATTCATTTACATGTTCATGTACATGACGATCCAAAAAGTGGATTTTAAGATGATCCAAATAGTGGATTTTAATATTACAAATATAGACCTTAATAACAGCTGGTGTGTCTACTAGAGAAACATGGAATACAACAATGTTATTGCTAGCTATGATGTCATGTAGCAACATCACACCTGTCTTGATCAAAGCAGGAACTTCAATAACAATATGCATAAAATTAATTTATGTATAAAAACAGGATTGTTCTATTAACATTTCATAGAAAAAGGTCTTCCAATTTGGTCCGAGCAGTTAGGAATGTACATTTTTGTTAATACTTTGCAGCAAATTTACAGCATGATTATACGAATTCAGTTGGATAAAAAAAATACAATAAAACTGTGATCCTGATTATTGCGCTTAGTAAACGTGTACTGATAATCTTGTAAATATGAAAGACTTTGTAGAATTGCAAATGAAATTGCATTGGGGAATGCAGCGTGAGGTGTGGCGTCGAAACATTTTGGAATGCATTTGTCTGGAATTGGAAAAAAGGTCCTCACATGTATCACCTGTTTATAGTATCAACGTGCACAACAGGTGGTCCGACACACTTCAATGGTTGAATGCGCTTGAATGCACAGTGCTTTTTTTATCATAATGAATGAGTCACATGCGCTAGGTTGGCTGCATTATTGCAAAATTGCAATGTAGTTTCCAGTGGGGCATTTGCACCTGTCACAAAGATAAATAATCACAAGATGAATAGCGCATGTATGACCGCACATTCATTATGACAAACAGCACTGCATTTTGAAGTGTGTCCCACCACCTGTTGTGTACATTGATACTCTACACACGCAATTTCAGGGTCACAGACAGTACGAGACATGGGGGGAGGGTTTCAAACTGTTTCCAGGCACCAAACCAACCCTAACAATTTTGGGTGTACAAAGGGTCGGCAGTTGAGTTAAACCAAAAAAAATTGTCCTCAGGGCAACCCAGTGCCCCAGATTTACTGGAAAACATGTTGGACTCTCTTAACCCCACCCCCACCTCCAATGCCCTTGAACCCCAAATGCCCTTGACCCCCCCCCCCCCCCACCCCACAAGAAAAAAATTAATAGCAATTTATACACCTCATGTCTTCCAAAACAGTGATCAAGCCAGTACTTCAACATTCCCTGATTTTGCCTTGATGAGGAAAACAGCATGACTGTTTTGAACCTGTTGTGCTGATTTTAAAGGGAAAATACAACATTTGCAAACATCAAAAAATAAAACTACCAAATCATTTTGAAATACCTTGCTGGACTGTTAGTGAATGACAGTGTAAAGCATCCTGTAAAATCATGGCACCTGGTATACTGTCATTTTCAAGAAAAGTGGTATTTTGTATCAATTTCCAACGCTGATCAGCCGATCAGCGTTGGAAACAACTGGCTTTTTTTCAAATACTGGCCCCAATTGACCTTCGCACTTGTTTGCAATCTATTACAAACCTATGAACGGGTACGAGCCAGCTAGACTGGTTCCCTGACCTTACAATTCCCCAATGTATGTAAACTGCTCTGTTTCTTCTTATATGGAGTCAGGGAACCAGACTACAGGAAAATGATCGTTTTTCTTGGTTTTTATGGCATTTTCGAACCCAAAACCTCAAAAAAGTAAAAGCAAATGATGTATATTCCCTTTAAGGGCAGCCCAAAAGATATCCACACCATGCCACGCTCTGGCTAAAACCTAAAGCCTTGTTCCCAATTACCTTTCAAGAATCAACATGACCCAGGCACCTGAGAGAATACATATGTTAATTTTTTTTTACCTGAGATAGAATCACAATGTCACAGAAAATCTACACCTGTGAATATTGTCGTCATCTGGAAGCTTACAAATTGCAAGAAAGATTTGTGTTGTTGATTAATAAGCAGATACGCAATAATTCCTGTTGTACAGTGAATTGTTATGTACACAAATAATGATTATATGGGAATACAAAAAGCAACAATTATTGTAGAAATGGCAAATATTCAAATTGTCTTTCAAAACAATGCACTGAAAATTTCAAATTTTGCGGAACCTTTTAAAATTTGTCTTAAAAAACTCAGGTCATCAAGAAATATTAACATCCAACAATTTTTGTTCGCAGCACATAAATTGCACCTTCTTTAAAAAATTGTTTCACACGACCCAGCTAAATATATATTATGTGCTAAACGTCACTTAGGATACTTAATTTGTATATATATACATATTGACACTGATTTTTATAAAACATTGCGCTTTAAACTCTTGATGTTTTCAATGAGTTGTATTTACCTTGCACCTCATCATATACAGCGTGTCCCAATAAACATTGTGCATGAAGAAGTTGCGATTTTCTCAAAAGGTGGTCATACTAGCTAATCAAATTTTATATTATTTTAAAGCCTATGGTCTTGTTTATAATTGGTGAAAATATCAAGAAAATCCATCGATGCAAGCCAGAGATATTGTTGATTTTGTGAGGCTATATTATTTTCCTCCTGCACAATTAGAATCCTGTAGTTAAGCTTGGGCCAATACATTTCAGCGTCAAAGAAGATTTCATGTTCATTGTCCTTTCAAAATTTTTGTCAAAGACTAAACACCTGATATTAGGCATTCCAAGTGGTATTAGATTTGTTAAATAATGTTATGTACCCAACATGTTATCTGTGAACACACTTATCCAAATGCAACATGGAGGCCAAGCAATATTTCAAGCACTGCGTAACACATACCATTGTTATACCTCTGTCTTGAATACTGTATTTTCATTGGCCTAGAACGATCTCGTGTTCAGTTTATAAAAGTCATGGCGCACTCCTCGTGGGATATCGCGTACGTGATATCCCACAGGGAGTGTGCTATGACTTTGTACGTACGGTACGTACAGTGTGAAACGCTTATATCGTTGGTACCCACGCTCTTTTCACCATGTTTTCATACATGAGTGGGAGCAGCGAACTAGCAGACGATCAGCTGTTTCGAGCACCCGACATGCATGTGAGTTGACGTTCGATTGTCATGATTGTTGTGTTTACTGCTGCTTGTTTTTGTGATTTTTACATCAAAATCCAAAGAATCCAAGACAGAGGTATAACAAAACAATTGTTGACTGGTGTAATGTGGGATATGACGTTTTGAACACCTTGGGGCGCATAGCAAATTCGCCTTGAGTGCTATGCGCCCCTCAGGTGTTCAAAACATCATATCCCACATCACACCAGTCAACAATTGTTAAATAACCCAATAATTGGTAGAGACAAGCGAATGGGAAGTGTGAAAATTACATTGTGCAGGTCAAAAAATATATAGCCTTACTAAATCAAAGATATCTCTGGTTTGCATTGTTGAATTTTCTTGATTTTTTTTCACCCGTTATAAACAAGACCAAAGGCTTGAAAATGCTATAAAATTTGATTAGCTAGTCTGACCAACTTTTCAGAAAATCAGCGATTTCTTCATGCACAATGTTTTGGACACGCTGTATGTAAATTGTCCTCGATATTTTCTATTATATAACTGACGTACAGATCCTTTTCATTTGATTGGTGGAACTCACATCACGTGACATTCGTTATTGCTCCCCCTGCACACCGGGGGTCAAAAACTCCCATTCACCCATGGGGAATGGGAAATACTATTCAACAGTTAGGATCATTTCTTGTTCCATGACGCCGTATTTGTGTGCAAATGCATGCTGGTGTGCGTGTTCAGCGTTGCGCGCGTATTGTTCCAAAGAGCCAGCGCTACAGAGTTGGGCTGAAATATGTTTGTGAAGGGGTGGTTTGGAAGAGAGAAATACATTTTAACCAATTTTGTATTGAAATAAAAGTTCAAATATTTCAAATGACAAGGATAAATGTCAGTTATATAAAACAAATATTGAGTGGCTTAAAATTGTGAAATTGGAGGAATGTTATCGTTCAGTAAAATCTGGACTTTTCCAGTTCACTCGGCTTCGCCTCGTGAAATGGAAAAGTCCAGATTTGTATAGCAACATGCATATTCATTAAAAACATCTCTGCCCAGGAAACGCCCGAAAGTTTTCTCCACGCAGGAATGGGGAGTTATAGCGCTCTAATTATTTAATATAGCTCTATGATTAGATACAGATAAATTATGCACATATTGATGACCTGTGTGTCAACGGTCAAGGGTCGGCTATGTGTACTACTTGCTTGCCTATGTTACTGCCGTTCATCATTCCGATGAACGCTGCTCCACAGTTCTCCAACCCTTTCACAACCGTTTCTCTTGTCTGTAATTAAATGAAAAAGAAAGAAAAAAATTGTTTACTTTGAACTACAATACAGTATCCTTTTGTGCATTCGGAAATTTCTTTTACATTTTTAATGACAAAATGATGTTTTTCACATGATTATTTGAAAATAACAATTGAAACTTTCAGCAGCAAGTTTTGTTTTTCCCCATTAGCTTACCATAATTATAATAATGTTTAATTGTTTGTAATAGTTGGCACTGCTCATTCAACATTATCAATGCTGCAAGGAGAGGATATTGCATCAATCAAACCACAAGAGCAATTGGCAAAGAGTGCACCTTTAAACAAAACTAATTTCCCAGGTTTGCAGCATTGCTAACGTTGATTGCATCATGACTTTGGGCGTGATCCCTGGCCACCGTGGCATATACGGGTTTATGGCTTCTGACTAGCGCCCCTTCAACAAAGACATTGACAAAATGGGGAACCACCAACATAGGGCTGGATAGCTCAGTTGGTACAGCACTGGAATGGTAATCTGGAGGTCGCAGGTTCATACCTCGCTCCAGTCAATTTCTTTATTCAACTTTAAATTTGTTATAATGCACCTAGTTAGTTTCCCTTTGGGGTTTATTTGAAAACCTAGGTGGTGTTCGAACCTAGGACCCCAAGGATCCCACATCAGCAATCTAACTTAGCTATCCAGCCCTACGTTAGCCAAAGACAAAATCATTTGAAAACAGTTGCTTTATTTTTTGAAAGTTTTCATCGACTCGCCTTTATCTTTCCCTCCTTAACCCATTTGGCAAGTTGTTGTTTCATCTCGTCGAAGATGTCTGTGAAACCATTGGCAGCAAAGAGATCCCTGCTGATTCGTTTCTCCTTCAACAGCTCCTGGATGCTGTTGTCCAACGGACAGTTGATGTCCATGCTGTACATTGAAATTTGCCCACAGGGAATGACCGCGCTGTCTTTGTTCATCTACATGAGAAAAAAAAATTCAAAACACAAGTAAAATTTCACTGATTTCCATAAGATCTCAAATTTGCTGGTGGGGTTAGGGGACGGGGGATATGCATAACACAGCAATGTATGCCCCATGCTCCTAACAAAACAAAAATTTAAATGCGTATATTTTGTTTTACGCAAAAACTACTTTTTTAGCATCTGCAATCTTCTGGAGAAAAATAGCTTGAATTTTACGCAGAGCTGAATTATCGTAGGGCCGCAAATAATTCGAAAATTGGGCATATATATTTTTTTTTAGAACAAAATATCCTGAAACGTTCATTAACCCTAACTCCCTAGCATAATTTCCAAACAGATTTCAACAAACTGGGTAGGGGGGCTTACCTGTCGAGGGGAGGAGGTGTTTAACAGGCACGTGCTACTTGTTTATATATGCATGATTTTCCCATTTTTTGTGGCCCAAGGGGGTAGTTAAGACTCCCCAACACACCCCTCATAGAACCACTACTAGAGGGGGCTGTTAAACAAATCTTTTTACTCAACCCCCACAGCGCCGTTGCCAGCCCCAAGCATCAAGGGGGGCCATAGTACCAACTGTGGGGGGGTGGGCACTACAATAAAAAATAAAAAATACATATGTATGGCTTTTGCCGTTGGGGGCCAATTGCTCGCCAAGGGGGGCCGCCCCACCAGGCCCCCCTCCCCTTTGGCGACGGGCCTGAACCCCCAGCCAACTGAAGCTCCTGTAACTAAGTAGGCTACACATTAATTTGTCCAAATGTAGTTTGTCAACTTTGTAAAAGTTTTCCAAGACCAAAACTCACCTTTTTTTTTTAATGAGCTCTAAAACTTTCCATCATTACAGCATCCCTCTGTGCAAATAAAACAAGTCAGATTGAACCCACCTGTTTGATGACCTCATTGCTGATCTTTCCACCGACGTTATCAAAGTAGACATCAATGCCAGCTGAACAGCACTCCCTCAGCCTTGCTGCTATGTCGTCTGTCTTGTAGTTGATGGCTCCGTCGAACCCGAGTTCTTCCATCAGAAATCGACACTTCTTGTCTGTGCCGCAAATACCGACCACTCGACCGCAGCCTTCTAACTTGGCAATCTGGTGAAGAAAAAAAATGGAAAAAAAAATTCATGATTTTGTCCGCAAGACTGACACAAGGCTTATCTTGGCATTTCGCACAGGTAATAAGCTCCACATTGCCTAATGTCATCTACCAAAAAAAAAAACCAAGGAATCACCAAAGACAAGAAAATTTATGATAGCAAAATATCCAAAATTGTGGCAAATGTTGATGCTGAAATAGCTGTAACATTGAGGTTTCTGCCCGAAATGACATCACAGTTTTGCTCATGACTATGAAAATTCTCATTAGCATAAAAACCAAAAAGGCACCAAAAACCCTTAAAGATGGCCAAATGACAATGGAAAAATAAAGTTAAACTGGACACAAATGTGCATTTCCAAGGATTGCATTAAAAAAATTACATTACATGGGCCCTTTAAAAATGAAAAAAAAAGAAAACAAAGTTCAAAAGAGGACGCGCTGCTACCTTTTCCAAGATGGGCGCCGGGGGCATTGGCCGCCTCGCCCACCTCGCCCACGTTGTTTGCTAGCATATTTGCATGCGATCTGATAGCGTTAAAAATAGCATATTGAAAAGTCTGTACATAGAAAGACTTCCAATGTACATGGAGTAAAGTACTTTCCAGGGTGATGAAAAAAAATGGGTTAATATCAAATCTCAAAAACAATAAGTTTTCAGAATTAATGCAAGCCGGGATGGATAACATATTAACTCAGTATAAAAACAGACTTTGATGCAGACAAAGATAAACTAAATAAATAGAGGACCCTCGAAAATCAGATATGGACTTCATGATGCATGAACTGAAGTAACCTTGGAACTCAAGAGTAAAATAAACTATGCTGATAAAATTATTCAAGATACAACATTTTCATTGTCTTCCTTCAAAATGTTCTGCCGACAACCTGGGTGGTTTTTGTTGTGAGATAAGATGAAATCAATACACGGTTGCCCCGATATTGCTGCAAAATGTTTTAGTCATGTTTTGACCTCAACCCCTAAATCCACCAAAATGTGTGTACACAAAGAAAATAATGGCACTAACTAGCTGAAGTGCTGGATTTGAAAGTATCTGGGGTGAAGTGGCATTTACTTTTGAGACATGTAACTCGTCACTTCCACTTATTCATTTTGAGTATGAAGCCAGCCAACATATTGGTTAAATGTAAAGGACCTACCTGGCCCGCTAGTGACCCACAGGCCCCTGCTGCCGCACTGACGACAAACGTCTGGTTAGTGCCCGGTTTGATGTGAGCGCGCTCACGTATCCCAATCAGCGACGTCAAACCGGGCATGCCCAGTGCGCCGAGGGCCAGCGACAACTGATTGGCACCAAAAGACCTGTCAATCTGTAAAAAAAAAAAAACCACCCAGGTCAATTGTATTGTTAAATCGTTGCATAGCTGAAAGCCTGACAGTTTCATGGTTGTGTAAAAGAGTAGAGAAGTAAATACAATCTACTCAATGAACATTTAAAGTAAAAAATTATCAGAGTGTCTTGAAGTATGTCATTGGCAAGTGATTTTTAATGGAATCAAAAAAGTTTGAAAAATTCTGAAAAAAAGCCAGAAGGAACTGGACTCTAGAGATTGCCCTATTGATTAACGTAATTTGCTTGAATTAAAACAACTGTGAGAAATAAATTGGAATATTAATTTTCCATTAAGTTTCCAAATGAAAGGCTGTTAAATAATAACTATTAAGCAAATGTTCTAAATATCAATATAACAGCTAAATATCAACCATATGATGCAAATTTTATCACATCATTTTAAAATCTGGCATTGTCCTTTTTGCTATAGTCATGGTACGCTCAGCACTTTTAAGTTGAGTGCTTGCAGAAAAATTCACAAGCTTGCTTGGTGGGAACTCAACCCATGATCTTTTGCTAACTACAAGTGCAAACATCCTCTAAGCACTCCATCCCAAGCTTGATAGGGCTGGTTGGCCGGTTTGAATCTGATGTAGTGGTAGAAACTACAGTCAGTATCTTGTATGGGGGAATTAACAGAATTCGCTTCTCTATCAATTCTTATAAAGATGCATTCCCCGTGCTATTTTGAAAAACAGACTCCTTTTTTAAATTGCTCTTTTTCTAGCAATACAAAAGTTATTCACTTTTGAACGAGACATCAACTGAAAAACAAATCAGCCCATGCTCAGTTATTGAATTGTTTATTATTACATTACAAATTTCGAATTACTGGCGGTCTGACAATAATTCCGTTCTTGCAGGGTAGGCTGGTTCCCACCCCACAATCAGTACCGATAATGTATGGACAGGTAATGCTCGCACAGCAGATCTGTTTGCCACCAAAATTAAAACCGTTGTTTTAGAGGGTTGCAGACCCGAAGTGTGACGTCATTTTGAACCAGGAAGTGTTGTGCAAACCAATGGAGTACGCGCGTGTGTTAATTGGTTCACGGGCTGAATCACGCGCTTATGTCTTTTACACACATAATTGTGCGCGTGATGTATTCACTTCGGTACTCTATAAAACAACTTGAAAATTTAGAGAAAAAAAAAATTCAAATTTTGTTGAAGAGCACGAGGAATGCAATTTTGAAATGAAAAGTCTGTACATCTGAAACAGTTCTGACCCATTTCTTTCTGTACACCTGGACGAATTTCCAATGGGAGATGTCTGATCTTTGCAAGAATGATCAGGCAGTGAAACTGAAACGGAACAGAACAAATATGGCATGAAAAGCTACCTTGTTGGCCTGGGAAGCTGGAATAGACGCATACAACTGCCACGGCCAGTTGAAGTCCTTAGCAACAAAATCCCCAGCAACAAATTCTGGGCATCGGCTGTCGGTGACCACGCCCACCCCTCCACCCGAAATGGTATCACCCAGCTTCCAGGTCTGCACGTACTTTGTGCCCGGATCTGCATTCATGCAAATTCTCTGCAGAAAACAAAAATGTGAGAAATAGATCAGTAAAAAAAAACAAAAAAACTAGTTTCTTGTCTGGCCTATTTGAAGAAATGAAGGAGGAGGGTGCCTTTTTTTATTTTTTTGTGACTATTTTACTGATACAAAACTGTGTCCAAAGGACCCATAACCCTTTCTACATAGCTTCAATTTTGTTGAAAAGCAAATAAACAGACCAAATATTCACCATATATATTGCAAATGTACGAATTAAAAAAATAAAATAAAAAATAAAACAAAAGTGGGGGCCGGGAAAATGGAAGCGGGCGGGGACAAGAAACTTGTTTATTTTTTTACTTGGCCTAAACTAAGATGCTGAGCTTTCTCATCAGATAAGATGCTGAGCTATTTCATCAGGCCAGCAACACAGTGCACCAACTAAAGTCCACACACAGAGATGCTTTGTGCCCATTTAGATAAAACCTATAGTCATGCCTACCCCCCCCCCCCCAACCCAAGCCCCACCCCAACATAAGAACTCCCTTTTCATTCCCCTGCTACAGAGTAGAGATGTATCCCCCCACTTTCAGAAATGTGTGTTACCACTGGGTACAACTACAATTCTACAAAGTTATGAATTGTCACAGGAAAAAAAATTGTGAAAAAAAGAATGCATTTGTATGGGAACGAATCGTCAGAGGTCAGAGTTGACTGGTTTCCATAGACAGTGAACAATTCCCCCTTGATTCACATTGTAAAATGCCACTCTATTTTTAACTTTATGCCATGCCAAATTTCACAGATCACTGGACAAAAATTCACAAACTTTTTTTTCAATAGTTTGTGTATCTGTACAAACCAGTATAGTAAACCAATAGCATGCATACATGGACCTGAGATGTACACTCACCATGTAAGGATCAACAGACAGATAAAGTGTCTTGACCAGAATGTGCCCATCCTTGATTTCTGTGGGATAGTCACAGTCTTCAGTTCGGAAATTCTCTACCTGTGGCTGGCCAACTATGGGAGGAAAAATACAATTGACAATGGATCAACTTTATTCCTGCAAACTACACACGAATTGGTACAACATTGAGGAATATCTGTGGTTTTATAATGGGTCTGGAGTACACTGCACAATTAAAGTGCAACTAGCCTGTATAATACATGTTTGTTCCTAATATTCTGCAGTGATTTCAGAATTTTTTAATTTTAAATTTCATATTGTTGAATATCTGCTCCAAAATGAGCAGTCACAAATATGCACCTATAAATTACCCCCCCCCCCTTCCCTCGGCTGCCCCACCCAATCTGTGGGCCAAATGAAAGTGAAAATCTACAGCATCCATGGGTGGGGCACCCTAAACTGGTTGCCTGTCCATTTAGTGCACCAATGGTAAAAATGTTTGCGGCCAAAATCCTGGAACTTGAAAAACGTGACCAAACCCCGACATAAGATCTGGAGCAATTATTGGGGGGGGGGGGGGTAGGGGGCGGGGGTAAAGGGGGTTTAGGGGGAGGGGGCAGGGGTGGGCAGGGGAGGGGTAGGGAGAGGGACAAGTAATAGGTGCATTAGTAGGGGTTGGAATTTTCTCTCTAGTGAAGAGTATTTTGTCAGATTTTCTTCAAATTCTGCAGGGTTCTGCATACAGAGACAGAGTTCTTGAGGTCTGCACGTATGCTCTGATCCTTAAAATACCTACCAGGGGTACTGCTGCATAATTTTATTTGATAGAAAATACAATAACCAATATTGGCACTTAAACTAAAGCTAACAGATGTGAGAAACAAGCAGGAAAATAGGCCTCATCATTGTCATGAATTGGAGTGAAGTTTTTTAAAGATGTCTCTTTTGTACTGATCTTCATATGGTTTTGTACTGATCTTTTTTTTACTGACAAATTTAAACATATTGAAGAATGTTTTCACACACACACAAAAATTGAAATATATTTCTCGCTTTTATTATCATGGTATTGCATCTTAAAATTGTCAACTGCACATTTAAATCCCCGTGCTAGTTTATTCCCTACCCGTACCCGGCATTTGTGCAGACATTGTGCAAAACGTGCTACTGCTACTCTTGCTAGTACTATACTACTAGTACTAGCTCATTGAGCGTCGCTAGAGCTGACAGTGACACTGACTGACAGGTCTCTTAAATGTATTACTATTATTAAGCTGGGGCGATAATTAACATCGAAAGCCAAGAAACCTACAAATATCGTAACGAAAGCAGCCATCGGAAAGGCTTTTTAGTTACCTGGTCTTTGACACAAAACTACACGTCGATTTCCGAGCGCCATCTTGCTTACTCCAGTAGCTGAATGGTCCATGCTGTTCAATAAGTAATCTGCTCCACCTGCAAACCCCAACGGCTCAGCTTAGCCCAGTTACCGGCGCGCTGCAAACCCTCCCCGTACAGTGGGGCTTTTCCCGTCTTGCGAGCACGCTGCCTAGGCCTAGTGTGCCTGCCCGGCTGAACCCGCCTACCCGTGCCCACTTTGTGCTCAGTCAGGCAAACATGTCCCCGTTGTCACCCCTTTTCAATGCGGGTGTACTGCTTACTGGATCCAAGACTTGATGAATGTGCCTGCCGATAAAGCCCAGAATAATTCGTTGACCTCGGAGTGCACAGTGCGTGATGAGTGTCGATGACCGTCGGGATGCGGTCCTGGGAATCAGAGATAACCATCAGCACACCAACTTTGGTGAACTCTAGTAACAGATGGCAAAACGATGCGCCTTTAATTAATTATTTCCGGAAAGTCGTCATTTTTTAGCCCCAACTTTTTGAGTACTCATACAATTACTAGACAACAGACGACAATCGATGAGGTGACTGGAGGTTGTATCCGCCTAAAACCTAATTTTTCGATGAGCAATACTGGAACCCCACGCCCTCCAATTCAGTGATCCAGTCTCATCTCCCCTGACAAACATTCGACACAAAAGATGAGAAACTAGTATCTATGACGTGTCGTGAGCTTTTATAACACTCAAAATAAGCAAATTAATTATTAAACCCATGACTTGATAGAAGGCATATGCACTTTTTCAAGTGGCTTTTTTGCACCATTTGTTTGAAGTTGTTCCCCATGCTCTTTAAAAAAATGGACATTTTTTCCTTAACGAATTTTCAATGCGTACGTTTCAATTTTTTGACTTTTTTCCATCTATTTCGGGATCAAGTCTGCAACCATCAACAAAAAAGTTTTTTAATTTGGGTTGCTTTTGGGTTGCGCCAATAACAAACAAAACGATAGGCATGAATTCGGGCATGATGGACCTATTGTCAGTCCGGAAGTAACGTAATAGGCGGATTTTTTTTCTTGATCGGTTTCTCGTTCAAATGTAAATAAATTCGTATTACTAGAGGAATAGCAAGTTTTAAAAAAATCTAAATTTCGGATTGAAAATCTAAATTTCGGATTGAAAATCTAAATTTCGGATTGAACAGAAAGCATTTTTTTGTTGGGGGGGGGTCTGTCGTTGGATCTGTGGGAGTCGGAACGGTTGGGTTTAAAACACGTATACCAACCATCCATAGGCCCTACAGTTTGAGACATCAGAATACAAAATACGGAGTGAATGACTAGGATAAGCGCTTGGTCGTCATGCCTGAAGTACCTGTCGCCAAGCACTTGAAGAAATTGGTTTTATTGTCCACGATAATCACTCATCTCTACAAAAAAAATACGGGGCAGGTGCAATTTTCCCGTCCTTTCCTCATCCACCGGCCCATTGTGACCTATAGACCGTGATAAAATCGAGAAAAAAAACCTCGAAAACTGCTGCACGAACGATTGCAGGAACAAGTTGAAACCGAGATAGTCATCTTTTACTATACCATTGACGTCACAGCCAATATTTTCATTCTTCCCGATACAAAACGTCGCCCAGATTTTGCCCCCCCCCCCTCCTCCTCATGCGTGAAATCAAATTCAGTCCAAGTTTAAGTAATCACGCGATCAGAATAGGAAAGACGCGTGGGTGGATATTTTCTAAAGGACTTTGGCAAGCCATTTTCACGGACTGATTTTCGTTGCTATCGTCCCCTGCACTACCGTACCTATACGTCCCCAAGGAAAAGTCTGCTGCTACAAGTAGGCCTAGAACAAAATAATTAAAGAGCAGGGGCGGATAGCTTTCAGGAACGGGAGGGGGATGTGTAGAGAGGAGGGTTGAGTTAAGGCGTGCTGAAGGCACGCCCTGCCATAGGGGTCGGAGCAGCCCCGGGAAATCTTGAAATCAGTTATCTACGATGCCTTTCCTCCATTCCAATTAGAGAATATACATTTAGGAACTTAGCATTCCATTTATTATTTTGGTCCCATTTTACTAGTGTCATAACATTAGTCAGCGGTTGAAAGGGGGTTGGGGGGGGTGCAACCCCCTCCTAGATCCGCCACTGAAGAGACATCCTTTCTGAAATCAGCAAACAAATCTGACCAATCTTACGCCTGCCCCCCCCCCCCCCAAAAAAAAACTACCGTGAACGGCCATGAAAGTGTGTGAACACATGTTTGCATTAAAGACAGAGCTTAATAAAAAAAATTGTCAATTTTTTCATGGATAGAATATTCGCTAATTTTGTTCTGACTGTATTTTGCTTTGCATTATATTTTACTTCTAATTGAATGCAATTTGAGAATAAATTTAGGAACTTAGCATTCGATGTATTATTTTTCTTGTCCCATTTTACTCTATAGTATCATGGAGCTAACGTTAGTCGGCGGCTAAACGGAGTGGGGTGCATTCCCTTTCCTTGATCCGCTTATAAAGAGGGATCTTCCTGGTTATGCACCCTAAGAAAGGTCAACATGAACGTCTGAAACGCGTCCTGTGAACAGTCCTCAAAGTTAAACATTTCACAATGTTATACCAATACCATGGTATTGGTATAGGGTTTGGTTATAGTCGGTATATAGTTGGGTGAATCGGTTGGTTTGGGGATGAAATTTTGAAGCGACAAGAAAACCGCGTTTACCGCTGCACGCACCTTTTGAGAAAGAAGTTGAAACCATTTTAGTCATCTTTGACCATAAACGTCGTACCAAGCTAAGTTGTTTTCTTTCCTCGCGATACAAAATGTCGCCCTTTTGTCCCCCATGCGTGCAACTCAAATTCATGGCAAGTTTAAGTAAACATGAAATGAGAATAGGCTAGACGTGTGGGTGGAAGCTACGGGAAAACCAACATTTTCTCACTATAGATTGTGTTTGATCATGGAGGGATACAAAATATGGTTTATTTTCATGGACTGATTTTTGTTTCGTCAGGAGGAACAGTCTGCCTCTCTACAGTATAGTCTTCGTTCAAGGCATATTCGGTAGTGGATCGCCTCTTTTCGGCGCCATATACGAATATTCACGAATTCATAGATATTTCAGTATATTGTTTTGATGGAATCATTGCAAGACACTCAGGTTCTTGACTCTTCCATTAAATTAAAATAATATGTGGTAGCTTGATGACATCTGCTCTACTATCGATAATGTAGTTACCTAAATCACATAACAAGGGTGTATAGTTGATGTCATTGTTCTTTTTTTCCGGAATAAACATAACTTGTTTTCCTCGTTATACTGAATTATTCAAGAAAATGGATTCATCGCAAGCTGCACTACGTGAAAAATCGGCCTTGCAGCGGCAGTCCAATATCGATTACTAACGTCTTGGGCCAAGTCTACTATCAAAGAACAAAACAGTGACGAAACAATTCTGTTTCTCGGTGACAACCTTTACCAAGCTTGTCAGTAATAAACCAAGTCAGGCCTACCAGATAAGCTTCGTACAGTGGCTAACATTGTTGTTGGTAGTACTTGTTACACATTAACATTTTTATCATCGAGGTGGCCAACTGGGTTTTACGGTTCTGTTGTGTACACGACAGTTGACAAGTTGATTGAAAAGAAAGGCTGAGGCGTTGCCCAGCAACGCATCAGAGCTCAACTGTCAAGATATCATTTCAGATGTGAGTCATTCCTAAAACTAAAAGGTCAACCTGTGCCAACTTTGCCACTGTTGTGCGTTGAAAGATATACTTGGCATGTTGTATACTTATCCACTGTGCTCGCGTAAGACTTGTATGTTTTCCTTGTCATCGAACCATATTTTCGCAGCTTCAGAGTAATTAATTCGCAAGTTCTGGAATCCAGAACCACATTTGGTTTTTGTAGCAGACATGATGGGTCGACACAAAGCCTACAGAAGTAATCCGAACAAGAGGAGGCGGATGCGCTTTGTACCGCAGTGGCTGGAGAAACACGCAGTGTCGGATGGGTCTAGTCAACTACCACCGGCCAACTCTATCAATGACCCGGGTAGGAAACTCTCATAGTTGGTGTAGTTTTTAAGGAAGGGATTATTTTGTGATTATTTAAGATGGCCAGTTGGCGAAGACATCGATGTGTGCACATTTGCATCAATCTTAATACTTCGAAGAGGGGGTTATCGCCGTATCGGCAATTGGTGTTTATAGTTTATCAATTCAGATTTATACCCGAGTGCTAATAACGAAAATTCGACCAACGTCAGTCACTAATTCACCTGTTCTTGTGAATTCAAAACCCTTGTCTTAGCAAATACAATGTAACGTTATTCATGGAATTCATGGAATGAATGTCTCATGCGGTAAAAGATATGGAATCTAATGAGTGCATTTGCAGCTTGTATTCTGACAGTACTGTTGTTTATGTCGCTTATGGATTTTAAAAAATCAATTTTTCGCTCATCTAGATGATTAGTGCGTAACCAGCTTAGGCCTATAATAGTGTAGGGCAGATCATGTTTTACACATTGACAAATAAGTCAAACTGTGTTAATTGCTGAAGATGAAACCATTTAGTGAGACACAGTGCAATTAAATTATAGGTATACAGTTTTAAGATTTGAGACTAGTAAACGAAGCAAATGATGTAAAAAAAAAATATTAAAAAATCAGAAACTCGTATTTTTTGTTCAACCATATTCCGCACTGTACTTGTATCACGCCGGGAGGCCCCCTCAATGGCGAAAACATTGTGTTAGCGATTGCCCAGGACAGCTGTCATGGAACAGTTGCACTGTACAATTGCTAGCACAGTGCTTGCGCCATTGGCGGGGGCCTTCGTGGGTGGACAGTGATCATGTGCACGGTCGGCGTCTATATCTAGATTTGTATTCTAATTTTAATAACATAACTGAGGAAAGTGTATTCAGCTACATGGGTCAGCAATGAATCACTTCTGAAACAATAAACATTCACAGACTGTAAACAATACGACAGCTCCGGTGTATGTGGGACAAAAAATGTGAGACGTCAGTTGTGTTTATTTGTACATTTATATGCGTGGTGCGAGCTGTTTATTTTGGGAAGATTATTCATATATTATGCTGGAAGGATTTCAAGTGAAAGTTTCAATGGCTCATATGGTAGGTCTAATTGGTCATTTCCACCAGGTGTTCTCCAAAAGTTAGGCTACCTCATGGGTTCTGTGTTAAGATTTTGTCTATTATGTGGCGACTTTTCGGGAAAAGAAAATTAGATTTGTTTTTCGCCAAGAACGACTGGTGATTTTCTTCCATTTGTATTAATTAGTCGGATAAAATTTAGGTCTGGAGACGTTTCTATGAAAGCAAGATGAGTATGACCTTCTCTTGCAATACTTATTAATGTTAATTTTAATGGCAATTTTAAATGGCCGCATACTTGTGAGAAAGAAATGTGACCTGTGCCCTCAACAATGCCACCGATTCCACCACAGTCGAATGTCAAGTGTCACATACACCAAGTTACATAAATATAAAATTAAAATACTAAAGCCGTGTCCTGAGGCCTTTGTGTGCATTGAATGACACCGTATGCTTCCTTTGAAATGACAGATGTCATTCAATGCCATATATAACTGATAGGGCGCGCATGCATATAAATGTTCGCAACATGAACATACCAAATTGGATTAACTGAAAAGAAAACCCGCGTCGTACACCACGAGAGAAACATGATGGCGGATCAGAAATATAATTCCCGAGAAATTATTTCAAACGAGGGGCTACTATTCCTTAAGAAAAAGGGACTCCTTCAAAAGATATTTTGTCTATGTCTAAATAGTTTGGTAATTTGGGAAAAAAACGAGAGATTGACTATAGAAATGGATGCACGGCAGACACACTATACTGGTAACAAATTCGATTTGCTGTGGGTTTATTCCCAAACAAAATGGGAACATAAATAGTTAGCCAGTTTCAAAAATCGCTTTAATGAAGTTGTATAAAAAGGCATTGTATTTCATTAACTGTATCCTATGAGTGAACTCCAGAAGTTCGTTTTTGCTCTGATCGATCGCCTCAAACTGTTCAAGTTGTGAATTACCCGCTGCGAATAGTAATTGTACCCGCTAATGACATTCTTGATGTTTCTTAAAAATCCATCAGAGGCTTTGCGGGAACTCATCCACTACACCGCGGAGGGCAACGTGATTGCGGTGAGGTTATTAGCGAGGGCCGGCGTCAACGTGAACATGACCGATGAGGATGGTTGGACGGCCCTACACTACGCGGCAGACGAGGCCCAGCGGGACGTAGCACAGCTCCTGATGGGGGAGTGCGGCGCGGACGGCTCCATCAGGAGTCACGAGGGACTCACGGCGGCCGATGTGGCACGGATGGACGGGAATTTTGAACTGGAGAAGTTGTTGGACCCGTCCGCTGCATCCTCGGCAGGATTAACAGACTCAACTCCATCCTCATCTTCGCAAGAGTCGGGATAATATCGATGCAGTTGAGCAAACTTTATCCCTTTGTGAAGTTTTGAACCATAATATTTCCATGCATTTTTGATTGAACTGAGGATTGTTACCAAAATTTTGCAGTGAAGGTTCAGAGGAATTCTGACCAATCTTTTCAAGTTTAAAAGTAGTAACCGGATAGTTCCATCAAAGGCTTAAAAAATGTAACAGATCTGCAACGTTTAAGTTGTCTAGCTTTTGTTCATAATCACATATAGCGATTTCTGACCCATTGAACCAACGGACTTACCAACCCCAATAAATGGAAACAAACCAAACCCTTCCAAAAACAGTAAAGTATTAAATAAACAAATGAAAAAAACCCAATTTCTGAGATCAAGGCAACTAGACCAATACCGGTCCTCCTTTATTTGTCTTTGAAAGAAAGCCACAAGTGCAAAAATTTAAATAAACAATGTATGTCATTTTGACATCACGTTTGACTAAGAAGGGCAAAAGCATGTTTTACCTCATGTCTTGCTACTGGCTGGGTGGGTAGTTAAAATGAACATTTTTTGCCTTAGTGGGTCATTCTATAAATTTAGGGTACAAAGTGTGACATTTGTCCTGTCCCTGTTACCTCTGAAATCTGTAATTTGCCATTCAAGTGTCACTAAAAAATGACTTCAAACTAATTTTTATTTGTTGGGTAGGTGTCATTTGCTTCACATAATCACTCTTGGAGGAAGAATACATTTAAACAGAATTACACAATCCTAGATGTCAGATGTAACTGGGACAGGATAAAAGTTGACCCCAAATTTATACAATGCCCTTACTATCACTTTTGTACAATGTAAGTATACTTTGTAATTTAACACATCTCATAAAGCATTGCAAAATAAATGTTAAACCCTTAATCGAAATTCTGGCTCACAGCTGAAATATTTATATTTTTTTATTTTTTCTTTGGCATAAACCTTTCTACTAAATAATATGCTCGACTTTGAATAATTGCACCAATCTTTTTACACTTTACGACAAAATTCTTTTGTTGTCGGAAAGAAAATCACTACTTATTAATGCACCAAACATTTGGCAAGTAAAAGTAAAATCTGTCACGAGCAAATATGGCCTATCAGGCCGACGTTTACCTCTGGTTGCAGTGGCATGAAAAGACTGAGAACATTTCTAATGCCAGTACCCATTTATACTCCTGGGTGGAGAGAGAGGCAAGTGAGGGTAAAGTGGCTTGCCCAAGCACACAATATGGCCAGCAACTGGATTCGAACCCCTGACTCTCTGAGCATGAGACACAAACCCTAACCACTAGGCCACACTCCCCCTCTTTAGCAAGGCACCTCCTATAAAGGCCTTCAAACAAAAGGTGGAAATCACAAAAAAAATAAGTTAAATAGTTGGTGAGATGTATATAAATACAAATATAGCAATAATATTGGGAAATCACTACAGATACAATCCCCTGCAAATAAGTCTTGTACACTTTTCAACGAATGAATTCTATTCTTGTAAATTCCTTCCCAAGTACTAGTAGCAGTGTAAAAGCAACTGAAATTACAACTGACCTTAAAAAATATTTAAAATTTAATACTGAATGGATCTCCAGGCCTTTGAAAAAATATTTTTTTGTATCTGCAAGAATTGAAAGGTAGGAGCCATACTGTCTAGCTTTAAGCAAATAATGCACAACAATTGACTGTACTCTGCCCCCAGATGTCAAGTTAATACATGTATATCTCTCCATTTCAGTACAGTGCAAGGCCAAAGACCGTGAAAAAATTTATTCACATACGATTTGAAGGCTGCATGGTGAAGTCAGCCGTAACGGTAATTTTGCGGTTGCATTATGTTACACGGAATATTTTTTGTGCAAGTTCGTGTGGTTATGAAAAGGACCAGTGAAAACTAAATGTGTCGGACAACAGCATGCTCTCATGTCTTTAGGAGATTTTGTTTCAAAGAAAAAGTTCAAACTAACTCTTCGAATTGCTCTGTTCATACGGAGTGTGCCAAAAAAGTGCAACGTTCAGAAAACAAATAGTTGAAACTGTTTAATGTTTTTTTCTTCAATGAAATTATATATTTCATTAAAGCCCGACTTTTTCTCAATCCACTCCTTTTTAACTCATTCCATTTGGGTCCCTAGATCCAGAAATACAATCAAGTAAGTGGAAGGGTGTAAATTTTACTTGGGCCACTCTCACCTGTGATGCCACCAACTTCGATGCCTATTCTGTGCCTATTCAATGCTTAACCCAGATTCACCATGTCCAGGTGAGAGTGGCCCAATTATTTGTTTTCTGAATGTAGTATTTTTTTGGCGCACACTGTACCTTTTTCCCATTGAGATTTGATCATTTTGAGTGAATGAAAATCTCCCTCTTGCACTCAAACTAACAAAAAGTACGAAGCTCGGAAAACGTGATATTCATTACTTTCATTGGCGGCAACCAATTATTTTGAATGGCACTTGATGATGATTTTCCAAGCTGATAATTGTGCAAACATTTTGCTAATGGTTTACTGTACACTTGAATTTTGGAGGATTTTGGAAGGGTTGACAAGACTAATTCTGAATTACTATAACAGTTGATCTACAAAATAAATGAAAAATGTACAAATTGAAAGCCCTCCGTTGTCGAGAATTAAGAATATGTTACCGAGTGAAAAACTCTACGAAATTTAGAAAGTACTTTTATCTACACTATGTCTTACACTAAAAATGGCCCCAGAAATTTCACTGTAAAAAATGTCATGAAAAGTTTCTTTTTGCAATATTGCATTGGTTCAAAGTTTTATATTTACATATATGAATTAATTTTGGATTAGTATTTCAGCAAATTTATACAATCAAGGTTTCCCTTCTAGTACCAATCAAGATATTTTGTTTACCTTGCAACTACATACATGTATATCAATGCTCCACCATTTTTTTTTAAGCAGCTCAAAACAAATAAATAGAATAATGAGTTGTATCAATTTTATCTGAAGCACTCTCAGTCATATTCATAGGTCTGACTTCATCCCAGTGCAATACAGACTTCATAAAAAATATTCATCAATTCATACAATAGACGGATACATTAGGCCCCCAGTCACTGTGCACACGAGCGCCTCTACAATGCTGTATTACAGCATGTTCCGGCTGCGAGCGTCATGCGCGCGTGCACACATGTTAGACTTTTGTAGACGCATGTGGGACATTCATCAAGGCTGTGATTGGTCAGAATACCATTGGGCAGGGCTTAATAAATCAATCTGGTCAACCTTGTCCCCAGGGCTTCAACCTCGTTTCCAATAGTAAGCCCTGGGATGGGAACTTGCTTTCTGTATCTTGATTCGATACCGCATTTAGCAAGAAATGGATTTATATCATGTACTTGGTGTTCTTATTTCCACAGTGTATTACGTGTTTTCACGTTCATTGTAATTATTACGTCCACACCTTCTCAAAAAATTATCCTCTCCTTTCCAATTTGCTCATATTAATATTAACTGTGACACTGCATATTGACTGGATAAGACTGTAACATTTCAACTTTGAAAACAAATCGTGTTTTCATAACTCACGCCGCGATGAATTGATTGTGTTTTTACCCCAGACACCACACACAAAAACAAACCCTGATGTAACGCACAGGCAGGTACCAGACTATTCCTCATTTGCATACGTATCCAAAAATGTTTGATATGCAAATGATCCAATACCAGGGCGAGAGAGCGGGTAGTGGTGGGAGTGTACTGCTTGACACCCTGGGAACGAGGTTGCAGTCTGGTCTATTGAAACAATAGATTTTCAGCACACAACATTCATAATTCAATAAAATGTTCTCGAAATTGAAGGCTTGGAAGCTGACACGTGTGGATCACTCCAAAAGGAATTCCTTGAAACCTTTACATCGATCGACAAACAAAGCGGGAATGAAAGGATTTGAGAGCACTCGAACAAAATTAGAAATTAAAATGTTCATCCTTATTCACTCATGAAAATTTTGACAGAGATTTCCAATTCTTTGTTTTTAACATTTTGTGAGCTATTTACAGTTCATCACAGAAAACTGACTTGGCAGTCAAGATTAATCAACAAGACATTGCAACATCAAAAGCCATGGTTATGGATCCATCTTAATTAAATCAATATAAACCCTGTCTAAATGTGGACAGGTTCAAAATGTCGGGGGTACATATTGCAAAGTTACCCCTCAGTAAACAGCAGAAGATTGGAGTAAATACATTAATGAATGTCTAATGACATGAATAATTTAATTAAATGCCATGGTGCAAATAGGAATTTACATAATTTAAATGGTAGTAATACACATGGGCCATGCTATCAATTTAGAGTCAAAAGTGTGGCATTTTTTCTTGCCCCTGCTACCATGGTACTACATAATTTGTCATTCAAGTATCATTAAAAATGACTAACTATAAAAAAAACACCTATTTGTTAGGTAGGTAGTTTGCTATTCATAATCACTCTTGGAGGATGTCTGTATCGGTATTATAAAATCATAGGTATCAGATGTAACAGGAACAGGAAAAAAATTGGACCCCAAATTTATAGAATGACCCATGCACCTTAAGTTAATTGTAGTTTGCAATCACAGGTACAACTATAATTCTAAGTATCAACTGCATGTGAAACAAATTAAGGCAATATAAATTATTTAAATTGATAGTTACTCTTTAATTATTAACTCTTAACCAAAAAATATGTTTTACACATAGAATTTAGACAAATATAATCAGAAAGACAAAACCAAAGATGCACTTTAAAGTCATATAGCTCAATTTACAAAAGGCACCAACTACACGTAGAAAAATAGAAAACTGTAATGAACAAAACAACACAAAGTTTACACAAACCACACAAGAATACACAAAAATTCCAGATTCTGAAATGTTGAAGATGAATGTCACACGATAAAGCAAGTTTTAGCAACAGTGTTTTCAGATTTTAAGTTTTTGATGATATATTTTGAATAGATTTTAAATGTAGATGCGCGTGTAATTTAGGAAGTCATGCGTCTAAATTAAAATTGCAAATGTGTAACTGACTAGGGGGACATCCTTTACATGGACAAGTGTAATGTCAGGGAACTAGGCAATATTCAAATTGAACATGGTATATTGGATGGTGACATGTTCTTCTCACATTGTTAAATTTCTCTTCTTTACTCTTTGCTTGGATACTGTATGATGTCTCACCTCGTAACTGACATTACAACCGAGTACTGGAAGTGGCAGGCATTCTGGGAAGAGTTGAGTCAGCATGAACAAGGAGAGGTCAGACGAGGTCCAGTAGGAGCTGTGTGAGGTCAACGCTGAGTTGTAGGTACTGCTCATTACAACCGAGCGGTTGAGGTGGCAAGGTATTCTGGGAAGAGTTGGGTCAGCATGAACAAGGAGAGGTCGGCCGAGGTCCAGTAGGAGCTGTGCGAGGTCAACGCTGAGATGTAGGTACTGCTCATTACAACCGAGCAGTTGAGGTGGCAAGGTATTCTGGGAAGAGTTGGGTCAGCATGAACAAGGAGAGGTCGGCCGAGGTCCAGTAGGAGCTGTGCGAGGTCAACGCTGAGATGTAGGTACTGCTCATTACAACTGAGCAGTTGAGGTGGCAAGGTATTCTGGGAAGAGTTGGGTCAGCATGAACAAGGAGAGGTCAGCCGAGGTCCAGTAGGAGCTGTGTGAGGTCAACGCTGAGATGTAGGTACTGCTCATTACAACCGAGCAGTTGCGGTGGCAAGGTATTCTGGGAAGAGTTGGGTCAGCATGAACAAGGAGAGGTCGGCCGAGGTCCAGTAGGAGCTGTGTGAGGTCAACGCTGAGGTGTACGTACTGCTCATTACAACCGAGCAGTTGCAGTTGCAAGGTATTCTGGGAAGAGTTGGGTCAGCATGAACAAGGAGAGGTCAGCCGAGGTCCAGTAGGAGCTGTGTGAGGTCAACGCTGAGTTGCAGGTACTGATCATTACAACCGAGCAGTTGCGGTGGCAAGGTATTCTGGGAAGAGTTGGGTCAGCATGAACAAGGAGAGGTCAGCCGAGGTCCAGTAGGAGCTGTGTGAGGTCAAAGCTGAGATGTAGGTACTGCTCATTACAACCGAGCAGTTGCGGTGGCAAGGTATTCTGGGAAGAGTTGGGTCAGCATGAACAAGGAGAGGTCAGCCGAGGTCCAGTAGGAGCTGTGTGAGGTCAACGCTGAGTTGTAGGTACTGCTCATTACAACCGAGCAGTTGCGGTGGCAAGGTATTCTGGGAAGAGTTGGGTCAGCATGAACAAGGAGAGGTCGGCCGAGGTCCAGTAGGAGCTGTGTGAGGTCAACGCTGAGGTGTACGTACTGCTCATTACAACCGAGCAGTTGCGGTGGCAAGGTATTCTGGGAAGAGTTGGGTCAGCATGAACAAGGAGAGGTCAGCCGAGGTCCAGTAGGAGCTGTGTGAGGTCAACGCTGAGATGTAGGTACTGCTCAGGTTGCTCTGACGAAGCTCAAAGTCCACACGCTGCTCCAGCTCTAGACACGATATTAAAGACAAAGTGTGGTTGAGTGAATTTTAATACAAGTAAGCCATAATCTCTACTTGGTCAATGATGCTTTACATGTAAACTGCCCACATTCTTTTGAGGAAGTAACCCAAATGGTAATTTTTTTTTATTATAAATCTCAGCACAGACAGCCTATTTTTAATAGGTTTGATACAGCGCCCTCTTGTGACGATGACTAGTGCATTAAGTATGCCATTGCCTACCCTACAAAAGCATTGGATTTACTTTTATTACTGTACTCATGGTGGCAGAAAAAAAGGAAGTACCATTTTTGATCAGCGGCATTTTGAGGCTCTCGTACCTATGTTGGGTGGGATTAGTGGATTAGCGCTATCCGCTCGATTGGTTAGAGATTTCCTACATGATGGACCGATTGCGCAAAGTGCATTTCTGAGCGATCGAGCAGCTAGCGTTCAATCCACTTTTCTGCCACCTGAGTAAAATCTGCTTTTCAGGTAGCAGAAAAAGGAGAAAATGGAAAAGTCGAAAATGTTCTTCAATCTGCTTTTCTGCTACTCGAGCAACAGAAAAGCAGATCTCCACTTTTTGTCCACCCGCAAAAGAAGGAAAAGCAAAATATGCTTTTCTGGTAGCAGAAAAGTAGAAAATGCATTTTCGCAAAACATTCAATCTGCCTTTCGTATCAGGTAGCAGAAAATTTAAAAAGTCGAAAAATGCATTTTACAAAAACGTTAAATCTGCTTTTCTGCTATTCTGATAGCAGAAAAGCAGATGTCCACTTTTCGTCCTCCACAGCGCCACGTTAGGGAACACTCGGCCAAATTTGTGCGAAAATTGCCGGATGCCGTCATTTTTGAATTTCGGACTAAATTTTCATGACACTGAAATGTTCACAAAGGTTCAACAGCAAGCATTACTAAGGTAACAGAATAAACTGAATGAATTCAAAGTTTTCAACTAAGAAGTTTGACAACATTGGATGAGGAAATTCGAGGGAAACGTCAAAGTGCGCCACATTAGGGGACTCCACAATACATACAGAATTATTTTGACATCCGACTCTTACAAAAATGTTCCCCCTACCTTAACTTTGTCTTACCTACACTTTCCAGCTCGGTGGGTATACCAGCCTGCACAGTCACTGCGTCCTCGTCGATCTGTTCCATTGCCCTCTGAAGATCTTCCAGAACGTCAATGTCAGGATCACGCTCCTCGGAACGAGAGAATCTGGCTAGGAAGCCTCCAACGCCCTCTGTGGGAGGAAAAAACAAAATGCTGTGTAAACTTGAGCTGTTGTTCATTGACTAATCTAGCTTGTCAACAGTAGCGTTGTCCTATCCTTCTTCTTGTCCACTACTGTACTGAAAAAATGATGTGGTACATTAGAAATAAACATGACAAAATAAACTGAGTGGTTTAATCTTAGGGTTTTGATTATTGGTGAAAATCTGTGTACTTTGGGGAGAAAAATCGTGAAAATGACAAGTATTTGCACTTGGATTTACACAGTGAATACAAATGAATATGTTTACTTTGTAGTATTAAGCCAAAGTTTTTTGATTTTTAGGATTACAGATTCAATCAATGTAGCCATTCAATCAATATACTTACTATGAAGGCGCATTTGCGCAAACACAGTTGATTTATATCGCTAGCCACGTAAGTTTCCCATATGGCTGCCGTATCTCTAACAAAACGCAGACAATGTGTAGCCGGAGAAACTTTAGAGAACCTAAGCATTTCTGGCTGTGTACCGATATTGTAAACAGTAAATTTCATACTTTAATTTTTTTCTGACACTGCCACTGCAATAATCACAAGTTTGGTGTAAAAATCAAAATAAAAGTTGGCCAAAAATTGAAGTTTATTTTCCCCCCAATTTTTGCCCCCCCCCCCCCAAACAAAACCACACGTCAGTGGAACCGTAACAAAAAATTAAAAAGTGTGGCTAGATTAAAAAAAGAAGGACCATTCCATAAAAAAGAAGGAATTTTTCATTGGTCAATGGACAATATTTCAACACATTTTCAACAAAATATCCCAACGTGTGCCAATTAACCTTGAGTTAATTGGCTCATCTAAGAACCACACACAACCCCCCAAAACCCCCAGATATGCATGTACATAGTGCTGCTACAAAATCCTCACACTTTAAGATGTCTTAATTCTCAACAAGAAAAAAAAAATCTTTTTTTTCCCCCTTTCAACTGATACCATGCCAATCGCATAAATTTCACATTTTGGTACTTGTGATCATCCCTTATCAAAATATTTTTTTGCTAGGAATCTTCCCAAGGGCCTAATGGCTTAGTCTATTGTAAAGTTATAAAGAGATAATTTTACCAGAGAAAGATGAGGCGCGAGTGACCCCTGACTTTGCACTTGCGCCCGATGGGGGAGACCCTTGATTCGATGACCCCGTGTCTGTGCTGGTCAACTCTTCCGGTGATGCACGACTGGTGGGGAACGCGGTGGCTTTCATCTGGTCGTAGGGGGTCTGCTTGGGGGAGTCGGCTCGGTGGATGTGTAGCGGGTTAATGGTGGAGTAGTGTTTCAGCATCAGGGGCTCCAGACGGTAGGCCTTAAATAAAAAGAATTTAACGATTATGTCCAATTTTCAAACTTTCATATGGGTTAGAGTAGGGGGTCCGTGATTGTCAAAATAAAATTGTAGATTGTTAGCTAAACGTGCCTGGCAGGGGTGTGAGTGACCACTTATAAAAATAGCTGAAAATAGCTGAAAAAAGGTGTAAAGAAGCTGAACTTTGGAAATCTCCTATACTTTTGTACACAGCAAGTGAGGGAAAAAGCTGAAAAAAAGCTGAAATCCAAAACAAAAAAAGGTTAAGTCAGCTTTAAAGCTGAGATTTCACACCCCTGGCCTGGACAGTTCAGGAGGAAATTCAAAGCTGGAGACAAGATTTCCTTCTGTTTTTAGCTCTCAATGGCACTTTTAGGAAATTAAAACCAAGAGGAAAAATTGCATGCCTGATCAACAGGGATTGGAAGTAATAAAGAATCTGAAAACTCTTGAAAAGCTTGATGGCAAGTTGGTTTAGTGTTTTACAGGGATAATTCTGTATATCCTAAAAATGGTTAATACTTGAATTTCTACTGATAAGTGGGCAACTGAATTAACTGTTTATGTGGTAATGACCTCTTTTTGTGGTGACAAACAACATTGGGAGAAAATGTAGGTAACTGATTCAACAATTTCTTAAGTAAAATTGTATTTATAAGTGATTCCTATTTTATATCAATATTTTAAAATTAGTGAAAATGTTATATTCACAATAATAAAAAAAATACAATTTAAAGGTAACTTGATGAAATGGCTTAAGAACTTATTAATGAAATCAGCTTAGGGATTCACTTTTCTGAACGTTTGGATATTTTGGGAGTTTAGTGTGGATGCTGACTTACAACTGGATCGGCAGGGTGGTAAATGTTGAAGATTCGTTTACAGATGGACTTGGGAATGATGTGGCTGATGGAACCATTGCCTTGGGCACGGTAACCTCTCATGACAAGGAAGACAGCGAGAGGGGAACCCACACAGAAAAAACTGTCAATCTGGAGATTAAAGTCAAAACGGGAAAAATATAATTACAAATGGTTAAACCCAAGAGAGTAAACATGTAGTATCTCTACACTACTATTTAAGCAATAAATGTTTCATCACCACTTTACTATAAAGCACTAAGGCTGTGTATGTGTGGTTGGGCCGTCAATTTTTTTTTATTTTTAGGGAAATTAGAACCGAGTTAACGGGACTTTCTGCTGTCGCCATAACGTCTTTTGTCCCCATAATATCATCACTTCAATAGGTGTGTAGTCCCCCCAGTTACGGAACAAGAATTGGTGGGTGGGCCGTCACCGCATTATGGGAAGTTTTTTATTGTTAGGGTAATTAGGACCAAGTTAAGGGGACTTTCAGCTGTCCCTATAGTGTCTTCGGTCCCCATAATATCATCGCTCAACAGGTGTGTAGCCCCCACAGTTACGGAACAAGAATATGTGTGTTCACGAGTTGATCACCCGCATTGTAGACGAGGCAAATCTTCGTCAAGTAAAAGATTATAAAAACCTTGTACAGACTTCCAAAATCACGCTTAATGGTGAATGAAAAAAAAAGGAAGGCAGATGTAACTTTAAAAAAAAAGGTCCTCAACATCACACAATGGTTTAACACCGAAAGCTTTGGCTAATTGGAAATTCGTCTAAGAACCCGCCTTTGAGTGTGTTTTCAGTCCATTTTGAGTTTGTTGCCGAGTCAGGCCTATTATAACTATAAAAGACTAATGGAAAGGCGGCTTAAAGATCTAAAGACAACTAAACTGCCTGCAAATCACTCCAAGATGTTAAAACGTGGAAAATGACAACCCATTTTAACAAACAGTCAACCTTCCATAAATCATAATAATAAAAATAATATTAACCGTATTTATAAAGCCCCTTTTCCAAAGGATACCAAGCGCTAGGGGAGAATGCAACCAAAAACCTAAATGTGATTATCCAATATAAGAGCATATAAATACAGGTATTACAGCAAAATCAAATACAAATTAGAAGGTACGATTGAACAGCTGTGTTTTTATGAGTCCCTGAAACTGCTCTACAGATGAAGCGTTCCGGATAGTAATGGGGAGTAAATCATTCAGTTTAAACTGCTCTGTCCACGTCTATCCATCTATACGAACAGCCCCTCCCCCCAAAAAACAAAAAAAATATATAAAGTAAACACAATGAAATGAAAATCTGACCTGGAAGTCTAGTTTTGGAGATTTGATGCTGACAGCCACTTGGTTAGTTGCCAAGAGTTTATCCTCTAACTCTGCAACCCTGCAGTAACAAAGAGTTTTGTTAAAAGATCACAAAAAATGCTGGGCAAATTTCTATAAAAACTTTCCAGCCAAAATGCTTTAACCCTCACCATCCTAACACTTCAAAATCCAACCAGCATGTTTTGTTTAATCTGAGTGAGTACTGCACTAATAGACTGATTATGCATACATGGGGTCAGGCATACCACCATAATCAGAGTCCAACAGTTTGCGTGTAGAGTTTACCATAATTATTGTGTCAGACTTTGCAAGAGTGAGGAATGGGGTTCCAGAGTTGTAAATCACTCAAGGGGGTTAGGGTTAACATGGTCAAATAGCCACAAACTCAATTAGTTTGGAACCACACTCTCACGCATGTGGTGCACCATCATTTTTGCAACCCTATCAAATCTGTCCACAAATAACCCCTCAATGATTACAAAGCTAGAGTTGGGGAACTCTTCAACGTAATGCCACCAGTAGTAGGGGAGGTGGGGGAACCGGAGCAAAATGGAAAAAATCTGCGGCAAGCCTGAGCACGCCGCTCTCGGTTTTGGAAAAATATAGGGGAATCCCCCAATCTCAAAAAAAAAAAAAAAAAATCCTGACGCCGGGAGAGAGAGATAGAAAAAAAAAAAAAAATAAAAAATCCTGACGCCGGGAGAGAGAGAGAGAGAAAAAAAAAAAAAAAAAAAAATCCTGACGCCGGGAGAGAGAGAGAGAGAGAGAAAAAAAAAAAAAATCCTGACGCCGAGAGAGAGAGAGAAAAAAAAAAAAAAACAAATCTGACGCAGGGAGAGAGAGAGAGAAAAAAAAAAAAAATCCTGACGCCGGGAGAGAGAAATAAAAAATAAAAATCTGTCGTCGCTAAAATGAGGTGATGTCACCACCACGTGACCTTGAAAATATGTGAGTCACCACAACGTGACCTTGAAACGTGTTGAGGCACGATAGAAATTTGGCGTAAACAACGTGACCTTGAAACGTGTGTGAGTCACCACAACGTGACCTTGAAACTCGAGACAAAAAAAATTAGCTCCTTACCCTGTAAAAGGTGAGGAGCTGTTTTTTAATATAAAAATGGAGAGTAATATGTTTAGACCGACGAGTATTTGAAAAATGAATAAAAAATAATATCGGTTTTTATTAAATAGATGGAATACTTTGGGACGTCACAACTTGGGGATAAGTGCGATCATCATATAATCATCGAGAATGGTTTTTTAATTTGTGAAACGTGCGGTGAAATAGTTTCACGTTATTTTGATTTTTCGGCAGAAAATGTGCAAGAAGATCGTATCAATTGGTCAACTTTAAAGAGAAACAAAAGAAAAACTGTGGAGAAACTTATTTTGTCTGTTTGTCCAGAGCAAGACGTAGAAGATGTCCAAGAAACAATCAATAAATATAACGAGCTCGTTAATTACAAAACATTGAGGGGGAATGGTTGCGTCAAACGGTCATTAATAGCGGCGTGTTATCATCACGTCGTTGGATTAGACAAAGAACGAGTTAGAGATTTATTTAAAGTGACTCAAAATCAATTTAATAAAGCACTAAAAATATACGATGACCACTACAATAAAGGCGGGGCCGAGGGTGTAGCCCTAAGAGGTGAAATAGAGGTATAACTCGGTGGTTCGCTTTCATAATGTTTATTTACCGAGAATTTGAACTTGTAAGTTTTTCAATAAGAGATTTTTTTTCTTTTGCCAGCCGTTCGTCTACCCGTTTTTTAACTTCTTTTTCAAAGTCTGTATCGTTTTTAATCTTTTGAAGCTTTGTGCTGGTTTTTGTTCTAATTTTCTGCTTAAGCTCGTTAAATTTGGCGAGCTCTCTCGTAATCAATAAGAACTCTTCGTGCGATATATCTCCGTCGTTGATGGCTTGAGACACGTATTCTTCAATCGTGTTAAGTTTGGAGTCTGCTAATATTTTAATCTGGTCGTGCTTTTTTAGCTTGGCGGATAATCGCCTAGACGCGATTCTAAGCAGAATATCTACACCAAAAGCGCCTATAAACGTTCCTTCTAGCACCAATCCAACGGGGGCTGATATAACACCCAAGAGAGCGGGTATACTGACAGCCCCCGCTACAGTCCCCAATCCTTCTAATCCTATCTCTACGTAATTAATAGTGTCGATCATTCTCTTTATTTTTTTATAAGTGCGCTCTCGGTGGTCTCTCTCTTTCAAGATTAAAGATCGAATCTCTTCAATCTTTTTAAGTCTGTACACTTTTGTTTCTTCGTTACTATTTAATCGGAGTACATCTCCAGAAATATCAGGGTATAACGCCTTACCATCTACACTCATGTTTTTAATATAAAAAGATTTTAAAATTAAAAGATCTCCAACTCTATCATTATACTCACACCCTTGTTGTTGATGATCTGTCCTTTTTCACCTATGATCGAAAATGTCAGTTTGTCGATTATACCATTTTTAAGTTTTTTGAAATCTTCGACTCTATCAGGCTCGGGTTTGCGCGTACCCACGGGTACGATTTTTAAGATGTCGGACGGACGGCCATCAAAAAAGTTTTCACTCGTACTTAATTGCGGGCAGCGAATAAACAAAAATTTAAACGGATTAATATCGTAAGACCCCGTATATACCACTTTGGGTATCAGTCTTCCCTTGGGTAAATTAAGTAATCGAGAGACTTCTCTGTTTAAACGCAATTTGAGATTGACGTCGGTTACCACCAACGTCACCTTTTTAGATTCTCTAAATATTCGAAAACTTACCCCGGGTATATAATTTAAAATGAAATCGAACCAATCGACGTCGTACCACCCAGGTGGGATGGTGACCGAACCGGTGACTCCGGCTGGTAACGGCGCTAAAAGACTCGGAGAAATAAAATCTAAATTATCACCAGACACGACAAGACTCCCACGTATTGTTATCCCAGCATGTCTAATTACTCTCGCTCTAGGTTCGCTTATTATACCTTGGATATATTCTAGCGCTATCTTTTTACCTTCATCGATGAAGTCTATTCTATCAAATAAAGTTGTTATTAAAAGTATAATCGTATTGCGTTGTACGTCGGTTAGTGTTCTTTCTTGACTTTTAGCGTGTAATTTTATTTGTCTTTCAGATATTTGGTTTTTTTCTTTTTCGATCGATTCTAAAGCAGAGTCTAGTCTATCTTCTTCATACGCTTCTATAAGATCGTTTATAACTCTATTGAAAGTATTTTCGTCTCTAATTAAAAAGTCGTAGGGGTACTCGGGTACCAATTGCGCAATAAAATCTCTATCTGTTCTTACTTCTAGATCTGGGTTAACCCGTTCGTAACTTCTACTAGTATCACCAAGTCTTTCAGCGGGTCTCCCATCTATTTGCGTATACCAATCAATCTCTGTGGCGCTGGAAATATTAAAATATCCGGGGTTAAACATTACCCTTTTTACGCGTACAGATTTTTGACCGTTTAAATTATCTACGACGTCTTCTAATTTAAACGTCTGCTCATTTTGAAACAAGTGAAACGAATGCATTTATTTTAAAGTCTTTTTATATTAAAACTGAAACTAAAATAATGGCTGCTTTTATGTTGTTAAAAAAGCAGATACAATCGATAGCCGATCAGGTAACGAGACAAGTAAATCAAAATGTAGCTAAACGACAAGCTACCACCCCAGCGCATGTACTAGACAGTCCGTATCTCACTGGCGAACTCGAGATTACGGTCAACGCGTCTAACACGTTTTTAACCCCGTTTCCCGACTTAATCTCGGACTATAAAATATCTCGCCTCAATACCAACGATGCTGTACTTCGTTGGAAAATAGACCCCATGTCTTTTTATCAAAATCAGTTAAACTTTGCGATCTATTGCGCTACAACGGGCTGTGGTGTTGGAATCGATATTTTAAACTCGAACAACCGTTACGTTAAAGCCTTATTTAATTTTCATCTATACTTTACGGTGAGAAGGATATTAAACGACATGGCCGTAGCAATACCGGGAGAAGACTCGTTTGACGCTCTCAGCAACACCTATGATCGTGGAGCATTTACCAACATCTGTCGGACGTTTGCCATCGATCAAAATAAGTCTTTTAAACAGACGAGAGATCAAAAGACTTATGGCTTAGGTCGGCTTTTTCTTTGGAACGAAAAAACAAAATCATTTTTACTCTTGCCGTTAGACTATGATAAAAACACGACCACACTCGACGATTTTATCAACCCCACGGGTGATAAAAATTGGGGTTTAGACGATCCAAAAAAACACGATGCTTTTTTTAAGCATTGGAAGGGTTATCTCGAACAAGACGACATCGTCAAAATGGCTTGGTTAGATTTTATACCCGCCAAGAGTTCGTTTACCTCCGCGGGAATCATAAAGATCAACGAATCGATCAGATCTTACGTGTACGCTTTACTCGGTGCGCAGGCTCAAACAAAAACGAGCGTATTATCACCGGGCACCGGATTAGACGCTCAGAGACAATTTAACGTCATCGTTGAAGATATCATCAATGCAGTAGACGACATGGAAACGAGTATCGATCAATTTCAAGACTCTTTGCAGTATGCCAGAACGCCTTTAAATTTTGTCGTGAAACCGGGGTTATATTTAATTCCATCGGATATGAACTTGAGGGTTGGAACGCACGACGGCTATAACAACAATCTTCAAATCGCTACCCAGAGTATGAACACTGGTTTGGTACCAGATTTAAACTCACAACCTCAACCGGACGACTCTTTTGATGACACCGATGACGTCGCGCCACCAACACCCCTAGAGCCTATGACCGATGTTGTATCACCAACACTAACACCAGCACCAACACCAACACTAACACCAACACCAACACCAACACTCACACCAGCACCAACACCTGCACCAACACTAACACCAACACCAACAGTTTTAACCCAACCCACGAAACTACAAACTCACCAAGACGAAAAATTATCGTTGACGGTAGGAATATTAGCTATCGTTGGCATGGGTATTTTAGCTTACGAGGCAACGCGATAAGTCACACTCTAATC